AGACGGCGAGCCAGCCAATCAAATCAAACGAGATACATATCCGCGGAAGAAAAAAATAAGACGAGACGAGAGAGAAAGAACCCATTTAATGCCGTAAGCCCTTGCCTGCTACTTGTCGCTGCACAATCGTACCGAGGTCCTCCGATTAGCAGCTGCATGCAGCCACTCTATAGGCTACAACGACATCTCGTTATTTGGCGCTTAGAGGTTGATGTTAATCGGGGTGCAGCCGATAGCAATGATACCGTTCTGTTTAGGTTGTAAGAGGTCAGAGGCAGAAGAACGTCAACTAGGACAGTGGACACTCACGAAGGTGTTGTGCTCGCAGCAAACCGGCTGAGCTGTGCAAGAGTTGCCGCCAATGCCGATGACGCTGAGGGGCGAGCAGGTGATACCACTGTCCGTGCCAGAACTCAGCGAGGCTTCGACGGAGGGAATTGGAGATTAAGGACATACACAAGAGCAGTGACTTCGTTGATCACGACTCCCAGAAGACCAAGAAGACCGGTAACGATCTTGGTGTTTGCCTACAAGCAGCCAATTCATCAGATATCAGCGGGGACCAGAAAATATGAGGTTTAAGCAGGTACCCTTTGAATGTCATTGCAGCACTGGATGGCCCCAGTGTTGCATTGGCTGATGGGGGTGCTGGTAGGAGAGGGCTTCCCAAAGAAGTAAAACGTCAGCGATTTGAGAGATGATTTATTTCATCAATGCAACCTACCGGCTTGACGGTGACAGTGGTAGTGACCGGGACCTTGGTGGTCACTGGAACGGTGGTGGTGATTGCGAGGGTGGTGGTCTTAGTGTTAGTCTGGGTGGTGGTCTTAATGTCGGTCTGGGTGGTGGTCTTAGTGGTCACGGAAGTCACGGTGGTCTTCGACCTGCAAGTAAGCCAAAGTTCATTAGTAACAGAAAAACAAATGCGACCACAAATGGTGTGATAGCCATTCAGGTTCAACCGTTCACTTACGTGACAGGAGGAGGGGTGGCGGCAGCAAGGACAGCCATCGTCGCAAGGACGTAGACGAAGACAGTGGAGAGACGAGCGAACATCTTGTACTGAGGTTGAGAGTTGGAAGTAGAACGAGGGAAGGTGCTTGTTCTACTGGAGAGCTGATGAACTTTCGAGGCCCTCTTATACTTCCCAGATATCTTGTTTTTTTGAGCTTTGGTCGACGCGTATCCATGCGGGTCCGTATGTCTACCTGGACGATTAAAGCCTCGCGGTAAAGCAAAAGATGTCAATGCAAGCAAGGATAGATTAATCAGGGATGGGTGATCTTCGCCTTGTCCTCGGTGCCTATCGCGGTAAGGCATTGAGTTGGCGAAATGGAATCCATTATCACGCAAAGAATCGGACAGAGGAGACTCTCAACCAAGGTCTTCTTCTCGTCTGCACACCTTCGGAAACGCTGGCATATGATTGAGTCTGAAAAGATCTGTGTCATCGAAACACGAAAAAACGTCAGTCAGAACGATGCAACTCCAAGAAACTCGAATCCTGTGCCATGCGCTCATCGACGTAATTTACGTTTGGCACAGCTCGGACAGTGTCTACAGCCCAAAACCGACCGACCGAACTCCAGAAATGCCTCATTAGGTCATGAGCAACGGACTCGGAGGAAGGCTAGCTGTTCTCGGCTTTCATCACCCGTGTGAGCCCCTTCCCAATCTCCGTGTATGTTGAACGGCTCTCGCAGGAACGCGCTCCAACTACGCGTGCCATCACCAAATATCGAAACAAGAGGTCAAAAGATATGACATGCCTGAGAAAGGAAGTTCCTTCTGCCCAATCCGCTGAGCGAGAGCCTGAAGAATTTGATGAACCCTGTCGAATAAAAACGCAAAATAAGTTCGTCCATCCAATTGCCACCACAATCCTTCCCAGCGAACGCCGGATCCTCCATCCATCGGTGAGACCATCCGACCATCCAATGGCGCTTCACCCATCTGCAACCACATGAGTCGGAAACGTCAAGATTTTCCGATTTAATGTGTCTCTCGACAGCCTTCTCGCTCCCTAGCCTACCACTCGCTACGCAGCTCACCCTCGATTGGCTGGTCCGCCCAACCAGTGAGCATCGTTCCGTCTTCTTACCCCGAAGAGAGAGTTCAAAGGCGTCTGTGTCCTCGCCTCCGCCTGTTGAGCCATGTCCAACACGTTCGGTAACGTTAATGTCCCTCTCACAATGGTCCGTTTGTCCGAAACTCACATAAAAAAGTCCTAGCTTCGTGCTTGCTTCAGAGTCCCACTCCACAACGTCGACAGCTCGCCATCGTGGTCCACGGCGACTCCCTTGAAGGCTGGGCCAGACGGGAGAGTGAATTAATCAAATGATTGTGGGTTCTTTGAGTAAATGTAGTCGCAATCCGAGGTCTTTCCCTTGCGAAATGAAGTATGACTATGAATGATGGAGTATGCAAGGGACATAGAAGGCAACATACTGGTCGTATTTTTGTGCTCCCCGAGGCAGTTGGAAGGCGTCTTGCAGCTGATACAAGGGTTACGAAAATGATCTAGGAACGCCTGGATGAATCGAGGCCAGGAGAAAAAAAGCTAACATTCACCTTCTAGCTCGCCACATGAACCCTACCCTTTTTGCCAATCACCTGCTTGCAAAAGAACGATGCCGTACAAAGCACAATGAGGTTGAGAAAAACATTCACACGTGTGGAGACAATAAAGTCGTTGCATTTTTGTTAATCATCCACAAGAAAAGTAAAGAAAAGTAAGGAAATGGATATCATCAAAGGCATGCAGGTAAAGTAGGTCGTGGTGAGAACAAGTGAGAGGACGACGCGAATAAGGCCAATTAAAGAGTATGAACCGATGTGGGGGAGCAGGGGAAAACACGTGGGGTCGTGATGGCGGAACATTTTACTGCTCATCCTCGGGGGGCTCTTCCTCGTACTCGACCTCCTCCTCGACGCTACAGGGGAACGATAGTCAGGATAAGCCAGGCAATTATGTATCACAGCACTCACGTGGCATCCTGGTATTGCTGGTACTCGGCGACAAGATCCTGCATGTTCGACTCGGCTTCCGTGAACTCCATCTCGTCCATACCCTCCTGGGTGTACCAATGCAGGAAGGCCTTCCTCTTGAACATGGCAGTGAATTGATCGCTGACACGCTTGAAAAGCTCTTGGATGGCGGTTGAGTTACCCAAGAAAGTGACGGCCATCTTCAGTCCACGAGGGGGAATGTCGCACTGAGCGGTAAGGACATTGTTGGGAATCCACTCGACGAAGTAAGCGGAGTTCTTGTTCTGAACGTTCTGCATTTGCTCCTCAACCTCCTTCATCGAGACCTTGCCACGGAACACAGCAGCAGCCTACAAAGAAGATTAAGGATCACATCTTTTCAACGTTAAGGAAAAGCGCATACAGTGAGGTAACGACCATGACGGGGGTCTGAGGCAGCCATCATGTTCTTGGCATCGAACATTTGTTGAGTGAGTTCGGGGACGGTGACGGCGCGGTACTGTTGGCTGCCGCGGGCGGTGAGAGGAGCGAAACCAGTCATGAAGAAGTGGAGACGAGGGAAGGGAACTAGACGAGCGTTAAGCAATGTTCTAGGCTATCCCATGACACAACTTACCCAGGTTGACAGCAAGCTTCCTTAGGTCAGAGTTCAATTGACCAGGGAAACGCAAGCAAGTGGTGATACCGGACATGACAATCGAAACGAGATGGTTCAGGTCACCGTATGTCGGTGTCGAGAGCTTGAGTGTCCTGAAGCAGATATCGTAGAGAGCCTCGTTATCAATGCAGAAAGTCTCATCAGAGTTCTCGACAAGCTGGTGGACGGAGAGGGTGGCGTTGTAGGGCTAAAATAATAGGTAAGGGCAAATCCAGACTCCCGAAACGACTGAACATACCTCGACAACGGTATCCGATACCTTAGGACTGGGCACAACGGAGTACGTGCACATCATACGATCGGGGTACTCCTCACGAATCTTGGAGATGAGGAGGGTACCCATACCAGCACCAGTACCACCACCAAGTGAATGAGTGATCTGGAAACCTAATCACGTGCCACAGACCAGTCAACAAACAATCCCCTTCTTGGAAGAAGGTAGCAACACGAACCTTGAAGGCAGTCGGTACCCTCGGCCTCCTTGCGAACAACATCAAGAACGGCATCGACGAGCTCAGCACCTTCGGTGTAATCTGAAAATCAGGAGATGAAAAACGTGGTGTTAGTTATCGATCAGAATATGATGGCGGCAATGAGGCAGGTAATGAAGGCGATTGGACGCGTCAAACGCGAATGTGAAGCGATAGAGCATGTCCTACATGGGTCTGGAATGCAAAAAGGGGGCTCAGAAGATGTGACTTACGTCCTTTCGCCCAGTTGTTTCCAGCACCACTCTGACCGAAGACAAAGTTGTCGGGGCGGAAAAGGCCACCGAGAGGACCCGATCGCACAGAGTCCATGGTTCCGGGCTCGAGATCGATCAAGACGGCGCGAGGAACGTACTTGTTGGCACCGATCTCGTTGTAGTAGACGGAGATACGTTCTAGTTGGAGATCGTTGTTTCCCTTGTAGAGACCATCCCGCTCAATACCGTGCTCGTCAGAGACAACTTCCCAGAACTTAGCACCTAAAGGTGAGATGAAGAGAGCGAATGTAAGGATTAGCGTTGGACAGGTGGCACTGAAATTCTAGACGCACCGATTTGGTTACCGCACTATCGTGAAAGGAGGGGTTGGATTAGACGTCTGGAAGAGCCACGACACGTCACTGACGACATACCTGGCCGGTCTGCAGGTGGACGATCTCACGCATGCTGGAAGACGCAACGTCAGCAATCTGGGGCTCGAAAGTGGTACGACAAAACGTCGCGAACTGGCACCGACGTTGCTGGCACACCAAGCGGAACGCAACGACAGAGGTGATGGACGACGAGTAGGGGATGTTTGAGGAGTACTCACATTGAGGATTGGGAAACGGGAGGCAAAGGGTATTGTCGTTCAAGGAGGTGTTGAACACGAAGACAAGAAAATGTGCAGCAGGCGGGCAAAGGGTGAACTGAAATTTTAAACTCCGATTCACATTCCGGGTGGCGCGTGCGTTCTTTGGGGTCAGGGGTCCGCCCCTTCCTCCCCAGCTACCCCGTCCAATACGTGTGCTTCATAGATTAATCGACCTAGACGTATTTCATGAGCTTACCTGTGTCGATCATCTACAGTCTCTGCAGATCCTGCGCACAAACGCCATGCGGAAGCAAATCAGGCGTTTCCAACGAAGTTCTTCCCCAAAGAGAACCAGATAACCCCTCCGACCCGCTGGCAGCCCTTTTTCCTTGCAGGATGCGTTTTCAACGACGGGTCAAACCTTGTCTCACTCAAATTGAAACGGGTCCTCGAGGCACTTCTGATGTAAAACGTCGGGCTTTGTATGTAATCCCGCACGACGTGAAAGCAGAGGCGGCCTCGACGACATATCACGGTGCTCTGGGGATGTTGGCTAACCACTTGTACGGCTCTCACGGAGGGATACTCGGGCAACGCGACTGCATTCGCTACACGCAATTTATATACGTAATTCTCCCGGTAACATTTCTGAGACACCCCATCCCCAGGCGAGCACCTCTCCCTTTATTAACCGTCTTTAATCGGTGTAACTAGAGAGAGATGGTGATGGGTACACATCCTATGGCAATAAGACCTTTCTGCAAGGGTTGTCAGCTTCCTCAAAAATAAACACCGAGGTTCTCGACTCACGAAATCGTTGTTCGAGCAGCAAACTGGCTTGTTGTGGCATTCATTCTGTCCGATGCCCAGAATGTCGATTGGGGTACAATGGATACCGCTTCATTGCCCAAATCATCGTGTCAGAACTTTCTTCGGACACAGAGACGCTGAAGCTCACACAATGGCAACAACGCCCTGAAGGACGACGCCGAGCAGGCCGAGGAGGTTTCCGACGACGCTTCCGTCGGACTACCGCCCAAATGTTAGAATTGGCGAACCTTCGAGTGGGTGAAAGCCCTCACCCTCTCAAGAGCGTTGCAGCATTGCGTTTTTCCAGTTCCGCACTGGTTGGCCGGGATCGACGTCGGCGTTGGGGTGGACTACAGCACGCGCACATCGTTACTCTCGTCCCGTATTTTGAGCTAAACTATAAGCTCACCCTGATGGTAATTGTCGTCGTCGGTGTCCCGGTGGCGGCCGCAAGAACGAACAATGTCGCTATGAAGAGTAAGAATTGGATAGCACGAGAGAACATCTTCGTTGCAGGGCTTGAGAAGGATCAAGTTGGAGGCGTAACACAGCCGCTCTGGGATTTATAGCTAGGCTTCATCTCCTTGGCGTTCCCCCAAAAGACGCTAGGGAATCTAGCCGTAAAGAGAGGATAATCCGGATTACAGAACCACTCTCCCAGACGGTCGCTATTGGAGTAAATTTGAGGATTGATAGAAAGGGAAGACCAGTAAAATGGGCGGAAGAGCTGCGTCGAAAATATGACAAACCTGGGAACGCTGGGTAAGAGCGGGCATTGGGTATAGCCTGAGACGTCAACCTTGTCAGAAAACAGGAAGACAAGAAGTCAAATTAATTCGGCACGGAGACTCGTCAGGCCCTCAGAATTGCTTGCTTCTATCGTGGAGCATCAGGACGAACAATGTGGACCATACTTGTAGCCTTGAAGTTTTGACTTTCGTTCGACCGTTCAGAGATCCTGATCAAACGCAAGAACAGCCTCGAAATGACGTCTTGTGTCGGAGGGGATTCGGGGTCGATGTGGGTCCCTCCGTCATCCCAGATGAAGAGGTGAGCAGTAGAAAGAATCAACAGCAGACATAATCAGCAGCCAATGCGAGAGGAAGCTTCTCGGCGGCCAGAGGCAGCCTTCGCGTCCGACAACTGTCAGTTACCTCACCGTTACCCGTATCTACTTCCCGTCCATCCGTGTCCCCACGACCGGCCAAAATCCTCGTCCATGGGAGAGGGAGAGTTCCACTAACCTTGCATGGTGTAGAGGAATTTGCAGCAGTGCCCAACGCGTGTTGTGGAGCGACAATGGGCCCGGGAGTGAGGCCAACGAGCGGAAGGACAACCGCCAGGAAGACGATTTGGTCGGTCTTCGTCATGTCTGCACCGCGTGCGTCACTGAAAGAAAAATTTGATGCCAGTACGCTTTGGCGCCAGCAGGTTGGTATGGAAGAAACCGGCGTACCGCATGAAGTCCGTGCAATTGCTTTGCTAAATTTTGGTAGTTCATCCAGAAATCACGATATAGCGGTCCGTTCCAACATAAGTGATAGAGTGCAGACATCTTTGCTGTGGCAAGGGCACTATATCCTCTGCTTCCAGCGGCTCTTCTTCCAGCCCAGTATCGTTGAGCGGCGCCGTCGCTAGGTTGAAGTCAAAGGCAGCGCGTGAACTTGGTGCACTAGCGCAACAAGCGTCGACTTGAAGGTGTGATAAAATCGCAGAATTATACTAGATCCATAAGGCCATGGAACCGAGTTCAAAAGAAACGCAAATGAGAGGCGACGCAATGTAACAGTGGCGAGAGTTGGGCGAGAGCCAGGAGATGGAGAGGAGGGCTGTAATTGGGTATGCGGACGTGTGAACAGGTGACGTCATTGTACGAGCCGGAAATTGAGACTCCACTCCCCAGCAGCTTCTGGGTTGTTTCTGTTCACCACCCCTACGCTACTCCATTGTATACCACTATGCACTGGTCGTCCAATATCTAAATACTAAAACGGTATCCCTTTCCTGGTGGACAACTTCAAAAGTTGACGGAGTCAACTTTTGCTTATCCTTCAACGCTATTATCTCGCTAGATTAGATAAGAAAGCGAACAAAGTGTTGGTTATCCAGGTCACGTGGATAACCAACAGTCTCTTCAGAAAGCGCTGTCCGTTCCGGGCCGTGTCCGTCGATCATCGCTTACACGTCCATCTCGATTCTCGAACGACTGTGCTCGCGAAGAACCTCGACCCATCCACTCGACCAGCGTCCACCTCGAACCACCATGCTCGCAGACAACGTCAAGATGGTCAGCCTCTCGACTGCCAGCCACTGCACACTGTGGGCTGACCAATCCATTGCATAGCGGGCTGCGATGAGATGTATAAATTAGCAGGCAGAGGCCCCAGGTACGTCACCTTCAGCCCGCTCGACTGGCATTCAACATTGACCGACATGTCAGATTGGCAGCAGCACATAATCAGTCTCGACGACGCCATCGTAGCAGCATTTGAACGCAGAGAACGACAACGGCAGCAAGAGCGCGAGTGAGCTCAAAGCAGAGAGGCACGGCACGAAGACCCGCCTGCTGCTCGCTGACTACCGAACTCTCAGAGCTGCAGTGAAGCTGGCGGTCACATGAGGGAAGACAGCCCAGCTGGCAGCGAGTGAGCACCAGGGTAAGCATTCTATTCCCTTCCTCAGCAGCGTGTTTACTGACGCAGGATTGCGTTGAAGGACCTCCTACCCCACCTGCCACACTCAGACAGATGCAAGCCACACGGAGGAGCCTTGCTCAAAAGGCGCGCAGAGCGAGAGAGCGAGCTGCCCAGGGTCAGCTTCAAGGTATGTCATTCGTATTCCATTACATCGTTCTCTCATCGATACCAATCAGATTCCAACCTGCCCACATCGAATGCTGGGGCACCTCCTCCATCAAATCGAACCCTTGCACAGCGTGCGCGTCGAGAGCGCGAAAGAGCTGCACGAGAGGGCATTCACCAAGGTGGGCTCACATGGTTCTCCTACCTCATTGGTAATAAAACCATGCTCGCTCCTTTCGTCTAGACCAGCAAGTGCAGGAGCCAAAGGCACCTCAGCCATCAAACCGAACTCTTGCACAACGTGCGCGGCGGGAGCGGGAACGAGCTGCTCAACACGGAAACGAACAAGGTATGCCAACTGTTACCTTTCTCTTCGATATTGTGCTCTTCCATTTCATTGAGCTGCCATTTACGCATGTTTGACCTTGATGCCTCTCTAATTTTGACGCGTCGCTTGAGCTGTTCAACTGGATCAGCAGCGTGAAGTAGCTCCCTTCTTGGCCCATCGGTAGCGGGCCGCAGTTCTCGAGATTTCCGGCGTTCCGCCACTGCATATGCACGGGCATTGATGTGCCTATGGGTGGTCGTGTAGAGGGAAAGAATGAATGAGGACACATCCGAATCACCGCCTGCTGACGGGTGGGGATGGATTCCGCAATTATGCGGCTCTAACCATGGCTCGCACGATTCAGAAACAGAGGAGCGAGGAAGTGAGTTCTCTAGGAAAGAACAGAGTAGGTGGCCACGACGTAGACCAACATTTGGTCTGTAAAGACCCGAAAACGGAGGATGGTAGGGCTAAGCCCGGGAATGTATCTCGAGACGATGGCGGGATTGAGAGATGGGGCAACGACGGCCCTGAACAATGGTTGAAATGGGACGAGTGACAGGAGAGGAAGGCGACAAGAGACGAGCATGAGAGACGAGGGCCCCGAGTGAGCAAAAAGAGACGAGACCTGAATGTTATTGCACAAAAACATGAAATACGGGGCTTTCATACTATAAAGAAAAACAAGTCTAAGAAGAAATCTCTCGCCGAACGGGCTGGGGGAGTAAATAAATAAGTAAGCCCTCCAGGAAAAGCAAACAAGAACAAAAATATTCGAAACAGGAGACAAGGAGACAGGGAGTTTGAAACCCCGGACCCGTGCAACGCACGGGTATCCCTCTAGTAAGCTTTTATACACGTCCTCTGTCTCGAAGAGTTTCTCAGCTCTGTTTCCCCAGTCTCGGTTGAGTGGAAGGCTTCATGGGATTGTAGATCGCCAGGTCACCAAAATGTCAGGTTGGAGACACCATTGACAGGTATTTTGTCCTCGTGAATTCCACCATATAATCGAACTGAACAGTCGTGGTGCAGATCGAACTAGTCCCATATTCACTACCTCCAACAGCTCCGAAAACTCCTTCGCTTCGGTCATAGATCGTCTTCATCCGGAGTAAGGCCGCGCGGCTCTTCATTGCCTTATCAAAATCTACACCGAGAGGACATTGCAAATGAGAATAGTGGAAAGGATGTATAAAATGATCAATATCTGCATGCCAGACAACCTCCCCAACAATTCGGACGGCATAGAAAACGGGGCTGGCGGCGTCGTAATTGCTTCTTACTCGGCGCAACGCCAGCGATAATTTGCTCAACCGCAGCTCGGATCGGTCAACGCCTCGCAAAAGCTCGTTCTAGCGCCTGTAAGGGTGTTTTTTTACCTCGCCGGATGGTGTCTATCGATCAGGTAGCAAAGCCGACTTTTCTGTTGGGAATTGTGTTTCAGATCAGGCGGGCTCATGTTGGCTTCACACTTACGACATGCTTCATGGATGACTCCCATCTCCTCTGCTACTGGGAGGCATCTTTACCATGACTATAAGGTGAGCCATTATTTAGCGGTCAATTTGGAGGGGCTCCTTGACTTACAAATAGAACCCAAAAAGCGTTCGTAACACTCTCTGACGCTGTGTTCTTTTTCTCCTTTATCAGACGCTGTTTGAAGATAAATGAACGAAATTGACGCCGCTGGACATCGCGACGAACCTGTGCCAGCGAGAATTTTTGCGGCGTTGAATGCTATCGTTCTATGCATGGCCCAAAGAGTACATCAACCCGACATTGCTGCCAAATTTTTAGCTTTTATTGGCAGGTGTGCAACTGCAACTGGACTCGATTCCACGTCCGGAATGCGCTATGATGGATATCGCGGGCGCCAGCCGCCATTCGTTCGTCTTTGATGACACCCTGGTGCGCGTACTCCATCGGGTCCACGGCACAAAAGTCGGGGAGCTCGGGGGCCAGAAGGTAATAAAGGAAGGCAGGATGGTCCTAATTCTGCAGTCGAACAGGTCTTCCCTTCGTTCAACTTCAAGTCCTTCGTCCTTCAGGCAAAATGTTCGCTCGTTTCATCATCAGCTTCGCCTCTGTCCTCGCGACTACCGCCGTCCTCGCTGCTGCTAGGCCTCACTGGACAACGGACTCTCCGGCCCCATACAGTACGGTCGTAACTACGAAGACGACCACTGTCGATGTCACCACCGTCGTCCCAGTCACCACCGTCGTTCCTGCCACTACAGTCGTGCCCATCACCACAGTCGTTCCAGCCACTACCGTTGTACCAGTCACCAGCGCTGTTCCAACCACCGTTGTCGTCACTAGCGTAAGTTGTTTACCCCTTCAAAAGAAGGGCCCTTGCTTATTCGTGATCAGCCTCCGGCTACCACTACTATTGGCGGAAGCCCCTCCAACCAGTGCAACACGGGAGACGTTCAGTGCTGCGACTTTGTCCAATCTGTACGTGTTTGCTACTGCATTTCCATGAGATACTGATTTGTGTCTGCCAGGCGGGCTCTGGCCCTGTCTCCTTCATCCTGAGTCTCCTTGGCATCGTTGTCCCAAACCTTGACGCCCTTGTGTGCGTCTTTTGTTCTCGTTTTCTCTTTCTATGGCATTCCTGACATGGAGGTCCGGACAGTGGTCTTACTTGCTCGCCTCTCAACGTGATCGGTGCTTCTAGAAACTCTTGTACTGCCCAGTCCGTCTGTTGCCAGAATAACAGCTTTGTGCGTCTTCTTGCTCTTCCATCTGACTTCTAGTTTTTGATATCTTGTAATTGCACCTGCAGAATGGTCTAGTCGCTATTGGGTGCACACCGATCAACATCAACCCTTGAGTTTCGAGCTCTGGCTCCTGGGATGAAATATTTTGTTCTTATGCCAGAGCATGGTTTAGTACAGCTACTACATACTAGGCTAGGTTCGGTACGACTTTACGAAACCATCGAATGCCTCTTCCTCTGTTATCTCACAGATCTGTTGATGTTGGCTGGTTTCATCGGCTACTAGAGTACAGTCGGCCTTCAATAAATGCAGATCCCTTTGTGTGAGTAGTTTCTTCAAGTTCAAGCCTCTTGAGTTAACGCAGATCACGAGGCATGGTAGTCCTCCGAACTATTCTTTTAAAAGTTTTTTCACCATGGGTGAACTCCGGTGCCTAATTTTATCTATAATTGCAAGCGGCCTCACCCATGTCGTCATAACCCACCGACGTCATTACCTTCCGACCACGATATAAGGACACTCCATTGGATTTCCGCCTCGACCCGCATCTTTCCACCATGGGGTAGGTCAAAAGCCACTACCTATACATCTCCTACATCCCTGACAACGATATCGATTTTCTAGGGTAATATTCTCGTGTATAGGAGGTGAGAACTTCGAACCAGTCCCACAAAATTTTGGATTCTTGGCCGGAAAATCTAACGATGCGTGGTTAGGCGTCTTCAAATGCATAGGTGACTCCATCATAGCTTGCATTGCTACGATCGCTGGATGCCTAGAGTGTATCATCGGATGTACGTCCTTCGAGGGTTTCCTGTAGCCTGCCCGGTACTAACATTCGTTTGGGGTTATCCAGCAATAGCAGGGTTCCTCGCAACAGTTGTGGATTGCCTGACATGCGGATGTTTTAGGTAAGGAGCTCCATCATGATGTTTTGGAAGGACGAAGATTGATCTGGCCTTGCAGACGTTAAACAGGGCTCCAGGACGAACCATTCCCGTTCACAGTCCTGGAGCCAGAATCTAGTCCAAGACACCACCTCCGCAAATGCTGAACTAATAAGTACTACGAAAAGGAATGATACCACATAACGATTTAAATACAGTCGAACTTCTCTCAAACCATACCCCTCCGTGGACGGCTCAGGCTATGGGTTATGGGAGCCCATGGGATGTGTGGGGGAGAGCTAAAAATAGACAAACAAATTGAGGAACATTGTGACCTATAACTGACTGAAATGAAGCGTTCCTGTAGTGAGCCTAGTGGTATTGCAATCCTTCAGCATCTGTGGCTAGCCTGACGATTTTTGGTGTGATGAGTTGTCACTATGGGTGCCGAATGTAGGGGGATTAGACTCTGGGCATCGCTCCCACGAGTCATTTCGGTCTGCTTTCTGACGTTTTCTGGCCGATTTGGAGCTTTCCCATCAGATCCTGACTAAAATTAGAAGGATCATGTCGAAATGTCGGGTACAGGTCAAGAAAATCGATACTAAATATGGGCAAATGGCAGGCAAAATCTATGGGTTTTGCCGCGGGAGGGGTATGGATTATGGGGTATTGCGGATTTATGGGTTATGGTATGCAAATCCCCGCCCACCGAGTTGGTGGATCGAAAATCCTATGGGGTATAGGGGGTCATGGGTTACCTCAAGTATGGATTAAGAGAAGTTCGACTGTACTGTGATTGAGAAACCGAGAGTTGTGATTGGTCCGCTAATTTCTATTTTAAGCAGAAACGCCGCATAATTTCAGCCAAGATTTCTCGCCCTCTAGGCCTAGCGGTCTTTGACTTTCGTCATTCAACAAGCAAAGACGGTGGGGTTCCACGCAGACTTTTCCTTGGAAAGGACCGTTTAGAACGGTAAAACGACTGCTCTTTCACCAATAGCGTAAAGAGATGTGTTGCGTTGAACGTGCGTTCTTGAAGGCAAATCTTAACTTTCGAAGGTGAAGCTACACAGTTGAAGCTTGCGATATGAGCGCCGGATCAGGGATCGACATGATATCGGTCCGGGGCCGGAGCGAATTATGATTGGCGGAAGATCGATAGCCATACAGAGCCAAACAAAGATTTTTGAACATCTAATCTTGCTCCATTTTTTCTTCTCCTCTTCCTCCCACTCAGATTTGAGTTCTCTCATCCTGGTGGAGAGGAAGACAGCCACCCTCGACTACAAAAACATTACGAATTATCATGCCTTCTCTTCCCACCGCGGCCCCTGTCCGTCCAGGCCTCTCCAGAATGGTCAGTATCTTTCCAAACCTACCGGCGTCGCCAGTTACTGCGCCCCCGTTACGAGAGGACGGTTCCGAGGCTGTGGACGGAGTTCTCGAGCTCATGGATGGTTCCGCGTACCGTGGAATCAGCTTCGGCGCAGAGGGAAAGAGTGTTGCTGGAGAATGTGTTTTCCAGACCGGTACGCTGATGTTTTTAGGTTGAAAATTGAACAGCTTACTGACATCGCGTCAGGTATGGTTGGGTACACCGAATCCTTGACGGATCCATCTTATGAGGGCCAGATCCTCGTTCTCACATACCCGCTCGTTGGCAATTACGGCGTGCCTGAACGCCCCACAAAAGAAGCATTGGACGCTATCCCCGCCGAGTTTGAGTCCTCCCGCATCCACATCGCGGCACTCATTGTTGGCTACTACTCGGAAGACTTTAGCCACTTCCTCGCAAAATCGTCTCTCGGCACATGGCTCGAAGAGAATGGTGTACCGGCGCTTTATGGCGTCGACACTCGTGCACTCACCAAAAAGATCAGGGAAAAAGGATCCATGCTCGGAAAGGTTCTCGCTCGTTCAGAAGGCCCTCGGGTTGGCCGACCTCGCTCGCATGGATTCTTACAACACTCTCATCTCCTTCCGTCCGTTCCTTCCACCCCTTATCCCTGGAGAGAGGAGTACGTCGAAATCCCCTTCAATGACCCAAATCAAAAGAACCTCGTCGCCGAGGTCTCCATTCCCCATCCCGTCGTTCATAAACAAACCTCTAAACCGCTCCTTCACCCTTCTGGACGCAACCTTCGCGTTGTCGCTATCGACGTCGGGATGAAGTTCAACCAAATTCGCTGCTTCACCAACCGCGGAGTTGAACTCAAAGTCGTACCATGGAATTATGATTTTTTAGCTGACAGCGAGCCATTTGATGGCATCTTTGTTTCCAACGGCCCCGGAGATCCCGTCATCGTCCAAGAAACTATTCAGAGACTCGAGAAGGCTATGGAAATGGCTGACAGACCTATTTTCGGTATCTGTCTTGGACATCAGCTCATGGCGTTGGCCGCCGGCGGAACAACATCTAAGATGAAGTACGGCAACCGTGGCCACAACATTCCTTGTACAGACGCGATTTCTGGAAGGTGCTACATTACCTCTCAGAACCACGGTTATCAGGTCGACATGGCTTCCCTTCCTCTCAACTGGAAGGAGTTGTTCCGCAACGCCAATGACGGAAGCAACGAGGGTATCTATTGTGAAGATAAACCCTTCTTCTCTGTCCAGTTCCACCCCGAGTCCAATGCCGGCCCTCGCGATACCGAATTCCTCTTCGACGTCTTCATTCAGCGAGTCGTCGACTGCGCCACCATTGGCTCAGTGCCCTCTCTCTCCATGCCAGGTGGCAAGAAGGAAGAAAACGACAAGCGTGTCCCTCGCGCCAACGTCTCCAAGGTCATCATCCTTGGTTCCGGTGGTTTGTCTATTGGTCAAGCCGGAGAATTCGACTACTCCGGTTCCCAGGCAATCAAGGCCCTCAAGGAGGAAGGCATATACACGATCATGGTTAACCCAAACATCGCCACCATTGCCACCTCCAAAGGACTCGCCGACAAAGTCTACTTCCTGCCCGTTACGCCCGAGTTCATCAGAAAGGTCATCAAGTTCGAGAAACCCGACGGGATCTACGTCACATTCGGTGGCCAAACCGCTTTAAACGTCGGCATCAAGCTGAAGGATGAGTTCGAAGAGCTCGGCGTGAAGGTCCTCGGTACGCCCATCGACACTGTCATCACGACTGAGGACAGGCAGCTGTTTGCAGCTGCGATGGAGGAGATTGGGGAGAAGTGTGCCGAGAGCCTAACCGCGACGAACACGAATGACGCGGTTGCCGCTGCGACGCAGATTGGATTCCCGGTCATTGTCCGAGCGGCGTACGCTCTTGGTGGCTTGGGCAGTGGTTTCGCGCAGGACGAGGCGCAGCTAAGGGCTCTGTGTGCGAAGGCATTCGCTACTAGCCCGCAGGTCCTCGTTGAGAAGAGTATGAAGGGATGGAAGGAGATCGAGTACGAGGTTGTTCGGGATTGCAGGGATAACTGTATCACAGTTTGTAACATGGAGGTGTGTTTCTTTTTTCTTTGTTTTCTTTCGCGGTTGTTCTCACCGATTCTCGTGCAGAACTTCGACCCTCTCGGTATTCATACTGGTGACTCCATCGTTGTCGCCCCTTCTCAGACTCTCTCGGACTCTGACTACAACATGCTCCGGACGACCGCCATCAACGTTATCCGTCACCTCGGCGTCGTAGGAGAGTGCAATATCCAATATGCACTCAACCCTACCTCGCAAGAGTATTGCATCATCGAAGTCAACGCCCGTCTTTCTCGTTCCTCTGCCCTTGCCTCCAAAGCAACAGGCTACCCGCTCGCCTTCATAGCTGCCAAGCTCGGCCTGGGGATTCCGTTGAACGAGATTAAGAACTCCGTTACGAAGGTTACCTCGGCATGCTTCGAGCCCTCACTCGATTACTGTGTCGTCAAGATCCCCCGTTGGGATCTGAAGAAGTTTAATCGTGTCAGCAGGCTGCTCAGTTCGAGCATGAAGAGTGTTGGAGAGGTTATGAGCATTGGACGGACGTTCGAAGAGACAATTCAGAAGGCGATTCGGGCCATTGACGACCAATTCACTGGTTTCGCCAAGGTCGGTATTTTCTATCCTTTCATCATTAATTTTTGTTGACGGCAAATTTGCTAGAACGACTTTGTCGAGAACATCGACGAAGAGCTCGTTAACCCGACTGACAAGCGTATCTTTGCCATCTCGACAGCCTTCCATCGTGGCTACAGCATCGACAAGATCTGGAAGATGACGAATATAGACAAGTGGTTCTTGAACAAGTTGCACAACATCTTCAAGCTCGAGCAGCGTCTCATGTACGCTATTTATTGTATATGTATGCGCATTTACTCATTTATTTTGTAGGACTTGCAACGTGTCGAACCTCCCTATCGACCTCCTGCGACAGTCCAAGCAATGTGGTTTCTCTGATCGTCAAATTGCTGGCTGCATTGGCTCTACCGAACTTGCCGTGCGCCGGCTTCGTCAAGAAGCTGGCATTTCGCCATTTGTCAAGCAGATCGACACCGTGGCCGCCGAATTCCCTGCCTACACCAACTACCTTTACATGACTTACAATGCTGTCGAGCACGACGTGGCCTTCGACGACCGTGGCGTCATCGTTCTAGGCTCAGGGGTGTACCGCATTGGTTCCTCCGTCGAGTTTGATTGGTGTGCCGTTCGTGCCATTAGAACACTCCGTGATCAAGGCCTACCCACTGTCATGGTTAACTACAACCCTGAGACCGTCAGCACGGACTACGACGAAGCGGACAGGCTCTACTTTGAGAATATCAACTTGGAGACGATTTTGGATATCTATGACGTGGAAAGCTCGAGGGGTGTTATCTTGTCCATGGGTGGCCAGACGCCTAACAATATCGCACTGCCCTTGTACCGCCAGAACGTCAAGATCTATGGTACTTCGCCCGAGATGATTGACACAGCTGAGAACAGATACAAGTTTTCTCGCCTCCTCGACGATATCGGCGTTGATCAGCCACTGTGGAAGGAGCTCTCGAGCTTCGAGGCCGCAGCAGAGTTTTGCGAGAAGGTTGGATATCCTGTGCTCGTTCGTCCTTCGTACGTTTTGTCGGGTGCGGCCATGAACGTCGTTTCGACCAGCGACGACTTGTCGAGTTACCTGACGCAGGCCGCGGACGTCTCGCGTGACCATCCTGTGGTCATCTCCAAGTACATCGAGCAGGCAAAGGAGATCGAAATGGATGCAGTGGCTAAGGACGGCAAGATGGTCATGCACTATATTTCGGAGCACGTTGAGAACGCTGGCGTGCACTCGGGTGATGCCACCCTCATTCATCCACCTCAAGACCTCGACCCAACGACTGTCCGTCAGATAGAGGAAGCCACGGCAAAGATTGGACGAGCACTGAACGTTACGGGCCCTTTCAACATCCAATTCATCGCGAAGAACAATGAGATCAAGGTCATCGAGTGCAATCTCCGTGCGGCACGTTCGTTCCCTTTCGTGTCGAAGGTGACGGGTATCGATGCCATCGAGATGGCGACCAAGGTCATGCTCGATATCCCGGTCGAGTCGTATCCAGATCCTGGCCTGCCTCCGGACTACGTCGGTGTCAAGGTCCCGCAGTTCAGCTTCAGTCGCTTGTCGGGTGCTGATCCTGTCTTGGGTGTCGAAATGGCTTCAACAGGTGAGGTGGCATGCTTTGGGCATGATAAGTATGAGGCGTACCTCAAGGCACTCATTTCGACTGGTATCGTTCTGCCAAAGAAAAACATCCTCTTGTCGATCGGTAGCTATCGCGAGAAGTTGGAGATCTTGCCCTCAGTGCAAAAACTGAGTGCGGCTGGGTACAATATTTTCGCTACGTCGGGTACTGCAGACTTCTTGACGGAACACGGGGTTCCTTGCAAGGTACGCATGATCCCTTCTTTTTTTCTCAGTTCTTAACACTCTTGTTCGCAGTACCTTGAGACCCTCGGCGATGACAGTCGCGACAAGCAGAAGTCGGAGTACTCTCTGACTCAGCATCTTGCGAACAATCTCATCGACATGTACATCAACCTGCCCTCGAAGAACCACTACCGTCGTCCAGCTAGCTACACCAGCAAGGGCTACCATACCCGCCGTATGGCTGTCGACTTCGCCGTCCCGCTCATTACGAACGTGAAGAACGCGAAGATGCTCGCGGAGGCGCTTGTTCGCAAACTCCCTCTCGACGTCTCCAATTTGGACTCCAAGAGCTCGCACCAGACCCACACGTTCCCTGGCCTCGTAAACGTAGGAGCTTTCGTACCAAAGGTCGCGATTGCCAACAATCATGACATCGTCACCGTAACCGAGGCCTCACTTAGTGCAGGATTCACCACGGCTCTCATCTCACCAGTTGGCCAAGGCAACAGCATCGTCGACCGTAATACGCTTGAGCAGGCGCGCTCGAATCTCGCTGGCCATTCCCGTTGCAACTTTGCCTTCAGCATCACTGCAACATCAGAGAATGTCGGCTTTTTGGATGAGGAGCTCCAGGCGGAAGTCAAGTCACTCTTTGTGCCCTCGTCCCTCCCTCTTTCCGTCGTTGCAGGTCACTTTACATCCTGGCCGTCGGACAAAGTCATCGTAACCAACGCGAAGGGGTCTGAGCTCGCATCTATCCTCCTACTCGCCAGCCTCCACAGTCGCAGCGTCCACATCACCGACGTACGCACCACCGATGATCTGCTACTTATTTCTTTGAGCAAGGCCAAGCAACTGAAGGTTACTTGCGATGTCTCTGTCTTCGCGTTGTTCTTCACGACAGAGCAGTATCCTGGTGTTGACGGTCTTCCTTCGGTCGATGTCCAGAAGACTCTGTGGTCGAAGCTTGATGTCATCGACGTTTTCTCCACTGGGCCTACCCCCTTCCAACTCGCTGTCGCAGCCGGAAGGCCCACCTCCGCGTGGTCCGGTGTTGAGGAAACCCTGCCCCTTCTCCTGACTGCCGTCACAGAAGGTAGATTGACTCTGGACGACATCCGCAAACGCCTTCACGACAATCCTGTCCTTATCTTCGGCATTGTTGACCAATCGCAGACCAGTGTTGAAGTTGTTATCGGCCGCAAGTCGAAGTTCTCCTCCAACACCTCTTGCTGGTCGCCCGTCCAACACACATCTGGTACCGTTCATCGTGTCGTCCTCCATGGTCAGACTGCCTTCCTCGATGGTTCATTGTTTTCTACGCAAGGAGGTCGCGACATCTCTGGGTCCGTTGTCAGCCACCCTGCACCTGTACCCCCGGCCGCTGCCACTGGAAAGGAACATGAAGTCCCGACGCATGCGCCTGGGTTAGCATCGTCGACCGCAGCGGTCCATCAGGCGACAACGTTGCAGAACCAATTTGGGCCTGTTGCCAACATTCTTTATATCCAACCTCACCCTGCTTTCCACCGCCGTCACATTCTCTCTGTCAAGCAGTTTACACAGCGTGACATATATGATCTCTTCTCGATCGCCAACGAGATGCGCATCCAGGTCGAGCGCAATGGTAGCCTCGATATCCTGAAGGGAAAGGTTCTCTGCACGGTCTTCTACGAGCCTTCTACTCGAACCAGCTCCTCGTTCGATGCTGCTATGAAGCGATGCGGTGGTCAGGTTGTGCAGGTCGCTGCTGAGAGCTCGTCAGTGGCTAAAGGCGAGAGTTTGGCCGATACAGTTCGCACCCTGGCTTGCTATGGAGATGGCATCGTTATTAGACATCCTCAGGTTGGCAGTGCTCAAGAGGCTGCGAAGTACTCTCCGGTTCCTGTCATCAATGCTGGTGATGGTATTGGCGAACATCCTACCCAGGTATGTAAGATCCACCTTCATGATTGCTCCGAATTAATCCACGTCTAGGCCCTCTTGGATATCTACACCATCCGCTCCGAGTTGGGTACTGTCAATGGACGTACCATCACTCTCCTCGGCGACCTCAAGAACGGAAGGACAGTCCACAGCCTCGTCACTCTCCTGTGCCATTATTCCGTCCGGCTTAACTTTGTCTCCCCTGCGTCTCTCGCCATGCCTTCCTATGTAGTCTCCGCTGCCCGTAAAGCTGGCATCCCAGTTGCCATTTGCGAGTCGCTGGATGAGGTGTTGGCTGACACCGACGTTCTGTACGTCACCAGAGTGCAGAAGGAGCGTTTCGAAAGCGAGGCAGAGTGGTTGCAGGTCAAAGATGCATATCGTGTTGATCATGCTGTCCTCTCGAGAGCAAAGGAGGAGATGATCGTCATGCATCCTCTTCCTAGGGTTAATGGTATGTTCACTGTTCCTCCTTCGAGCCCGACATTCGCTGACCTTTCGAGATAGAAATCGATCCCGAAGTCGACTATGATTCTCGTCGTGCTGTGTACTTCCGTCAAATGCGCTATGGTCTCTTTGTAAGCTCTCTTTGTTGATTCAATCCTGTATTCAGTACTGACGTTACCCCTCCAGATTCGTATGGCTCTGCTCGCAAGCGTAATGGCTTAGACGTCCACAAAACAATCGCGGGGCTTTTTGACATCTCCTCATTCTAGAATCTACGTAGATCAAATCATGTTTAGGGCAACGGTTCTCCGTCAATCTTGTAGCATACTCATCGAAAGTGAAATTTTAGAATCTCATTTGAGCTTCGATTAGAAATAGATATAATCTGGACCTATTTAACCCGTTACTGTATCGTACCGTTGTATTTTTAGTTGTATTTTTATTTTTATGTATAATATTCATGGACGTTCCTTCATCCTTTCTTCATTCAGATGGTAAAACGAAGTCGTTTCTACTTGGGAAAACCCTTGAGACGAAGTCCGCTCATCAACGGGTAGAGCCGTAGTTGGTAATCTTCGAGGCATCCTCTGAGGAAGAAAGAAGCCCTTCCTCCATGACCCCACCGGTAGACACAGATGGGATGGTATCAATTATGGACAGAGACGCAACAGGCTCTTTCTGCTTCGTGAGCTTGAAATTATATGAGTCCTTTAATCAATGCCAAAAGTGGGAGGGCAACTCACGGCGATGTATATCGCAGAACAGACGATTAGCAGCGTCCCAATTACAGAAAGGCGGGTGGGGACAGTGTGGAAAACGACACGCTCGAAGATCATCGCCCAGACAACCTGCGAGGCGGTAAGTGGCAAATAAAAGAAAGGAGATGAACCAAAGTACCAGCGTATAGATCGCCATAGTTCCCCGGCTTGCAGTCTCACGTTGAATACCCATTGTGAGCAAAATCTAACTACCGTTCGCAAGGATGAACCTCAGGACGATGAAAATGGGCGTACTTGTCCAAAGAATCCGAAGAACCCAATCATGAAAAGCAAGGTAAGCGCTTCCCCGCTAGGCATGATGAACTGGGTTTTCGAAACAAGCATGCTGAAATAGATTGTAAGATAAGAAATTTCGCAACAGTATTACTCACGATAAGCTTGTACAGAGAATAGAAGACATTGCAAAGTACATCATAGTGTGCATAGCATGCGCTCGTTTCCCAATAGCGCGAATCATCGTGTCTGGAGAGGTTAAAATTACTCAACGAAAGTGCTAGCAGCGTGCTAGGACCTACATGTTAAGGTCAACCCTAGGACCCCGATGAGAGCAGCTCTGGCGTAGATGTTGAATACAAATATACGAAAGCGGCTACAAAATGCATTTACCCAACGGCCAGCAATCTTTGAGCAGGTGTCACGCCTTCAGGATCGGACGTCTCTGGCAAGTCGTGGGAGCCAAAAATGGCTGTAGGACGCGCTATCAAGACGACCCCTCCAAGGCTAATCACTGGAACCAATGTGATTCGGCGTCACGACACGTCAAGAGACTTTGGCGGCCGTACCTCCGGCAAGGGCTTCTCCAACAGTAAACCTCTCCTCAAGGAATACTGAACCAGCGACAGCCGTCGTCATAGGAGCAAGGAATGTGAGAACAGTAGCGTCCGAGAGGGAGAGATACCGGAGGGCGGAGCAGCTGCCAAAGAATGCCACAAATCTAAAACGGAGGTGCGATGAGAGGATGCATCTCGAAACAGACGACATAGACCAACCCTCCCATTCCGCGACACAAAAGCAGCAGCCGGACACCTTTCGGACCGAGAAGCGGGTTTGGGATCTTTGCGAGATATCTGGAACACGCTCAGTTTTGTTCGTTGCGGCTTATGGCGAGAAAGAACATTACATGTACGCCAGACAGCATGCATATGTAATGACCTGGAAAGCCGCAAATATGAACGATGAATGCCAATTCACGGGAAATCTTCGTGAGCTGGCGCACCGATCGAACCCAAACCAGCTACAAGGGAAAGTCAGTAGACTTGAAAAGCGTTCCACAGGTTAAGAAGTTGCACACACCTGAAAGGTGCTTATCGGAGGATCGATGCCATGAAGGACCTTTACCGTGGTAGTCATCATGGAAAAGAAAGCCTGGGATGCAACAACAAGCAGAAGCCCAGCATTGCGTCTTCCGACATCCTTCGCCTCACTGAACGCTACCGACACAGAACCTGGCTTGCCAACTTGTGGGTATTGACTTGTGGATATTGCCGACGCTGAGCTCTTGGATTTCAGTTCGGAGGCCATGGTGGTTGAACGCAGGTGTCTACCTGACTGGACTCTATATACGCCACCGTCCGGCGTAAGTCGCTCAGACAAGGATGATTGCTAGATGCCAGATGGATGCGGTGTCTGGCAATGAAGCGGGGATAATCATAATCAAAGCTGGCAGGTGCCCAATGGCATTTTGTACGCTGAAACTGCATGGAGGCTTAGTACTAGTTCGATGATCTGTGTTCCGTAAAAAAATTAAGGTGCGCAAGGTTTAGCGGAGCGGGAGTCTTATCGTCTGAGTGCATAGTGTGCGACCGAAGTGTGCGACCGAAGTAGCAAAAAGTGATTGCTGATCCGTTTCAAGTAAGCATTCATCGAGGGACTTTCGCTGCGGACCATGCTGATTTTGTTCAACCGTGCGTTCGCCAACAGAGTCTGGACTGAAGATGGGCATTTCGTGCAGGTTCCAGACTCGTTAGTGGATATGAAGGGTACATGAAATACTTCTATGAGTGCCGTCCTCCAGAGGTAGAACCGTAATCCGTCCTCTTCGGAGCATGTGCCGACGGGGAAAGAAGACCTTCCATGCCCTCATCGGTGGACACCGCTGGAATAGGCGGCGTGCCTTCGGATTGGGAGGCGTTCTCTTTTTGCTTCGTGAGCTATAAATGGCATCGTAAGTTGAGCGAGCAAGAGAACTTCGGTGATAAAGTTAATGATGGCACTCACGGCGACGTACATCGCCGAACTAACGATTAAAAGTGTTCCAACGACCGAGAGGCGTGTGGGCACGGTGTGGAAAATGACGCGTTCGAAAATCGTCGCAAAGACGACCTGCATGACGGCGGCATTAGATACAAAGGATTATGTTGAGAAGGGTCAAGAGTACCAGAGTATAGATAGCCATGGTCCCTCGTCCTGCAGTCTCGCGCTGAAGGCCCATCGTCAACAAAATCTAGAGGACATCATAAGAACGAACGGTCTCGCCCCAGCGCGAAGCAGCAAATAGAAGATAGGCGTACCTGGCCAAAGAAGCCGAAGAAGCCAATCATCAGTAGCAACGAGAGCCATTCCACTCTAGTTGGAACAATGAATTCGGTCTTCGTGATAATCATGCTGCACGAGATGAGGTGGTTAGCTCCTCGTCCGTAACCGTCGGCGAAAGAATTATTTACGAGGTGGTCGTGACGATAACAGAGGTCATGGCGAAATATATCATAGCGTGCATTGGATGGGCTCGTCTACCAACGGCGCGAATTGTTGTGTCTGAAAAAAAAAGGAATTGAGTTCTGAAAATTAAGAGGGGCACACAGGCTAGCGTTGATCCTAGCACACCGCAGAGAGCAATTCTAATGCCAAAAAAGTCAGGAGAAAATCATCAAGGTTCAGAAATATAGAGTTTACCCAACGGCCAGCATCCTTTGCGCAGGTGTCACTGCACTGGGATCCGACGTCTGTGGAGAATCGTGGCTTCCAAAAACTGGTGTAGGACGTGCTATCAGGACGACACCTCCAAGACTTATCACTGGACAGGAGGAATGGGTATTTGAAATGTGTGACAGGAGATATGGGAGCGCATACATCCTGCACAGGCTTCGCCAATAGTGAAATTTTCGCCGAGGAATATTGAGCCTGCGATGGCGGTGGCCATAGGCGCCAGGAAAGTGAGGACGACAGCGTCAGAAAGGGAGAGGTATTGGAGGGAGAAGTAGATGCCGAAGAGTCCGATGAAGCTAAAGGAAAAGGATTGTTGAGCAAGCGTTTGATACAGATAAAGTCAACTGACCCTCCAATTCCTCTACACATAAGGAGTAGACGAACGTCCTTTGGACCTAAGAATGGGTCTGGGATCTTCGCAAAATACCTGAGAAAGCCATCAGTATATTCTGTTCGTGGATGTCAATGAGATAAACACACATATATGCCATACAACATGAGTATGTGATGACCTTGAATGGTTCAACGCGAATCCTAAGCCATGGTCAATTGTCCGGGGACTCAGACAACGCACCATCCTAACCCAGATCAGCTATAACAGGGAAAAACAATTCAGTTCCCAAGTAGAGTATTCTGGAGGCCAAGAGAGCCGACATACCTGAAGGGTAGTTATCGGGGGATCAACACCATGAAGGACCTTGACAGCCGTATTCATCATGGAAAAGAAAGCCTGTGATCCAACGACGAGTGACAGCCCAGTATTCCGCTTCGCAACCTCTTTCACACTGTCGAGTGCACCTCGTGTCCTTGAGAATTTTGCCTCAGTCAAGTCGGAGGCAGAATCTCCATCATCTCCGAAGTGGACATGTTCAGACACAGAACTGGTTGGGTTGAACCCGGGACCCACGTCCCGGGATACTACCACGGCTGCACTCTTGGACTTCGACGACATGGTGGTTTGAATTGAAGAGAAGTTCGCCTAAGCCGACTTCAATTAGGCGACATCTGACGTGACTGCGAAAATTGACGGGGGGTGCGGAGATACCATGAGCAAAAGTGAAATTTCGGGGAAGCCGCTGCGAGCTTGCATGTTCGTCAAAAATCTTCCTTTCGAGATGGAAAGTTGAATATTTTCATACCATTTTCTCATAGGCCCTCCGGAAGTCGACTCCGGCCATATAAAAGCGGCGATACAGCAGCATCTGGGTACAAACTGGAGTGCTTTTGAGGTCTGCCATGAGATCGAACCGACAAGCCGAACGCCATGAGAAAATGATCCGACATCATATAGGGGTCTTCTTCGAACAATGGTCCTCCTGCGCGGACCGTGGCTGGAAAGGACGACGGTGCGAGAGGCGTTGCCGGCGGCTCCAAACTCCGAACACCTTTTGAACGAGGGTTGGGTATAAAGGGGTCGACTTCGTCGACATACACCTTGCTTGAAAGTTCAAAGCTGACACATTTGTAATACTTATGTAAAATGAGGAGGCTAATCTTGCTATACAGATTTCAATAAGCATGGACAAGAACACAATAGTCATAAAGAAAAAAGGGAAGACAAAATACAAGAGCGGATCTAGAGGGAGATTATAAGGAATATCATCAGGGAAATGGGAGTGCCAACGATATGGATAATCACCAATCCGGAGACTCGGGAGTACCAACGGATAATGGACTCAGCAAGAAACAAGATTGGAACTTGATTGGAACAGTAGGATAGAAGCCTACACAGACGAATGCTAAGAAAATTGCAGGAGAGGGCACCATGGGAAAAGGGGTGATTGTTCGAGTCACAATCCAGGGGTGAAGACAAACAAGCCAAAAGTCAACATTCGAGCCTCTGGGTTTCGGGGAAGTAGTGCTTGGTCGTGTCACATTAAGGGGGGAAAGGCAAACAAGCCAAAAGTCAACTTTCAAGCCTCTGGGTTTTCGGGGAAGGAGTACTTGGTCGTGTTTGGCTGTTTCTAAAAAAGGTGACTTTTGACCGAGTGGGACCTTACTTTCAGCAAGGTGAATCGTTTCTCACGGCCTTCCAAACGTACATTCAATGATTCACTCTTCTTTAAGAGAAATCCTAAGTAGCAGGGCTCTAAGTATGCTTCGACAAGATGAGCATGCTCAGCTCTGAAATTCATCTCTGCTCACCGACTGACGGCTGAAAATCCCTCAGTACTCTGCAAAACGTCATGTTCGTCGCAAGTTCGCGCTCATTGAAAGTTATGACAGGTTATGGGATCCCATAACCTGTTCTCGTGGCATTTTAGGCCGATTTATTCCTATGCATTCGGCTGAAAGCGACTTTGAATCAAATGTCGCTTTTTCGGAAAAGTATAGGTTCGATCTACCTGCAATAAAAATCTTGCCTTCTGTCTGAAGCTTCGTATACTCGTCCAGATGAACTCTCCAGTCCTGACATACCTCGTACACCTACATTAAATTGAACGAAAGCCTGCCTTTCGTTCCATCAAGCAACCCCAATTTCGGTCAATCGCTTCCGCATTCGTGGCGAAAGGAGTCACTGTTCTACTTTACCGCCGCTGTTGCTGGTGCATCCACTATTTTTTGTGCTGGCATATCCAGAAGATTGAGCAATACTTTCTGTGCTGGTCGTAGTTGTTGAAATAACCTTATGCTTCACTAGACAGGCGCTTTTGATACTCGCAGATCTTCCTCAATTGTGTGTTTCTCATTCAATCCTTCCGGTGCCGTTCCGTTAATAAGGATAACGCCGACTAGCGTATAGCTGGATGGCAGCTTTCATTGCTTAAATAGTGGGCGTAGCCACATTTTCTAGTCAGGACTTAGAGTGCGCATTTCGCTGACGACATCAGAATGGAATAGCACAGACATATATAGGAGAATCCTTGACAAAGCTTGAGGCTTGTCTTGGGCAGAGTGTCAGAGAGGACCCCGGCTCAAGGGCAACCTCAAATTCCAAACGGACAAAATTGTAGGTCTCAGGAATTGAACCGATGACTTAGAGCATTGACTTTGTGGGATTTCACACGATAAAGCAGCTATCAGCGCGATTGAACCACTAGGCCAAAAGGTGTACACCTAGTTTTTCACTCTTTGTCTTTTGTCACTCCCAATTCGACAACCGAGGATTCCATGACATATATTATAGCTAGCGTCATTTGGACCCCGATCCAACTGGTGTTGAGGGGGGTTATCGTCTCACAACGGGGAGGGGCTTGCTTCCTTCCCACACCGTGACAGGGACAGCTGGTCGCGCTGATCGCCAGTCTGCCGACGTACTGCCGCTTTACGGACTTATCGTGACCTAGACTGTGCGTAGCCATCACCCACCTTTGGACTCAGTCGGCAGTCTCCGAAGATCGTACCGAAAGCAGTACACAAAGTCTAATGAGCAGACGGTGTAGCGCTGAAGAGAGTACGACAGTTTAAGTAGCAATAGTGTTTAATAATATGTATTTCCCTGCGATTGTGAAAGAGATGTAAACATGTGGTATGTATATGTTGCGCTTGAAAATGGAAGCGTTTCAAGTGAGATGATAATTGAGGAGGTATAATTTATGTAGGAAAAGATCTAGAATTCGAAAGACTTGAAGCCCAATGATGACGGCGATGACAGTGAAAGTCGTAATCCTTAAACAAGAGAAAAAGATGCTGAAGGAAAATAAAAAGTTTTGACCGGATAGGAGTAACAAATGAAAGCCTAGAAATGAATATTGAACGTTGGTTTTCCAGAATAATGCGCCACTGCTGAAAACGGCATAGAAAATGTAGACTTCTTCGAAGTGGAAGGCGAAAATGTAGGCAGGGTGAAACGAAAAGATGCAATAATGACGAGGGTGAAGAGTGGTGAAAGGGTGAATATATGCGCGTCTTCGAAGCGGTTTCTCTCATACTGGAGTCGACAGTTTTCGTTCACTGTGGACAAGACCCAGGAAGTGGGAATAAATTCTCTGTTACGGATGAAGGTAGCCCGAAACTCACCCGTTCGCGTTCCCAAGGAGCTCCTCGAAGCGATACCTTAACCCTCGTATATCATCGTCGAACTTATCGCCGAACTGGTGTCCATGGTCCATTTGGAAGGCACGGCATTCGCGTATGAACTGTTCGAGATCCTTGACGCGTGTGATGGATAGTTCTGGCTCGTTGGATCCACGTGCACGGGCGAGGTAGGATGCAACAATTGTCGAAAGGCCGCCTAAGGAGAGAGAGGAGTAAATGTCAGATAGAGGTGCATATACGCGCCAAAATAACGAAAGGGAGCCCTACCAAGGATAGCGGTCATAATAGAGGTCTATGTAGTGGAAGTGATCAGCAAATCTCCTCGCCTTCTGGCCAAAGGAAAATGAAAGGCACCTGTTTCCCTGTCGTGACAACAGACAACCCTGTCGTTAGAGCCCCCAGCAACACCTGCAGACCAATGGCGATGTTGAGGGCGTATCCCGTTACACGCGCCTTCAGCGCGTATTTGTCCTTCTCAGAGATGGCGTGTGCCAGTGTTGGCTCCAACCTCTCTCCAGTCGTCTTCTCCCGCACAGGCTGCAAACGACTCATTCGTGGAAGGCCAATGCGCTCGACTCGGAAATTAGACCCACCTTATCATCTAGCGGGACGATCCAGTCGATCCCTGAACGCGGTCCCAACGTAGAAGCGCGATGATCTCCACTGAGCTGTCGTCGAGTTGGTGGCCTGTGTGGTGGATGCAGCATCCCTCCCGGACCCGGACTGCGAGACATCTCGCGCTGTGGCACGGGTGGTAGGGGATGTCCAGAGTTCGACAGCGTCTCGCCATCGTAGTTCTCCTTCTCCGTCTTCTCGGACACGTCGGAAGAGTTGTACCCTGTCGACCGACCTGGCATTGTGGACGTGTTGGCGGTGGTCGTGGTTGTCGTCACTGCTGGGTTAACCAGGATGGTTTCCGGGTGGCCTGTGCGTGCGAGTCCAAGCGTTGGCGAGGGTGAACGCGAGAACGTAGTGACTGCCTGAGTTGGATACGCGAGCTCGACGCGGGGTGCGTTCTGGCGTTGCTCTTGCAGGCTGCGATCCTGGTCCATCTGAGCTTACTAGGGTTTATCGAGGCTGGATGAACGCCGCCAGCCTGGAGGACGATTAAGTACCGCAACGTGAAAAACTGACAGTGAGAGCAGTGGTAATCAGGCGGTCGTAAAACACGCTGTTGCCAGGTGGTAAGCGGGCTTACTTACGAAAAGTTGAAGCATCTGCATTCTGGAAATCTCTCGATAGGCCACGATTATCACGTCGGTCATGGATCTGGACAGAAAATAAAATATCGATAGTAGCAGCGAATTCGGTGCCCACAGAACAGCAAGAGAGGTGTAAAAGAACTCCGATACAACGATACTCACGAATAGGGGGTTTTCTTGGCAGGCTCGGGATTCGGCCCCAGAAGCATAACTTCCACTCAGCCTCGCCTCATGAATACCTCACCGCAGGCTGTCAATTCAACGAGGTGAGTTAAACTGGCGAGTTAATTCAACCATAACTGCACACTTTTAGATCGACTCACCTTTTTTGCAATTTCTGACTAGGAAACTGTACTTAATCTGCAATACGCAGGGGGACTGTCAATCGTGCTCATATCATGGTAATCGCTCGTCTTCAATGACGGTTTTATCGCGAAGTATATTATACACTGTGAAGGAGAGCAGTGCGATGGATCAAAGAATAGACGAAATCACGAAATGTTGCGTGAGGTGTTTGAGAGGAATAAAAAAGGAGAGAAATGAGGCCCTCCGTGGACAGATTGGAAGGAGATTGAATTGGGCGTCTAAATAAATACGACATTTAAGCGCAGCATTGGCGCTTAGACAATCCTGAATGGTCTAGCGCACGCCCGGCAGTAAGTATTTGAGAAAGGCAGATATTGAAGAATCCTGCGAGTGACACATAATCAGTTTATTCCACTGTTCAAGAAATGATGCATCCAGCGTGCGTCAAAGATGTTGTTTGGGGCCGCGGTTATAGTTGAACGTTGAAACGTTGACGCGTTGGGCATCCGGCGGCAATGCCAAATCTGGTCTCTCCGAAGTTCACACGGATGTGATGCCTTTCTCGGCGGCTAGCGGACAGGAAACCTGTGCGCCACACATTCGGTAATGAATGTGCTCAATCGCGAGAAGTCGTCTGGAATAAGCGAGCCGCTAAGAGCAAGACGCGGAGGAAACCGCCTCCACGTGCGAATCCGATCAGACAGGGCACCAGCTCTCGTAACTTGGCTTAGGGCCATTTTATTTAAAATGGAAGACGAGGAGAAAAATATTCAGCCCTATACAATTCTAATTTTAAGACACTTCGAGGCGTCGGGGTCGAACCGCGGAATAGCAACATATACAAAGTAGGGCTCGGTGCTTTGGAAACAATAGTATGGTCCTCCATCGAAGTACTTATTGCTCACAGAATTGTCGCCACGTTAAGCTTTGAAACCCGTGCTTACCGATTAAGGAATGACTGGATAAAAAATATCAAATGGAAAGAACAACGGCTGCAGTTCTGAATAGGATTATTTGAGGCAGGCTCCGCAGTGGCTCTAGGAGACGCTCTGGTCGTCTATTCGGACTTCGACTGTGCACACGGGGAATTGAAAGACTGGTCTGAGGTGGCGAACAAGTTTCTTTGCTTGTAATATGATATCTCGTAGTCCCGGGGGCCTATTCAGTTGCTCCCTTAGCCATAGGAACCTTCTGTTTATATTCAATCTGAGCAGAGGATACACATGTGGGGACTATGTGGTCGATTAGGATAGTAGACCGACGAGAACGAATGACAGCAAATGACGACGCAGCGGTGGAACGCGTTTTGAACGAATCAACAGCGGTAACGTTCCGAAAGGACATCTTCCACGTGTTGATCATCGATCAGTTCTACGCAGATATTTTTTCTTCTGGGGTACTTCTTACTCCACGTAGAAAGGGGAGAAACTGAAATGTCGATCAGTCTTGGGGCGTCGGAGAAGGTATGTCTTTTGACATCAGCTCGTACTGATAAAAATACAATAGTGCCCGGTGTTTCCGTCAAGATGGAAGTTCCATTATGTTCAGGTTCTCCGTTTTCCAATGGGTGTCGTGCAGTGGTTGCATGGACCTTGTTGTCTGCAACACAACGGTACTGCAAGCTAGCCTCAAACAAGAATTATACCCTACTTATCCGTCTCACCTAACATTTTTCGAACTTCGACACGGGTCGCGGGATCAAATTCCAAAGCCAATTGTCGGGGATGGGTGCAGTAGGGATTCGAACCTCGACCCTGAAAATCCCCTCGCGACTCGCTTTCCCGCAGAAGCTGTGTATTCCGAAGAGCGACGCGAGATATTAAGTGGATGCGGAGCTATTCTCAACTCGGACTTCCATGACACGTTTTGAATTCTCCATTCATTCATCTAGCTGTCGTTGCTATTAAGTCTCAAGTGGGGACTAAGCGGGACCGCGTGTCGACAAGCCCACTCCGAGCTGCCCCAGAGAAGATTGACAGTAATCATGGCTCTGGATTGGCAAACCTGCATGACAAAGCTGCATGAATCATCGTCTGCCTACGGTCCTTTTCTTTCCCCCAGGCGAGGAATTCTCTGTTATGGCGAAATATTCGTCGCGAGCTTGACAATGTAATCCATCCGCTCATGAGCTGGCTAGTATCACATGACTCAAGTCACCCTCATTTAGGCGCCCATTCAATTCGGACGACAACGTGGGCCCATTGGTTGGCGAGAATCGGGGGAATTCCTAGCTTCCCCTTCTCGTGAGAAGATGTCAGCTGCGGCCCCTCTAATCTGCACCCTTCCTCCTTGGAAGGCACTGCGATTCGCACACACTTTCAAGCGACGAGAGACCTGAGAGCCGCCTTTCCGTGTCAGACTCTATGGCAACGTTGGATAGGGATGAACTAAGAAAAACGATTGGCGATAATCACAAGCGGGCATATACTTTAATCGATGGCGATTCGTTGGGACTTGGTAATCTATTATTCAGAGGCGGTCCCCTACTCCTGTGTGCCTCAAATGACAGACACGCACCCCGAAAGAAGAATGGGTGTTTGTTTAAAACGCCATTGCGTGGACGCTGAGTCAATAATCTCTCGCAGATCCCTCCACATTTCGCCAATGTCGGAATGCAACACCTCTTCCGATTATTTGCAGCCGCAGGACGCTCCCCATACTCGTGTCGCTGCTTGGCTGAGAGGCATCGCTCTCATCGAAAACGAGACGTCGGATACCGCCTCAAATCCCAATACTACTTCAGGCGTTACATCGAGCTTGGAGGATCGCTGGCGCTCTCGTGCGAAGCGCCGCCTGTCCGGGCGGTCTTTCCCCAATTATCTTGGTTCAGTCAATGACCCCTTTGATTTATCTATGCGCCATCTGTCAAACAACCGGGGTGGGCGATTTCACCCGTCGAGTGCATTGCCGGCATCGCTAATCAATTCTCCATTTATTTAAAGGTGTATCTGAAGTGTTCCAGCCACCCATGCACTCTCCCACCTCCTGGCCTATAGCGTGTGAGCCACCCGCACCGACATCGACCATGTCCGGCCCTCCGTCAATTTATAGCCTTGATGGACATGACCACGAAACCTTCCTCTCATATGTCGAAATGGACTGGGACTCGGAGCCCGTCCAAGGGGGCCCACCGGGTGCGGACAATGACGACGAATTGAAGCGACGGGAAAGGAGGGCGAACGTGCTGACGTCTACATCCATTGTGCCCTGCTGCAACGACGCGGCATTCTTCTACGCGCAGCACTCTACGTACAATGTCCCCACCGACGCGTCAGCAGCCGAAGAGGATTCTCCTCGTTTCGATTCATCCTGGCCGAGTCCGCAATGCGCTACATCTGCGAGCGCCATGTTGTCACGCTTTCCCCTTCCACCATCGACTTTACCCACTACGATTTGTTCGCCTCGACTCCGACAACAATCTTCTGGCAGAGAGGGCACTCTGGGCAGTCGCATTCTACCGGCTCATCAAAGGACTGGCTCATCAGCTCCGCAGCTTCACTCCCTCAACCATAAATGTGACTGTGAACCTCAGAAGGGCTCAGGTCGCGAGGTGCGAGTCCACAAAGGAACGCGGAGAGAAACCAACGTGGCGCAGCTCTGTTCAAGTTGCGATGGCGAGAATATGGTTTGGTGACCGTGATCCTCCCTGGTTAATCGCCAACCTCGATTGTTTCCTCCTGATGGTGCGTAGTCTTTCGCATCATTACGACACATGTTCTGATCTGTGTTCCTACAGTCCTTGTCTCAAACCCAACGCCTAGAACAATTTGTATCCTGGATCTCGGAACCACTCCAATATTTTATGGATGACACAGACAGACATTCGAGCCCGAGAAAAATCCTCTGACATGTAAACGACTGCCGTGGTATAGAATTGTTGTATTTTTATCTCTGTAGCCCTTCTGGTAGCCGTTTTCTATTTGTATATCGCTTACTCTCGAGTGCTCGGTTGACAGTTTAAATATAATTTAAATTGTAAATCTGCAGTCGACGGAGAGGAGAATTCTTCAACGAATTCTCATTATCTAAAAGGATCTACTAAGCTGTGGTTATAGAGCGGATTTCAAGAGGCCGCACGCCCTGTTTCTGTAATAAATCATTTGTAGTGCAGATCAAGAGTGACACCTTGGATTCGGAATAGAGTTCCACCTTCTGGAGAAGTATATGACCATGGCAGGTGAAATATCAGCAGACCGGGGGATCTAATGTAAAGCCCAGAGCCGACTGTCACTCACTTAAGCTTTTCGATTGTCGTTGCACAGCAGCACACCAGTTCTATCACTGGCAGATTAAATCAGTGACTCGAATAAGAGAAGCACCGGCGGCGGCGGCGACGATGGGAGAAGATAACACTATTCTCAACATGGGTACGGCTTTGTTCAAGCCATCAAAAGGGGCACGTGTACGGAAAAGGATATTCCCATTGTGGGCATTAGTGCGCCACCTGTGCACGTGGATATGGTTCCCGCCTCGAATTACGCTCCCATCTCACTTGGGCCAATAGGAAACATCACTGGGAAGCCATTTGTGTATAATTATAGGTCTTTGGATCACGTCGTGCGGTTCTGTCGATCACTTCGACGGACCAACGTGGGAAGTGGGAATGCGAGCTTGAGAATTTGTGGCTAAAAGATCGCACGAAACGGAGCTTGCGTGGCTACCCGCTTGATGATTCAATGTAATGCACACGAAATCGAAGTGGGGCATGATTGCTCACAAGTTGAAATTCTTCTCTTCGGTGCCTGATGCAGCATCTTGTTTGACGAACGGTATTCATTCTGGGCTTTTGAAATCTCAAAGGTCGAGGACGCACTGCTGTGCAAAATCAGATGGTGCAATTTGCTTGTGCGTACCATGAGGCCGCAGCCGCAGCATGGCGCTCACCCAGTGAGAAAATCGGAGACGCGAGCGCTCATGTTACAACTGACGTGCTTCTATTAGGTTTTACACGACTTAACGAGAATGGTCGATTGATGGAGGCGTGTCTTCCCTCATACAGCCAAGTGTTATCAGAGCAACAGTGATATTCGGCTTCGAAGAACTCAAGGATGATGTAGGAGGTGTCATGACCAGGTCATCACAAGCCTGAACTTCAATAGGAGAAGAATATTTCCCCGATATTTTTAAGCGCCCAGAGGGCGGCGGGCACAGGGAGAGCATTATTTGGCAAACTGTGTCGCGACTGTAATTTTCCTCACACTGTGCAAGGCTCTCATTCACTGGAATAGTGAAATGCTCGCGGCAGCTGGTACGGTGCGATGGTGTCATCATCCGAATGCCTTCGTTAACGTTATCTTCTATGGCAACGCTTATGGAGCAAACACGCGTGCACATAGGCACGGCGGCAATGCCCACAGATTGTCACAGCAGGAAAGCAACAGATCGAGAACCCTGGGGGCAGTGGATTCAACGCGAAGAAATTGGGATGCAGATAAGTTCAGATCTTGCGAAGCAATTGAATGTTAACCGAATCAGAAGAGTCTCCCTTTCTTACCCGAGACGCCAAGTCACGGCAGTCATCATCTTAAAATAGCTCTTTCGAAACCTTTTCGAGGCGGTTCAAAAGGTCTGTTTCTGTGAATCTCTCGTCTAAGACGTAAAACACCCTTCGTCCTAGTCTCCTCAAACTTACCGACCTTCACAATGAGCGACAACGAATACTGCGTTTATCCTCGCGCACGAAGCGTCGAGCAGCGAGCAAGCGCTGTGGCGGCCTGGCGACAAGACGTTCTCAGCAATGGGCAAACAGATTCGACGAAAAATAATTTCTCTTCGCCCTACAGCAACATCTTCCCCTCTCTTCCTCAGGAGTCCATCACATCCCCTTCGAACATTTCGTCCAGACCATCTCATATGGGTTTCGGCGCGGTTGCAGACTCCCTCGTTGAAACACGAGACCGCATCCGACGCAATAGGGAGCAAGACACCGCCGGTCATCAAGCCCAGGGTCGGTCCGACTCTAAAAGGACACCACCCGACGTCAAGCAGGGACCCACAGACATGTCGGCTAACCCCAATGAGATCATCGGCACCCGCCTCTCCGCTTGGTCTGTTCAAGAGACGAACACTGCGCGCCATCGCGAGAGTCCATTCAAAGGTCCTTCTCCTGCCGACATCCAGATTCATGATTCGCCCTTCCCAGTCCGCGAACCCTTGGCCTCAACACTGTTGCGAGTCCCTCTACCTCCCCACTCGCTTTCCAGCACTTCTCACCCCTCCGGGCAACAGTCACCTTCGCTCTCGTCGCGTTCATCGTTGCCTTTTCTTTCCCAAGCAGCCGATACCGACTCCACCAGCAATAGGACAACCGGGCCACCGTCTTCCATTCCAGAAAGCAAGCATGTTGCAAGACTGACATTGAGCGTCCGTGGGACCGGGACATTCGATGTCTCCCTCAAGGCGGATAGGGACTCAGCCAGTGACGGGGTCAAGACCGAAATTGGAGTTGATGGGTCCGTCTCCCTTGGTCTGACATGCTCTATCCAGTAACTGCCACTGCCCCCTTATCCAAGAACCAGCAAGTCGAGTGTCTCGTCACGGGCATTCCGGCTCCAGTTCAAACGAAAGCTTCGCGCAATATACCCATTACTACATACCCACCACTCTTACTTTTCGCTCGGTCTCTCAGACCGTCCTCTTCGCCTCTTTCTCGTCCGCCATTTATTAGATACCCCAGTCCCAAAACGATGGCTTTTCGAACTAGATTTACAGCTTGATAATCTCGCTAAAAGTACGTGGTTTTCTGCAGTAGAAATCATTCTTTGTTTCCGCTGTTGTGTAGTTGGATCTCCATGTAACTTTTAGCGCTTATAACCCCCCGTAATCAACCCCATCTCGGTCATCCCCGTGGCCCTGCCAACCCTCTCGGTCGTGCCTTTCTGCTTGACAAATATTTAACAAATTATTGCGAGGACCGTCAGTCCACCTCCTTCGCTCCCGCATGCGCCCTTCTCCAGGCCCGCAACGCTGCTCAGCCCCAAGCTATCAGTGACCGCACCCCAAACTTCATCCATGCTCTCTGCATCGCCGTCGCTCTGGGCACCCAGGCGACGGTGCGCACTCGCCAAAAATATCAGTCTACTTGAGTCTCCGGTCGTTGGCTATAATATCTTCCAGACGACCTCAATCAGCGTTGACATAGACGGAGTGATTAGGATTCCATAATCTATCGAGTGAGGTAATGAAGTCAGTCTTCCGGTCAGATTCTAGTCAATAGAAAAGACGGGAAAATTACTCATTCTGCTCGTCATATGTATGTAGCGCCAACAATTCAAGTTCAATTGCAGCCCGCCGGCTGTGGCTCGTAATTAATCAAATCTCTATTATTTAATTTTGGGAGATTTGGTCGGGGACACGAAACTCAATAAGATCTATTTTTTTTTTCAAATTGAGGTATGTAACCGCTCTCGACGCCAACTTGACGCCGCTCCCATTTGCCTCTCCGCAACGTGTGTCCGTCGTCGGACCGAACGAGACTCCCAGGCTTCCTCGTCATATTATCACTTGTCTTCCTTTCTCGCATACGGTGATGCTCATACTGAGTGAATATTGAATAGCCATAGCCCCGGCCATCCAGGCAACGGTGCGCACTCGCCAAAAATATCAATCTACTCGAGTCTCCCTACATCACTAGTACAGGCTATAAGATCTCGCAAATGACCCGAGTCGGCATCGACGTCGGGGGAATGAGGGAATTCCATAATTCATCTAGTCGGTTAAACTTCCGGTCAGATTCCAGTCGATAGAAAAGACGGGGAAATATCAATTGTGCACCTCGTTATAGCACCAACAATATTAATCCAGGTTCAATCGCAGCCCGCCGGCAGTGGCCCATAATTAATTGAGTGACTAGAGGTTCGCCCGCGCTCTTCACGGGTATGTGGTGGATGACGTGAAACTGGAGAAAAAGATTCATTGAGGCAGGTTAGGGTAAACTTTCTCGCCGTCTGGCTATGTGAAAAAATACTCTGTTTTAGCTTGTAGAGATATATTAATCATTATAACGACGAGATTCAATCCACTCGCTGAAATTCAGCGAGCTCAGGGCTTTTACGCGACGCGACTTGATCACGTGCTCCAGCCCAGCCACGCCAGGGCCCATATCCCAGCCGAACTCCGAATCGCAAACGCAAACATCCATTCAAAGACCCACCGCGCCCCCTTTGTCCCTTCTAAACACCATAAACCCACCACCTTACCCTCCTCAAGACTTCGTTCATACTCTACAGACACACACAGACACCTCAGCGATGAAGAACAAAAACAAGCAAACCAAGTTCCCCGTCGTGAGTTGAATCTACGTATTGATCTTTCATTTGCCTTTTGCCACTACCATCGCCGGCGGACGCCTATGCGGGATTATGGACCTCTTTACGTCTTCTTTCAATGGTACTCGATGGATGGCTGACATGTTCTCTCCCTTTCTCGTATCCATATCATTCCACCCGCTGGCGCTTGCGGATACACGCATACGGCTCTCCCGCTCGCTCACTCCTTCGGCCTTTTTCGTACGGTATGGTGGAATCGAATGTGCGGGGTGGATGGGCTTTCAGGCGCGGATAAAAAAGATCATGCAGAAGGACGAAGAGGTCGGCAAGGTCGCGCAAGCTACGCCCGTCGTCATCTGTGCGTCTCGTCTCTCACCCCCGTTCATGCTGGCGCGACATCATGCTCATCAGCGCCTTTTTTCCTCCTTTCCTCCTTTCCTTTCCTTTCATATCTCCTTGGCACCGATTCGGACATCTCTCGCGCGGAAACTCGACATCCATCCCTCTCGCGTTTTGTTCAAAAACAATCTTATCTACTAGCCAAAGCGCTGGAGCTCTTCCTTGGCCTCATCATCGATGAATCGAGCAAAGTCACGATGGACAGAGGCTCGAAGAAGGTCGAGGCGTACCACCTGTGCGTCTCTCGCCCTCCCTTTCGCTGTCTACCCTCTACTCACTCCTTCCTCTTTCCCTTCCTTCGTCTTTACGCTCATCAAACACCCTCTCACCCTCTCAACCCCACCCCACCCCCAACTCCCAAGAAAACACGCAGTTGAAAACACCGAAATGCTCGACTTCCTCAAGGAGCTCGTGCAGAACATCCCCGATCCGTCCGCAGGTGGGACGGTCGACCTCGAGGCCGAAGCCGAGAACAAGAGGAAGCGCGGGAAAGGAAAACGTTCTACCGCCGCCGCCGGTGCAAGTGGATCAGGGGACGGCGATGCCGATGCCGATGCCCCGCCGAAGAGGAGGCGGAGGAGGAAGGTCGAGGCGGACGACGATGGCATAGGTGGAGGTACCAAGGCAGGGAAAGGGACGAATGGCACTGGTAAAGGAAGGGGTAGGAAGAAGGCGGTCAAGGCCCCGCAGGCCCAGGCCGTCCAGCAAGAAGAGGACGAGGACGAGGATACGGAGATGCACGATGAGCATGAGCATGAGCATGGGAGGGAAGAGGACGATGACTACGACGAGGACGAGCCGATGCCCCCACCCCCGCCGACAGGTGGATCGAGTAATGCCGGCGTAGGAGAAGGAGCGGATGGGTACCGCCTGCGCAGCCCCAGCAGCGAGGATTGGGACGACGATAAGCCCTTTATGCCGAAGAAATGAAAACCCGGGGGACGTTGCGTCCTCGAGCGCCAATTTGAATAAGCGCCCATGGTCGTGAATTTGTTCGCGCACGAGCTAGAGGTGGAGTGGCCAGTGGAGCTTCTTTCGTTGCTGGGTAATGGGTATCCCAAGTGTAAGTAGTAAACGCGATCCAACTGTAATGTAGGCCTAGGGTTTCGATATGTAGTGCCAATAGCTTTAACTTTAACTGCCCCTGGTCGTGAGTCTGTGTACACGCGCGAGCTAGAATCGGAGTGTCCAGCAGGGCTTCTCTCGCTGGTGGGTGATGATGGCCATCCCATGTACTTAAGTAGCAAACGCGATCCGATTGTAACTCAGAGCCTCTGATACATATGTAGCATTTGTATTCACGACTTCTTCACGCTGGCTCGGTGATTCACGCGCATGCTTCACAGATCTGGCTGATCGACCTGTCCGGCGGCGGGGTGTGTCTTCATCTCAATCGCCATCGTGGTAAGGATGTAGATCCATCCAACATGAAATGAAATGTCGACGTCGACGTCGTGAGGGTGGGGTTTTGGGGGTTGCCGGGAAGGGTCAATGGCGTCCGGACAGTCGATGGGTTCATTTCGAAGATCAGGTATTTCGATACGATCAGACGAGCTCAACCTCACCCCGCGCCACGAGCTGCTTGAGAGGGAGCCGGAGGACGACGATTATGTATGATGCGGGCGAGCCGAAGCACTCGCCTCCGAAGTGAGGGTCTTCGACTCGAAGATCGTATATCGCGATATACTCAGGATCAGACGAGCTCGACCTCCCCTCTCGCCACGAGCTGCTCGACGACAGCGTACGGCACTAGCGATATATGCCCCTTCTCCATGTCCAAGGTCGCACCACTATAAAGAAAAGGATAAGAAGGTAAGGACAGCGAAAGGAGGAGAAAAAGAGGGGTAGACGTACTCTGGGAGACGGATGCGTGGACACCGCTGTAGGGCGTGTACGAAGACAGGGCGGGATTTGTCTGGTTCGGTAACTGCCAATGGATGATATGGGGTTAACAAGATATCAGAGGGAGAGGGGGGAGGGGGAGAGAGAACTGACTCATCGGAGGGACGAAGATAGGTGTATCGTCCAGATGGGCCTGCTTCTCTGGCAGACTCTGGAGTACGGAGAGGTAGAAGTGCTGGTCTGTGATCTTTGCATATCTGTGGACGTCGAGGGGGGTCAGTTATGACAGTCAAAAGAAGGGTCAGAGGTAGGAAGGAAGGAACACGTACCGACTCGCATGATCCCTCTCAGCAGCCGTCAGCCGCGTCTGTACGTCGGCGTTTGTCATGATGAACCGCGCGTATCTCTCGATCTACGTATGCAGGTATGCAGGCGGGATCAACAGGTCGACTCGGCAGGCACAGAGCAGAGGCTCGAGACGAGACGGGACGTACCTTGAACAACCGCGTCCGTACATACGAGCGGACGATGAACTTGACGCGCTCGATCTCCGTCTGCACGAGCATGATCCGGAAATGCTCCTCCTCCGAGGTCGAGGGGTCGCCTCTCAGCAGCTGGACAGCATCTGACTGCCTTACACTCAGCCCTACGAGACTCACAGAGCGAGAAGAGGGCCAGGGGAACATACCTGCCGCCTCAAATGGTCCAGCAGATTCATCAACAAATCCTCCTGCGCCGGCAATATATCAGGCGCGTGCCGCTCGTTCATCCAATGCCTCGTCAGCTGCTGCAGGGGCGTGCCCACCGGTGGGGCGTCGGTGTCGGGGAAGAGGTCTACGGCGGCTCCCTGGTCGTCATCATCGTCTGCGAGTCCCGCTGCGGGGGCCATGCGCACATCGTTGTTGCCGTCGTCGTCTGAGGCAAGGTCGGGTGTGCGGTATCGGGCTGAGTGGGGGAGGCGGGAGGGCCCTGCGCGGATGGAGGTGGTGGTGGTGGTGGTGGTAGGAGGAAGGGCTTTGCCTGCTTTGATGAGTTCGTATTCTTCGTCCCAGTCCATTGTGAGAGCAGTTAAGGGGATTGGTAGGGGATGGATGAAGAGGATGAATTGAGTTGATCTCATCGTACCGGACGACGCGTTTTTGGCTGCCCTAAAGTGCTTACACTAGACGGAGAAATCCGAACGAACCCCTTTCTTCCTCTCTTCCAACATCTCCCCAAGGCTCTTTTCTCATTAACTTCATCATGAACACCCTGGACATTCAAAATTCTGACACCCCTCCGACGAGCGCATACTTACTTTTTCATCATTCAGCTTCTGAGGAAGGACAATTTTGAATCCTAGTCTCCTTCAGAACGCGATCTACTCCTGGATGCTGACAAGCCCAGGCTAAATTGCGTATGTGGATGGAGTGGATAACGAGACCGCTCCTGACCGTGTCTCATGCCCCCATTCCATAAATCTACGCTACGAACCCCTCGTTTGCGCTAGACCAAGGCGTGCTGTGCTCCTGCAGTCTGCGGTCCCTCCCGGTCTCCTCGGCCTCCCGGCCAGCCTATGCTCCTTCCCCGGGCCCTCCTCTTCCGCTCTTCCACTACTAGTACTTTTGCTACGCCACCCACACGACTCCGACGAGATCTCTCCCTCGACCTCTCCCTCGAGTCCGAGGCGCGCACGACGCTCATCCTCGTCGGCATCGCACTCGCAGCCGTCTTCCTCTGCTCCGCGCTCTTCTTCTGCCGGCACGTCTTCCTTGCGCTCTTTCGACGTGTTTTCCGCTTTGGGCCGATTGGGAACATGGCTACGGCAAAGAGTCAGGCTGAGAATTGTGTTGAGGTGGGTCGGGGAATGAGTGGACGAGATTACGGTCATCCGCAGGCTGACTTGAGCGCTTTATCTTCCCGACTAGCAGGCAGCTCCGAAGAAGGCTCGTTCGCCCCCTCCCCAGGAAAAGCCGCCCACCACCGCTACAGCCTATCCCAACGGTACCACTCCTTCCAACAATACCGCTACAGCTTACCCCACCAATACCGCTCTTTCCAACAACTCTGTTATGCCTTCCACAGCCTACTTTCCCTCTCCCGCACCCACCTCATCTCCCGCACCCACCCCCTCTCGGGCATACCCCCCAGCAAGGCCAGGCAGAACCTTCTTCACCCAAGGCCCCGCCCCCATCCGCTCCGCGTCGATCCCGCGCCGCCCAGCCGCCGTGTACGCCGGCACCGTCAACGGGCTGCACCACACGCACCCCGCACCGCTGGCGCTGCGCCCGGGGTACCCGCGTCAGTATCAGGCGCCCCCTGTGCGCCCCCCGCGCCCGTATGCCCACCAGTCGCCCTTTGGTCGGCATCATCACGCTCATAACCCGTATGCGCACCCCCAAGCATACAACGTCCAACCCCAAGGCTACGCGAACTACGACTTCGGCCCGCAAGGCCACCAAGATCCGCAAATAGACCCAAAAATCGCCGCCCTGATGCACGCAGCCGACACCGTCGTCGGCGCCCACCCCAACGCGCGCCCGCTCTCTGCAAGGATCGCGACGAGGGAGGAGATAGAGCTCATCTCGGGGCACGTCCATATTCCGTGGGCGTTCACTGGAAGTGCGGGTGGTGGGGGTGCTAGTGGGGGTGCTAGTGGGGGTAGAGGTGGGACTGGGGTGGGAAGGGAGGTGGGAAAGGAAGCGGGAAAGGCAAAGAGGCCCTCCCAGCCGCCAATGGCTGTCAAGGTCCAACCTCCCCCTGCAGTGGTCGACCTTACCCCACACCCTCCGACGGGGCAGCAGCCTGCGCATGGGCTTCAAGTCCCGGGGTTCCACCAACACATCCCCGCAGCGGAGGCGCGTGCAGACGGCGAACCTACCACCACCACCGCCAACGCCAACGCCCGCGCAGGTCCAGGTCTGGCTTCGAGCGTGCTAAAGGATTTGCGGAACACACGGCGGCGGGACGCCTCCTCCGCCTCCTCAGGCTCCGCGTCTGGGGCGTTCGAGTTCGGCGAGGGCAGGGGTATATCAGGCGTTGGACTGGGAGCTGGTATGGGAGCGGGGAGGAATGCGAAGCAGCACCGCGTGCGGGGTAAGGAGAACGTCCCGCCCATCTTTGGGGTAGGAAAAAGTGGGCGGCGGAACCGGATTTGAAGGCCGATCCACGCTCGTTTCATTTCTTGGAATCGATACACACCTACCGGGCGCGTCTTTTTTTCGTCTATACCCATGCGTCATCTATTCTGTTCAGCATCTGAACCACCAGGTATTGGTCGGTATTCAATATTCATCCAACACTAGTACTCTCTTCGTCGCATCCCCCGCCTCATATTCATTGACATAGCTCGTGCACCCGCATCTGAATCGACGGACCTTCTCGTAGACAGACAGACAGACCGTTCAGGTTTTTTTTTCGTACGGACTATTCGTTCTCTACCTTGTCCGCAATTACCATACCAGATTAATTGCCCAATGATACGTATACCGTACAATAGGTACCGTCCATGTTCCATCGGATTGCAATGGAACGCCATGATCTTTTCTTTCCGCATACATATGCTGATACTGATACTGCCGCAACCACGACGTCGCTAGACCTGGACTTCAGTCTTGCGCAGCATGCGCAACGCTAACGTGTCGAGGGCTGACCGATATCTAGTATTACTCTAAGTAGGTACTTTTCTGCGTTGGTTCGTACGGGAACGCGATGCAGAATTCGAACAAGACTGTTTCGAAGATCTCCAAAAGTAAATACATATGTTTGCTGAATAAACCGACGAGGCACAAAAGCGTAGACCGCCGGCCCCCTGCCACCCACCAGTTTGGCGGCGTTGAACGTTGAGTACTGGGTCTCCACTTATCGAGCAAAGTGAACACTTCAACAGAGCGGGCCAGGAAGCACACAACCGACGCTCTCCGTCCGAGCACTTCGAAGTCCTGCCTGTTGAATGAGCCTATGCAAAACAAGGGGCAACACAGAGGCCGAAAGGCTTGGATACGGGCCTGGGTTTACCACCATGAGGATTAGTACAGCATTTATATAACGATAATGGGAGGACGGTGGTAGAAATACAACTTTGAGACCGAGGTCGACTCGTGTGTTTAGGTAGCCCGTTTTTGACGAGCTTGCCGTAGATTATGTACCTGTTGGAAGAGGCGTCGATCCAGCCTGTTCGTTTGTTTACCCTATACTAATAGCCCGAGTGAGACGGAACCGTAATCAAGAACCTCATCCACGTGGGCAGGTGGCGCATTAATTTACGCCCACAATGGCAGTAATATCCTTTTTCATACGTGTGCCCCTTTGGGCGATGTCCCCGGTCTACTCATATTTCGCTTTCCACAGCCACGTAATTCTCCCAAAAGTAGAACCTCAGGAGACTATTTTTGCTTGCGTGATGGACAATTTATTGCGAAAACCCATGGAAGTATGCTTTAGAGCCACATCTCAATCATCTTAGGCATTGATAACTCGTTGAAGGATTCTCTCCTCTCTGTCGACAGAAGATGTACAGTTTAAATTAGTATTAAAGCAGCCCACCGAGTACTCAAGATATACTCCAACCATGGCTACCAGAAAGGCTACAGAGGTAATCATACAGCTATTCTATACTATAGCACTCGTTTACACGTCGAGGGAATTTTTTCGGGCTCAAATGTCTGTCTGTATCGTCCATAGAGCATTAAATAAGGTAGTTCCGAGAGTCCGAGATAGAAATTGTTCTTGTAGTTGAGTTTTGGATGAAGAACTGTAAGAACAAAGCCAATCAGAATGGATGTCAGAAACGATGCGAAGGACGACGCACATAAAGAGGAAATAATCGGGTTGAGGGGATTAACCGGGGAAGATCACGAGCGCTAAATCCTGTTCTCCAAGTTGATTGCTGTCCCATGTTGGGTTCTCTTCGCAACTTTTCGGGGACTCGCACCCGGCGATGTAAGTCTTTGCGAGGCTCTCAGTCACATTTATAGTCGTGGAGAGTGAAACCGCTGAGCTGGAGGTCGATGAGTCGGTCCTTTGATGAGTCGGTGGGCTAGGACCGCCTGTGGCCCCCTCTCTGCCCGCAGACTGGTGTTGGAGTCGAAGACTCGAAGAGGTTGTAGTGGGCGTGATAGATGGCAGAGCAGGAACGAACGAAAACGTCATAGCGAATGGACTTGGGCAGGAGGAATCGGGGAGAGGATAACCCTCTTTGAAAGCTGATGTTTCGGTGGGGACATAGTACGCACATTTCTGCACGTAGAAGGACGCCGTACTGGTTGGTGTCGAAGGGTCGTGCACGACGCACAGTGATTCGGGCATGTTTTCGAAGTAGTAGGATGGCACTGGCGACGTGGACGTCACGCTGGCCTTCCTTTCTCGTCGCCCCGCCTCGTCCTCGTCCACGTTCGACGGCCACGCTTGGGCAGGCTCCGAGTCCCAGTCGATTTCGATGTACGGGAGGAAATTTTCATGGCCGTCGCTGTCAAGGCTGTAAATCGACGGAGGGCTGAATGTGGTCGATGTTGGTTTTGGCGGCCCACGCGCTACGGGTGGGGATGTATGAAAGTGGACGGGTGGCGGAAACACTTCAGATGCTAAGACGAAAATAATAGAAGAACTAATTAGTGATGCTAGCGGTGCGCTAGATGATGATATCGCTTACCCCGGTTGCTTGACAGATAGCGCGTAGATAAATCAGAAGGGTCGTTGACCGAACCAGGATAGTTAGGGAAAGACCGCCCGCGGAGGCGGCGCTTGGCGCGAGAGCAGCGATCCTCCAAGCTCAATGCAGCGGCTGGAGCCGTATTAGGACTTGAAGCGGTATCTGACGCCTCGTTCTCGGCAAGAGCGATACCTCTCAGCCAAGCATTGACGCGAGTGTGGCTAGCGTCGCCCTCCTGCAAAAAATCGGGAGAGGTGTCGTATTCCGACATCATTGGCGACGTTGAGGTAGAGGGATCCAGCGCGTGGAATTGGGCGTATCGACTCAGCGCGTGTCCAATGGCACTTTAAAGAGCACCCTGCCGTATTCTGTCTTCTTAGGGCTGTCGGTTTGTCATTCGAGACGCGCAAGCGACAGTTGCGGCCAGTCTCTGAATAATGGATTACCCACGTCCCAACGACGATTCGCCATCGATGTAAGTATAGACCCGCTTGTGATAGTCGCCAATCGTCTCTCTCTTGGTTCATTCCTGTTAGGCGTTGCCGTAGAGCCTCACACGGAAAGGCGGCTCTCGCGTCTCATTTCTTGAAATAGAGTGTGAATCGAAGCGACTTCTTAGGAGGGGACGTGCAGATTAGAGGGGCCGATCCTGACATCTTCTCACGAGTCGAAGATGGGGATGCTGGGGATTCCCCCGATTCTCGCCAACCAATGAGGCCCACGTTGTCTTCCGGATTGAATGGGCGCCTACAGGGAGATAGGGGTCGTGCGATGCCAAGTGGTTTGTGACGCTGAGTGTCGGAATTGCGGCGAATAGAACGAAAGGTTGATCGAAAGGAAAGATCCTCGGCTGCTCCCAATCTCCAACGGAATCAAACATGTGCATGACGAATTGTGCCACTTGAACAGGAAATATTCCTCAGCCACGGGGGAAAGGAAAGGACCGTCTATCGGACGGTCCTTTCATGCAAGTTCTCCCATCCAAAGCCCTGATTTCTATCAGTCTTCTCTCGGACAGCCCGAAGTGGGCTTGTCGACAAATGGTCCCGCACAACTGTCTCTTGAGACTTAATAGCACACCTGACAATTGGCTGAATGGACGGAGTTTCAATACGTGCCATGGAAGTTCGAGTCGAGGAAAGGTCTGTGCCCGCTTAATATATGTCTAGCTTCGCTCTTTGAAATACGCAGCTTCTGGGGTGAAAGTGAGAGCTCCTAAGTGAGCCGTGCCCAATTTTCAGGGCCGAGCTTCGAGTCGATAGGGAACCTTCCCCGACATTCGCTTTGAAATATGATCCCGCGACCTCGATCGAAGGTCAGAAAAAGGATGAGGTGAGATGGATAATTAAGATGCAATTCATGTCTGATGATAGCTTATACCACAGCACTGGACGGCATCCGTCGGAAAGCAGAGAACGTGAACGCAGTGGAGTTTCCATCTTGAACAAAGAACTAGGCACTGCTGTGTTTTATCAATGAGAACGCAGGGTGTCGAATAAATAGAACTTCTCTGCAATACAGAATGTCTGCGTGGAACTTGTCGACGACCAATACGAGGAATGTGTCGCTTTTCGGAGCGTTGCCGCTGTTGTGTCTTGTTCAAATCGCGTTCCGCGTCGTCGTTTGCTATCATTCGTTCTTTCTAATCTAATCGATCAAACAGTTTACGCACATGCGTCTTCTACCGGGAATGGGCATACATGGAGGGTTCCTAAGGCCGACGAAGAAACGGGATCAGCCTCCAGGGCTACGAGACCTCGTATTACAAGCTCAGTATATTTGTGCGCCACCCCTGACGAATTTTTCAGTTACTTAGGTCTGCAGTACACATCAGCCTAGCACACGAGAATTGAGTTTCCTGAAGCCAGTGTCCAGCCTGCCTCTACTGGCTTTATACAGGACAGCAGTCGTTCATCTTATCCATCTGATCATGCCTCACTCAGGAAGCGCAGGCCCGAGAGTAATGTTTCGGCGGAGTGCCATACTCTTGCGTTACTAGTCCCCGGTTCTATGCGTCTCTAACGAGCGAACCGAGGAACCTACTTGGAAAGAAAACGGAATATTATTGGCCTCATGTTCACGGTCCGGGACCGCGATGCCGAACTAGTGAACGCTCAATGGTTGCGTATGCCCCAACATGATCGTTTCCAAGATCTCCAAAAGGATGGTGGATTCCCAAAAGGTCTTAGTAAGAAGTTACCGGCTAACAGCCTTCCGCGCCCAAAGGTTTCACGCTGTCGTTCAACGTTCAGTTTTGACATTCGTCGAGTGGCGACTTTCTTGAAATTAGGCGGACGAGGACATCGTGGACGAATGGACTACGTTGTAGAAAGCAAATGCAACGTTAACGCAAGCTTTTACAACAGGTTTCGAAGGCTAGGTGAGATTACTTTCTTCCTTTCTCTAATGATTCCGCAGGAGTATCACCCCTCGTGCGAGCCGGAGACGCCGACGCCGAGCCAGTAGACGATTACCGGTTGCCGACTTTCTTTCATTACTTACTGTGTCCAAAATCTCCAAAACGATGGCGCATGACCAGAAGGTCTTATCTGATAACCGTAGCCTTCCGCGGCTAGAGGTCCGTCGTGGTTGATTTTGCACTTCGAAGGGACGAAGATGACGAATGTCCTGGAGAATAAGCTCTCTTGACGTCAGCCCGACGCTTGCGGGGTCGTACGTCTTCCTTCTGACGTTAGCGGTGAATTGAGCGCAGCATGGTTGCTGCGATTTGCTTCACGGTTCACTGTTGGTGGGTACACTTCACCAGAGGGGACTAGTAAGTAGTAAGCAATCGATGGTTGCTAGCTGTTGGTCGTACTGTTGTCGAGGAAGTCCTTATTACGGATTTGTTAAATTAATCTAAAACCAGACGTGTTGAAGTTCTTGCCGAACGACTCGGATACGAGGCGGGGGTTACCACCATGAGGATTAGTAAAGCAGGTCTATCGGCAGGAGGCGGTGGTACAAATACAACTTCGAGAGCGAGTTCATAGCGGGTTGGGTATGAAGGGATGGACAGAGGGCTCAGGCAGCACCGTTTTCGACGAGCTTGCCGCAGATGATGTACTTGTTGGAGAAGTGGTCAATCCAGCCTGTGCGTCGAGTGCTATTAGCACACTGAGAGAACTCTGGCAGCGACGAACAGAGCGCACCTTTCATGTTCTCACTGGTCCAGAAGGTGCTGCGTCAGAATCTAAGCGCATATAGTCAACGAATACAACGTACATCTCATCTGGCTTCAAGTCCGCCAGCGTGTCGAGCGGTTGGTCAACGGGGGTAAGCATCTCTGCATAATCCATCCATTAGCGGACGTCATCATAACCCGGGGTCCACTGGATGAAAGGACAACGCACCAACATCGAACGACTGCTTCGCCATGCCACGAGAGGCGTCCCTCCCCGCAAAGTTTCCATACATCCCATCTATCAGCAACCGTTTAGCCCACCTCACCCCTCACACACCACTAATACCCAACGAAACCACTCACTAGGCCCATAAAAATTCCTTCCCGCCGTAACGTCAAACACGATCCCATTAATCGCCAACAAAATCCTGCCCCCATCCCTTCCACTGAACGGCTCGAGCGTCTTCGGCGTGTACACGCGGTACAGCACCGTCGGTGGGTGCGCCTTGGGCATCCAGGAGTATCCCGACTTGAACTCGTGCGGGATGTTGCGTGGCTTGGAGGTTCCCGGGAAGATGATACGCTGCACAGAGTAGAGAATATAGAGGAAGAGAGCGGTGTTGATGGGCGTGCCGAGGTCGAAAGTGAGGGGCATGATGGGCGACGACGACGGTGGAGAGAAAGAAGTGGAGGTGATGAGCAGAACCAACCTGAGGAACCAATGGCGTGAGAGTGAATTACAACGGGTGGGCCGAATATGCCGATGGTTTGTTCACACCCCTATCCTCTTCTCCATCACAAGCATTTCTATGTTCAACAAGTCTCGAAAGGACGCAAAAAGTTGCCAGAACCACTATGTATTATGCGTCCGAATCAACCACATTAACCTCTCCCGTCTCCTCGTCTCGTTTCCAGTGAAGCCCTCCCTTTCCCCGGCTCCACCACGGTGCGCTATCTTGCGTTCCTTCCTCGTCGCCGTTTCGGTCCTGGTCATCGCCTACACCCCTCTCCGCTGCAACCAGAACCTGAATCTCATGGTTAACCCTGTCCTTGTGCCTGTGCTTCATCGCAGTCATCCTAGCCCGCGCTTTCCCCTCCGAGTGCTTGCGTCGTACGTCGGCGGTTGATGGCTCCTCCGGCGGCATAGAGCAGTCCCAGATATCTCCATCGCCTTCGTCGCCCGTGTCGTTGAGAGTCTGAGGGAGTAGGACTTGATCGACTTCGAGCTCGTAAACGCTCTGGTCCCAGTATGGGTTGTTAGTCAGCCGGCTTGGAGTGCGGTGTTCAGCGTGAGGATTCTTTGGTAGTTTTGGGCGGAAAACGGCGGTGGCAGATGCCCGAGTCAGGAGAATGGGAAGGAGGGAGAGGAAAACTCCGTATTTCATGGTATGAAAGGTGCTGATGAGGCGGGCGGAGGTCCAGTCCCATTTCGTCGTGGTTTTGTCCTCGAGGAGGATGACAGGCCGGTCTAATTGACCTGAGGCTAACATATTGGTCGTTCAGTCTTCGCCATAGTTTGTCCAGACGTTCTATTCCTGCAGTGCCTCGATAGGAAACTTGAATTCCTAGAGTAGAAGACGCGAATGAGGGACCAGTGGAAATCACAAACGGCACCTACGCACATAGGCATTTCGGCCATTTTCCTGCCAGTAGAAGTCGGTGTCTACTCGCTGGCTCCATTGACCCAACGAATTCGAATTGCAGCATCAGAGCATTTGCGACTCGCGAGATCAAGTCGACGTTCGTTCGTTGCATCTTGCCCACGCTTTGTTTGGGGGGGTCAGAACGATTATGAACGGGGAGATGTCTCCATCAAGCAGCGTAGGATGAGAACTCGAAGGCAAATCCCCCGCATCCTCGCAATTTGAACTCATCATCGGCGGATCCCATAGGCACGAGACCCTTATTAGTAACATCGGCGTGGAGTCAGCATCTTGTTGGCTCCCTATTCAGCGATACTTTCACTTCCAAGGATGAATAATCGTGGTCTGCGTTGAAGCCACGTTTCATTTATTGGCAGCCGGACGGACGCGTCAGAGTAGAGTATTCATTATCCGCTACCACGAATATCTTCGCCGGTATCAGTCGAGAGATTTTTTATTCGGATTTGGTACGCGTACGTTTTGCCTCTATGTGTAGAAAACTTGATCCTGCTGCCCATGGTCAGCAATCATCGCGGTTGAAGGCCAAGTAATACCTCACATCCCTTTAATACTAGCTACGGTGTAGAGTTCAGGTGGACATCAGTTATGAAGACTGCAAGCGACGGTCCTCCTCACTTCGCCGCTGACCTCGGATGGATTTCCGAGTCCGAGAATGAAGGCGTGCATGCAATCAGCCTACTCGCTCGCAGGGCTTCTGCCGACCTTTATGCATTTCGCCAACCGTGGAAACCCCGATGGTGCAGAGCGTTTTCAAGGTCTGGCCTGGATGCCATGGACCATGAGAAGCTATCGCATACATAATACGTCGAACAGTGGATGTTGGGCAGCTGTTTGTGGAGGAGCCTCTATTGGCTGTTACGCCGGCCTAGGTAGTGCAGGTAGCTTGGAGACGAACGGAGAGTTCAACGCGGATTTCATAAGCCTGATAAGTTTACTCTCTATCATAGATTCGTGTCGCTCGTTGATTTCATGCCGCGCGCATCTCACCACATATACGTGCCTCCCAACAGTCATTTCACTTCATAAGCGGAGAGGCAGCTCCGGGCTGTCCGGAGAAAGCCTTGCGTGTATCAGTAATGTGTCAGTGCCCGAGTTAAGCGCGTATCGTTTCTGTACTGTAACCCCGAATCCAGAGGGTTGGAAGAATACAATCTCATATCCAGTACAAAACCTTTCCGCCAGGGTATATAGCTATACGGTCGTCATTACGCGTTCCTGGTCTCGGTGGCTGTCCGCCCGCTCGCATTGTGGCGAATTTCCAGATATGGTGTCGCTCGGCAGGATCGTCGCCATCAATTTCATCCTTATGTCAGCAATCAACCAATCCTCTGACAGAACCGATTAAAGGTTACTTGCCCTCGAATCCGACTGAAGGAATTGTGGAACCCTCAGAGCCATAAAAGACTTCTAATTCTGCGACAATGACTGGGTGAGACGAAATTCTCCTTTTGTCCATGCCTTCTCACTGTCCGGATCTCATGAACACTCAAGACTGCCACGAGCCGTGGTTCCCGGCATTATAATGAGACTCGGCCTGGTCTCCACCGCACTTCTCCCACTCCCCTTTGAGAAAGGATAGTCGGAGAATACACGCTAACCTGTTCTAAGGTGCCGCACAGGTGACGTGTCTATCACCAGATGACCCCGTCGTTGGTGCTTCTGACCCGCATTTGGCAGGTTCTCAACATGCCTTCCCTTCAGGTGGGCAAGAAGAACGAAGCGCCTAACCTTGCACCCGGGGGTCTCGAGATTACAATGACACCATCGGCGAGTTCAAGTTCGCCCGTTTATAATTAAGCGTGTCCGTTGAATACTCTATCCTGATCAGTCCCTCATTCCTTCACAGCATAAAAAGCGTGAAACGGACTCCCAAACCGACAAAGCTAACCAACAAGATCGCCAACTTCCATCTTGTAACATGTCCACGGAAATCAATGCCAAACTCTTCCCTATCCCGTCCCAATTCGCCCTCTCCCTTCCCTCTCAGCAGGCAGGAATCATCACGTCGCGGGCTTGGCCCGGGGTCTCGCCATCGTCGACTGAAACGCTGCGAAGGATCCTGAGCGATAACCACAACAAGTGGCATACCTTTTTCAACGACAGAATGTTCCACAAGTACGTTGTTCACTACATTTTGTGTGGATGTCGAAATTTAAAATACTTCCCATTGTCCAGTCATATTCCCCACGCTGCTCTCACGTTGTGGTGTCTTGGTGCCGATCCAAGTATCCTCGAGGCGTCCTACAAGCAGACCAGCACGTATCAGAGGCATTTCTTCACTTCTCCCGGTCCCATAACTCGGGAGAACTGGCGAGACCACCTTGGCGATGAAAAGTGCGTCGTGTAATCCAACACATGACGTCAAGTACTGACATTGATGCGCCTTCTTTGTAGCTATTACGCGTCGTACCTGCAGTTCATGAAAGAAGAGTTCGAGAACAAGGACATGGCAGAAATGTTGGAGGAATACGTACTCGCGGCCTCGGCAAATCACATCGAGAATGTTCAAAGCCAGCCGCAAATGCTCGCCCGCTATCTTGAGGGTGCAATTCATCCTCTCATCCATGCTGGGTTTGGGATAGAATTCGGTGTTCCCGGAGTCTTCCTTGAAGGCAAGTATTGTTTGCTCCATGCGACGTTTGGACTCTTTATTGAGGTATTTTCTATAGGTCTTGCGCAGGCAGCGGTACATCCCAGCCCATGTGGCGCTGTCATCCCCCGTGCTTGGTTCGACAATGGAAACGGCAAAGATCTAGCTCAACGTTTTTCGACTGCCGTTGAAGTATCCGGAAAGCCGCAGGACGTCCACGCCTTCACGATCGTCGCTCGCCTTGTGGGAGACAAGCGTATCACACCTCCGCAAGCAGGCGGCGATGTGATCACCATCTATACGGATGTGATGAACATGCACGGCGACGCCATCGCGAAATACGTTGGTGAATGGACGCTCGAGGGCGATCTCACCCGCAAAGTCGAAGAGCTCCTCTGGACCCAAACGCTCATTTATGGCGTCGGTGGATTGGAGGTAACTGGAGGATACAACGCAGATTTCTTTTTGTAAGTTCACTATTGAAGCAACCCTGTCTGTTCGTTCATTCCACGAACATACAGAATGCACCTTGTCACTTCCTCGCTCTTCCTCCCTACGACCTTCCCTCTGTTAAAGCGGAGCTCCCAGATTCGCCTTCTCCGCAGCTACTTCTCCGTCTCCCTCGCGTGGTACATCGCGCGCGGCCGACCCGCGCTGAACATCAAGGCGTTCTTCTCCAACCCCAACTCGCTTGTCCCCACCGCTCCGGGTCCGCACCCGACCCCAAATAAGGTCGCTCAACCGGCTCCAGACTCCCCGTCCGCTATAACGCCGAACGCCTGGCTGCAGATCATCCAATCGACTTTGGTTCACCCGGACGACCACGTCTGCAAGCTGCAGAGAGCATTGGCGGAGTACGGTGCTCTGTGGGGACACATTGGGAAAGGGTATTTCAAAGGTACCGAGTTGAAGGACGCTGAGCTTATCGACGGCACGCTTTTCATCCGTACTGCTGGCTTGACTGCGGGAAGAGTTGGTTGGGTTAGGGAGGGTGAGCCACAGTTGACGGAGTCCACAGCTTGGGATTACCGTGGATTCTTCCCAGCTGTCCGCGCGAAGGCTTGAGGAACAGGCTGGAGCTCGCGGGGTCTTGCTAACCTAACGAGTTAAAATTTTTCACGAAGAGTTTGTCATTTTCTTGTCATTGTCGATGTACTTGTACATGTATTGCGTACTTATCTGATGTTCCAAACCTGTGCTGTGCTGGGAATACCTGCCTGATGTGGTTAAATTGCGTTTGAGAGCCAGCAAGACTCACGCAAGTTTCCTGTCCGAGGATCTTGACAAATATTATTGGTCTTGGTCCGCTGGAGCGTGGCTCTCTGTGGCTGTCCTCGACATCGCCGTAGACACTTGCGTCAAGTGTTGCCTTTTCCGGTAGATGTGGCACTTTGGATCAAGAAAAGAGAAACTATCCTTGAGCAAGGCATGTCCGACTCCTTTGCTTTTCAGGCCTCTCCGCACGCAATGTCGGTCACACTCACACATCACGAAAAAGTACAGCAACCATTGTAATAATTATGAATAAAGAACCATGCGTTAGTGATACATTTCGTGCCCTATCGAAGGCATTGATAGTGTCGTAAAAAATGGTGGGGATGGAAGGTAATGCAGAAGGTCCGAATGCGAAAGCACCATAATGATACAGTTGGGAAATGAGTCGAGTAGAAAATGCCAAATAAGGATGGTGGTGAGGTTCGAAAACCTGGGCACAGCAGCGACGAAAAAGGGTGCGAAGACGTGTCGAAGGGTGATGGACGGTGAGACCATGAGCAGGGATGGTCGGTTTTAATGGCGAAAAACAGCCCAGGCAGCAACACCACCGGTGACCGTAAGGAGAGTGAGAATGGAGAAGGTACAAAGGCATCGTTTCGCCCACTTGAGCTCGACTGCGCGGATGTTGGCAATAATTTGCCGCCGCTCAGCTTCCGTCTTCTCTGGCATCCATGCTGGGATGTCGTCTGTCGTGGAAGGCGGTTCGCGGAGTGGCGAGAGCAGAATGAAGGCCCCGAAGAGCCAGAATGGTGGGAACACTAAATGCGGACAGACCGTGGTCAGCAACTGAAAGGAAATCATAGGGAACGAAGAGACGTACAGAACCCAAACTTGAACAAGTACATCGCAAGCGTTACAGGCTCGGATGCGTGGAGTGTATAATCGGGCAGTGGGATACCCGCTTCCTCGGCGTAGGGCGGGTGTACATCGGACAGACTTTGTCTGCGGTCGTGCTGACTCTCATGGGTGGATTTGGACGATGTGAATGTGTACCCAAAGGACGCGTCCATGGGGTCCATCATGTGTGTCAAAGGTGTAGTACGGGGAGACTGGGTCATCGCGCTAAGGGGTGTTGAGGGGCACTGGGCCTCGATGTTGGTGGTATACGGGACGACGGAGGAAGACATTGTCGCGGACGGAGGTACCCAAGCTTCGTCTCGAACTTGAGAGTGGTAGGATATGAATATTATTGCTTGAGCTTGAAGGTAGGGGTGGCAGTGGATAGCATTGTCGGTGTCCTGGTAAATGATATAGTCGCGACGATGAGGAGAGTCCAAGACCAATCCATTACGACTTCAACCATTCGTTGCTAAGGCCGAAAATGGGAGAAATAGCGAGCCAAATAGGCATCAATAGAAATCTCGACTTTAGGCGACCCTTTGTAGAGGACTCCTCCAGAGAAAGGGCAATATTTATCATATATATCAAGCAAGTTGAGTCAAGTTAAACTTTGAGACTCTGTTTCATGAGGAGGAGAGGAGTAGACGCACTCAAATCACAGCCCAACTCCAAACTGGAAGTTTCGCAAACCTTCCAAACGCAGTAATTTCTTCCTCACATCATCGTCCAATCAAGAGGCAATCACCATCTCCGCTTCCCGTAAGTGCGCTCACCAATCCTTTGAAAGAGACATTCCGATCAGCTCCAATACAAGTTACGAACACATGAGGACTTGTGAAAGAGGGAAAGCATATTTGGATGTGACGAATGGAACCTTGCCCAAGAAGCAACCGAGAAGCGCCATTCACAGGCCCTATTCAAAAAGCGGAGCGGGCGATGAACGCAGAAGTAAAGGTCTCTATAAAATAACAAAGTTGACCTGTAGCTCTGCTAGTCCTAATGTGATGTGCGTGCCCTCATATCAAATATCAGTGGTGTAGAGCGCCATACAAAAAGTGCCAGTTTCACCGAAAAACGGGAGAATTCAGCCAGGTGTAGGGATCCCAGATTTGCGATAAGTATTTATGGTGGCGTGATCCACGGAGTCACTAGTCGTCAGTACTCAGTTTCCTAATGAGAAAAAATATGAGTCTTTCCTAAGTGACCATGAAGTGGACTTGACTTACTGGAGTGGAATACATCGTCTACCAGCCTCTGTGTATATGATCCCCAATATCCAAGCACGTAAATTCCTCTTTGCTCGCTTTCCTCCCAAGTTGCTTATCCTCCTCGGAAGGGACCCAGCGCTCGAATGCGCCTTTCTCCTCCTCATCACTCAGATCCGTTTGGATGTCGATAAAGCGCAGAGCGCGACAGTGGCTGAAGATCTTGCCTGTCTCTTTCGGTGTCTGGAGATGGGATAGGTCCGGATCGAGAGAGTAATGAGTGCGAAAGATTAGTCCGATGAGCACTGCGAAGTCAAGAAGTATGTTGCAAACATTGGGCTCCTGATGTAAGAAATATCGCAGTGTTTAGCTAAAGAGGCCTCTGAATCCGAGAACTGTATGAGAACGCACCGAAGGAAAGACCTCGAGATACTGGAGGGTATTAGCAAAATACCTTGATACAGACATCAACTCACGCCCGTACTGCGGTCGCAAATACGACAATGCCTTGATCCTACCCAGGTACTCCACCACAGGTCCAAAGTCCGGAGTCTTAATATACAGCTCCCACATCTCCCACACCAGGATCTCAACCTCACGTCCTGCGAGAGCCACTCGAATCATATTTGGGGTGCTTCGCAAAAACTTGAGATCCACACACGTAGGCAGAGGGAATTCGAACAGTTCTTCCTCCGAATAGAAATCCACCTCGAGCTTGGTAATCCTCGGCTGCGTCTTAGAGAGCTCGACACTTTTGTATAATATTTTCAGTCATTCTTATATGGACTTTCTACCCCGTGAACAAATTGCCTCCACATCGTCACCAGCCTGTTCGGCGGCACATTCTTTTTGAAATAGCTATCCCTGACCTTGGGTCTTAGACTGGGGACCAGCGTATAATATGCAAATATGTCAATTATCATATGGCATTCTGCGACGAGTTTCTGGGGTGGATTAGGGTATCTCTAGGTTGAAATTTCATTTAGCTCTTTTTTGAAAACTAGCCCAAGCAATGGACTCACGTTTAACCAATTCACCAACCACTCAAGCAAGGCGGCGAAGATAGGTCCAATGAACTCACTGCGAGTGCCGATGCTTACAAGAAATTGACGGGCTGTTGCCATGTCCAAATGGGCGGGATGTCGGTCTTTTTCGGGTATTCTTCTCGCTAGCGTTTTGAAAAAGAGAGGTCGCGGAGGATAAACAACTCGCTTTATCGTTACAAAAGCGTCTTCATATCTGGCTGGATCGAGAGCTGAGATAAAACAGTTGTAAATCTCAAACTCCTGTAGTATAGCCAGGGTCTCGACTGTCAGAGGCCCAGATTGCGAAAAATGATGTGTCCAATGCAATATCGCATAACCCCAGGTGACTATGTCTGTATGTTAGCATGCACTTTCAAAGATAAGTCACTGGATGGCACTCAACCGTAATTGACCCTTGACGCGGGTTTCAAGGATAAGTCTTGCATGATCTGGAGGCATGCTAGCGCCGCTCGGCGATGAATGACTGACGAGTTGATGAAATAATCTTTTGACCTGGACGAATCAAGGAGGAAGTCCGAGAATGTCTTGTGGTAAAACTTGACGGCGTCATATTGCTGACGCATAAGACGTCGATATTCATCCAGCGTCATCGTTTCTCTCTGCTCCGCTGACAAGGATGAGACGTGGACAAGAGAATGGATCGTCCTTAACGCAAGCTGACTCTCCCCAGACCTCAACCCGAGCAGCTGTTCGACTACGTCCAAGACCCCCGGATGCCGTCCCCATTGCAAGGGAAGGCCATCGCTTAGCATCACGAGTAGGGTGCCAAGCACGTCAAGTGTTCGCTGCTTGTCAGCGCAGGTCAACATAATCTCGGTGTAGAGCTGGTCAAGGTCGAAAAACGGGTTAAGGGACGGAGTCGTCGCCATAGGAATAGCGAGGACATCTTGAAGGCGGTCGATTGGTCGGAAGTGGGGGTCGTCCACAAACTTGAGGACAGTCGCAGGGTATATGAACTGGCCGGAAGCCCTGTCTACGAGGGAATCGATGTCGTTTCCCGAGGGCCAGGGTTTCGGGATGGTGGACATTACAGTCCGATGGCTAGGACTGTTGCATATGTCCTCGAACCCCGACATGAGGAACGTGCGAATGTCCTCGTCTGCGCCGTTTGCCTCTTCAAGTGCCACCTGGCGTAGATTACGTGTCAATAATCCCGACTCGAATTCGTCCTTGATCCATGGTTCTGGCCTGCTGGCGATGACGAAGCAGACAGGGAAGATGCCGTGCTCGAATACGGAGCCGATAAGCTGCACGATATGGCGCTGCATTGACTCCCCAAGACACTCATCCAACCCATCAATTACGATGACCACCGGGCGCGCTGAGAGTTCCACAAGCTGCAATGGTTCAACAATGAGCTTCCGCAGCTGGACATCGATGGATTTGGTGACGATAGAAGGGTCGTTCGCCACGATTTCGCTGATCCTCACACCGACTTCTGGGATGGCGACAGCCAGCTGGTAGGCGATGGTGACGAACAGGAGTGTAGAGTTGTTCCGCCCATGGGAGTGGCGAGAGAAGAAGAAGCTGCCCCCCAGCGCACGGGTGGCCTGGCAGAGCTCACAGATGGTCTGGGAGATGGCTGTCTTACCGCACCCTGCGGGCCCGCGAAGCCAGAGGATGCTCGAGAGTCGCGATAGGTCGAGGATCCAGTCCATAATGCCCGTAACGATGGCCCTGCGAGTCTTTGGGTGACATTTGGGCGGAGGGTATCGTTCAGCCGAGTCGTGCGTTGCTCCATAGACAACCTCCCGGTGCAGGAGCTGCAGGCCTAGAGGGGTTTCACGTTGATGTTATTCTAACATAGAACAACGATGAAACTCACCATTCATCCCGTGGTTATCCACTATGACGAACGAACTGTCTTGTATTTGAACATTGCGGGCACCTTTGAACATGGACGACATCACGCTGGCGGGGTAAGTTACAGATGATCAACATGGCGGTTCAAGTAAGTACAGCCTTGCATCACCGTTTTCAGTTCTCCGGGAAGGAATGATGCACAGTCCAAGCACAGCCACTACAAATTTCCACGATCGTTAAGCGCTCAAGGCATGGCAAGGAAGATCAGCTACAAGATCGCCGTTCGGCTGACAGAAGAAATTTGTGGTTTTAAAGTGAGAGATACTTCTACGCTTACGAAAAAATATTTGAGTTGATCCATGACACACTATATAAAATGAAGTTTACGCCCCCGACAAAGTTGTCCGGTCAACCTTGTTATCCCTCTTTGTTTTACCTGAGAGAAATTCAATTTGCGGCGGCTGGACACCAAACCCCCGAACCAACCGGAACTCTCTCGGCCCAACGGAGAGTCGAAGGCGAGCGGCCTCGATTCAGAGTGAATTCAAGTAGAACCAAATAATTTTCTGAATATCTTTCTGAGCAGTATGTGTGACTCCAAGAAAAAGAAAGCGGAAATTACTTTTCTCCCCAAGCCCCGCCCGGGGCACGGGGAAACCTCTCATTCAGGTTGATGTAGACATTCAAGTCGATGAAGCGAAGTGATTGGCGAAGTTCGAAGAGACCTCGAAGTAACTACTGCCAAATGCGAGAGCGTAAACGAGTGAAATGATCTGTCTTTCCAGAAAACCCTCTGTGATAAAGCAATACGATGAATTTACCATCTCCAACGAATCAGTATATCTTAATATCTCGCTGCCCTTAATTAACATGTATGATGCTAGTAATGTTCCACTACCAGCCTTCCAGTCGAGGACGTGTTGCAGAAATCACAACGCAGTCCGTGTATAATTGTATGAAATACTCCTGAATAGCGACATATAAAGAAGGCTGTCTAGGTTCACCTTGAGAGCGGGGCCAATGTCCGATCGTAAACTGAGAGAGGGGAACTAAAAAATGTGAGGTCGTTCGACGCGCGAGACAATCAATTGAGTAGAGAGCGATGCCCATCCTGAGTCCGTAGGTAGTCGACCTTCTTTGCTCTTTCTGTCGAGATGCAAGAGTCGCCGGACAAGCTGGGTACAAATCCCTTCATGCAGCGATGAATGCGACACTGACCACGAATGCACGACACATCCGAGACTCTTCGGATAGCAGTGCAGTCAACGCCATCAGCGACAAGCTCGCCTGTGAGAGGCGAAAGCATACAACCCCCACCTTCCATGAAAGAGTCGTCGTCAGAACATCGCCATGAAGTAATGAAAAGAACTCACAGCTTTCAAGGTCGTTTTGCGTGTCGACACATTCCCAAGACGATTTGGAACCACGTCCTGGAACGGCACAAGCGGCCTGCCCGTACGGACAGCGCAGGTGCACAGCCGACAAGCCACGCTTGCCGACCATGAGGTGACCGCTAGGGCATGCCTGGCTCGTGCAAATTCCATCGCAGACCGTGTTTGGCGCCTCACAGGCGCACGTAGTGGGGTTTGTAGCTGGAGAAGGTGTGAAACTAGAGTGAGGACACGGTCAGCAGGGAAACACGACGATGGAGACCTCGCCATCACCTACCCGTCCCAGCAACTGAAGCTACAAGGATTTCCGGCCTTGCAAGAACCTGCCGCATGCGCTGGGTATGTGCATGTCCGAGGATTCGACGTGGCAATCTGCGAGCCCCCTCAGGCAACTTGTTAATAGGAACAGGGATTACAGCACTTACCAAAGACAACACGGCTGCCGTCGCTGCAGGACTACCAGCGACAGACACAGCGGCTATGGCGACAATGTTGGTCGAGAGAAAGTTTGGCACGCCTGAGTGGCAAATGCAGGTATCTGAGGTCAGATATCAGCACGAAATTCATCAACAATGGACGGAAGGACGGACTGATGAGCCCAATAGTAACTGTATTGCCGCTGAGGAGAACCTTGAACGGACTATTAACAACATTGGCGCAGGTGTCAGCACGCTCGAACAAGAGCGATGCTTTGGCCTGCACGACAGCAAGGACCAAACCAACCGCCGGACTGTAGCGCATTGCTGCAGACCGTCACTCGATAGGTGGGAGGAGGAAAATCGTCTCCTGAGCCGCTTAGGACCGTTAAATAGTTGAGTGTCGTTCCTGTTGATGACAAGGGGCGGATCGGCAGCCCGATGGAGAACAAAAACTTCACGAAAGGGGGCCCTTCCCATCAAGGCGCGCTTTCGCACTAAACTTTGGATTGGCCGAATACGAGTGCCTGAACGTTGTTGTGGCACCCAAGAACTACGCGGACAGATGCCTGAGGTGGTTGAGGTGGTCGAATCTGCTGTCAAACCATGCACAAAAAGGCTTCGCCCAAAAGTCTAGTCCACAGGATACATCGTCAGCTTGAAAGTGTGCTCGTCATGAATTTGAGACTGGTGTAGCTGCGCAACCGTGTCGAGATCCTGATTAATTGACGGAATGCGGAGATCGTGGAATTTAATTACCATAGCCCCTTTCAATCGTTATAGCAGTTGCTCAGATTGCGAGCGACGGCGAATTCTTTCTCTGTTGGACTTGAGCTTGAACTGCGGGTTGGTGCCTGGGATTTAGAGAGCCAAACGCGCGAGAAAGCATTGTGAGTTTGTAGCTTTGGACGTATGCTTTTGAAACTCACTAGAGATGAAATGTTGCGCAAGGTTGGATTACGATCGGTGTCTGACTGTGCGAGGGGCGAACTTGAAGGATAGCCCAATACCCTCGGTTCTGAATTATCTTATCTATCCGGTCATGGTTGAAACGTTGAGGTCCCTTCTGTGATTTCAAGCAATGGTGACTGGAAGCCAGAGAAAGTATTCATCTATTCTTGGAGTTGATTGTTGGATACCCAATCACAGACGTGCTCCGCAAAATCTACGTAGCCGAGGATAGGGTCTTGGATCGCAGGGTATGAGCCTTCGTTGCGGATATCCCACATCCATCGTTCAAACCGTCTCGTCTCCTTGTATGGGACATGCTGATCAACCTTTTCCACATCGACAAACTTCAGTTTTGGACACCTTAAAAATATGTCGCGGAGTTGGGCTACTTTGAGCTGAAGGATTGTGTAGGGCCGGAGGATAAGACCGATTAGTGAAGGCATATCGGTGATTGCATTATATTCGATAGAAAGGCCCTGCGACGAGAATCAACTATCAGTACCTGCAACATCGCAGAAACAAGCGACGCACCCCATCCACTAACTCGAGGAAGCAACCTAGGGAAAAATGACGCAAATCGGCAAAAAGAGGGACGAATCCCGTTGAACAATGTGAAAGTGCGATCACGAAGCCCAGTTCTTCTGCTACGTTCTGTGGGGTTCGACACGGGTCGCCAAATAGCGGATTCCAAATGAGGGTGGGTATCCTACGTCCAAGAAGAACGGTCTCAATAATATTTCAGCTTTCTGCCAAAATTCGGAAGCAGGGAGGCGGGATACGGCAAATGTTCCGTCCTTGGGAAAGATTGGTCGACGGCGAGGTATTCCAGCTCGTCCTGCTGTTCGAGGAACTCGATCAAGCGACTGAACTCGTCCGCGGCTAATGCTCTATTCCAGCAGAACACCTTCAATTTGAAAGGGCAGTTGCCAATGAGGATATCAACCGGAGGACCTTCAGGAGACGTGGCAACGTCGAGCTCCTTCAAGTTTCGCATGGAGTCAAAAATTGGGCCAGGTTTCAAGAATATCTAATTCTCATCTTCACACGATTCGCCGTAGAAAACCAGGGAGCGAAGGTATTGCGAAAATTTGGGATTGGCGACAAAGGCAGAAACTGGCGGGCCACGACGTCGTTCTGGCGGGTTCTAGATAAAGACAGAGGCGTAGAGCAGGCGGCGTGATTGCTCACAGAGATATCTATTAGCAAGTGCGACGCCGGCAAGAGTAGGGTAATCGCCCTCGAGGTGTTCAATTATCAGATAGATAATCTCCACAGGAAGGGCCATCGTGGTTGAGCCGATGGATGCTTGCGGCGATTCTACCAGGGCACCACCGCGTAAATTATTCGTAAAACATAAGAAATAGAGTTCGACTGGGAAGGAAGGAAGGAAGCTGGCAGACAACACGAAAGTGTGTTCCGGTTCAAATCGGTTCAAATGTTTACATAACTTGATTACAGCTATTCGCGGAACATAGGGCGCGGGCCGATTTTTTTTCCAAAACGGGTCGAACTGATGGTTCGAGCGGGGTATAGCATCGTCAGTTCATGTCCGTTTGCCACAAAATTATCATCGTTGGATTCACGTTTAAATTTCGCATCGAATAGTATAGAATATGTGGGAGGAATGTGGTGGTATGTCGAAGTATTCTGCCCATGTTCCTTTCGCGGCCCCTCGACGAGTTGGCCACAAAAGCAAGCACTTTCGTCATCGCTCTTCACATTTTTTGTATCTAAAAGAGAGTACTAAATGTATGATACACTATTTAATGAAAATATCCCCAATATGCAGCGGATAGCATCTCCCAGACTGAGTGCCGATTGAGTGCTTCCCCAGTGATTTTATGTAGACGTATAACGGCCTGAAACTTTACATCCTTCGCAAAATAGATGGAATTTCTGATGTATCGACAATATATCCACGAAAATGCACTATAGCTATGACCAACAGAGCAGAACGGCTGTCTCTGGACATGGGTAGAGATGGTGTGTCAGTGTTCGAGTGCCCCATAAAAAGTTCACTTCTTTTCGTCTCATTTCCTGTCTAAACTAAACAGAGGATAAGAGTAGTGTAGTGCGAGTAAATAAGTAATAATCTGGGGCAAGGAGAAGCTTCTAGGTTGGATTACGGATATCTAGGTACATGGGTGGCGAGCGATGGCGGCAAGGCCCCCGGGCCACTGACTTCACCCCAGAGTATCAATTCATGCCCTGTTTCTTCAACATTTCAATGTACAAGAGTATTAGCTATGACACAGTCTCGTCCAAAGGAAATACAACTCACAAAGAGAGCTCTATGAAAGCACATGCCTGCCACCTCATCAGAATCCTCCTCAGGTCAATGTTCCTCTCAATCCTTCGCCCTACCATGACTTGAGCGACACTATTCGACGCGTAATTTTTATGCGAGTCCAACGATGATAATTTTGTGGCAAACGGACATGAACTGACGATACTATTCTATGAACAACCCTCGACCCCGCTCGAACCATCAGTTCGACCCGTTTTGGAAAAAAATCGGCCCGCGCCCTATGTTCCGCGAATAGCTGTAAGTATCTTATCTGGGTTCAATCCCCAGACATGGTTTACGCTGTTTTCGGCCCTATCTTCGGAGACGGCCGACTGAGCGAGCCAGGGGACCCAGACCGCACAGATAGTCCCGTGCAAAGTCGCGCTCGCTTTAGCGAGGGTGCACGTGGTCGGCCGTCGTCATCGGGCGTGGTGATGGCGGTCCTCGTGGAGCGACCAAAAGTGGCAGGTGGCGCCACACGCTCCAGGCCCCTCCCCCCACGAATACCCACCAGTTCGGGGTCCCGGGAGCAACTCAGCACTCAGCTGATCCGGTAGATCGCGGTCCGCGGATGCGTTCCAGGCCCGGTCCACACTCCCCCTCTGTAACCTAAGCTTGGGTAACGGAACGCTATCAACGTCGGGTTAGGGCAGCGGTTAAGCCCTCTGACGAGCCCCTTCGCAAGGGCGAAACCCGCCTAAACCCGGCATTCTTACAAACCAGTCGTAGAATCTCCAGGTACGTGACCTACTCAACCTCCAAAGCCTTTCTATTGTTATAACTGGTTACTGAGTTGTTGGAGCTATACGCGTCAAGACCTATGCCAGACTTTCACCCACATATTCAGGGTCTCTCTTCGCAGCTGTTGGGCAGAATCTTCGACTTCTATGCCCACAACCCTGATGGGGAGAGAATCCTCAATGGTCGAGAAACGACCTCGTTCTCTTCTTGCGAAGGCGGACATTACGCCAATCCGGGTATTTTACTCCATGTCTGCAAGAGCTGGCGTACCATCTCCCTCGACCGTCCATCACTCTGGTCCACAATTATCATGATTCAGCCAATTGCATCCTACATTTCTCGGCTCGAAAACTGGCTCAGACTCTCCAGGACCGACCTCTTGAATCTGCAGATAATCCAGACCATGCCAGATGACGAAACACCTATCGAACCTCTCAGAGAAGAAAGGACGGTTGTCAACACCCTCCTCGAGATACTACTCAGACGCATCGAGCGATGGGAATCGATAACTTTCCTCCTCACCATCGGCTTCCTACCAGCCTTCGCAGAGTTCCCACAGGGCAAGCTCGAGCAGCTCAAATCCGCCACCTTGGACCTTTCCACTTGGACCACTCACCCCGAGGTGATGAACAGTATATTCTGTGCAATACACGCCGCTCCCAGGCTTGAATTCATGAGCGGGTTCGCAGCGTTCTTCCAAAGTCCAACAGGTATCCCAGATAGCGTCCCATGGCACCAGCTGAAGGGAATCGAGCTGGACGTGAGGGTCATTTCCCAGGAGCCATTGACCATCAGCTACGTGCTGGCTGTTCTCGCTAAATGTCCCCAACTGACGTCGGCCACATTCAAGCTCGAATACTGCAAGAAATCTTCCCCTGCAGCACAGAAGACCACTTTGTCCATGCCTAACCTCGTATCGCTCACTTTGGATGACACCTCGTCGGCCGATGTGGAATACGTCCTCCGAAGCATCACCCTTCCCTCCTTGCACACACTTAACATATCCATCGACTTCGAAGCTCATCCATCCTCGCTCCCTCATGCCGTCTCCGGCATCATATCGAGCTCTAAATGCATCATAAAATACCTTGGACTGGACGTCCAGGAGGAACAGCTCATCAAGCTCCTGGCTCTTCCCTTCATCAAAGACGTCGAAGTCCTCTGCGTCGGGGGCAACAAGACGCAGGTCTTCGCGTCTCTCCTCACACGCCACGCGCAAGAAAAGGCCTCCTTGGAAGTTCTTCCAAATCTCGAGTACCTGCAGCTCAACTACTCGCAAGACCGGGATGGGACAAACAGAGTTTATGCGCCGACGTCCGCACTAAACACGATGGTTCTATCTCGCACGAGCCAGTCTCCTCCAGCACCGGGCTTGAAGATCCTTAAATTTATTTCGTTTCGGAATGAACCAGACCCCTCTTTCCCTTTCCCAGGTCTAGGAGATGTGCCGCCCGAACTTGAGGTCAGAATATTCTGAAGGAAGATTACTCAAGCTAGTCGAGAGTCCACATCCGGACCACAGTTGTAAATTGAATCGATTGCTTCATATACGAATAGAATTTACAGGGCCTAGGCAAGTTGAAAGCGAGAGACACGAAGCGAGTCCATCGAGAGTCCAGAGAAAATACTAATAAATACCCCACCCGCGGAGACACCTAATCTCAGCATCAATGTCACCAACTCGGTCCATCCGCATTCACGTCCTTCACGAACTCAAGGTGCATTCCGTCCTCTATCAGCCTCCGCACCGTATCCGCGTCGTCGTTATCGAACTGGGTCTTCTTCGCAGTGGTCAAAATCACGGATTTCAGAGCGGAGACATGTGGGGAGGAGAGGCCCTCAGGCTCTGAGTCGACATCCATGGGCACCGGCGATTGCGAGAGCCGACGGGCCTCAGTCGAGGAATGATTGCTTTCATAAGCCTCGTACGTCGATTCAGGTTTCCACCGTTGGACGAGGAACTTGACCAGCGTGTGTGGGTTGAAGGAAACCGCTCCTTGGTACTCGAATTTTTGGAGTAGAGGGACGAGGCATCTCATATTCCCATCCCTCCCTCTCCTACTCTTGCTGGGGTCCATCGCCTCCAAGAACCCGTCTCCCAACTTCTCGCCCTCCTCTGAGTCAGGATTAATCAACATTAACACTTCTAACCCCCACATCTCCCTCAACGCCTCGACCAGCTCCTCGTCTCCAGGCGTTTCGCCCACTAAATGCAGGTGCCTCAACGTCCTCACGCACCCTGCGCCCCAGAGGAACAGCATCACTGCCCCGACCAGCGGCTCATCGTCTGACAGGGACAGCACGAACTTCGTCAGCGCAGGAAGCCAGAGCGCCCCAAGCAGCGCGTGCATCTCGGGCTTCCCGTCCATCACGAGCTCGAGCGCCTGCAGCTGCTCGTGCCGCACCGAGAAAGCCAGGGTGGTGTTCGGGGGAGGTTCGACATCCCCCAGCCCGTCGACTTGGTGGAACTGGCATTGGCGGAGGGAGGGGCAGCGCCGGAGCGCGTCGAGGCACTCGCTGACGGTGAAGTACTCCGCGTCGAGCCGCTCGAGCTGGGCGTAGGGAAGTGCGACGTCAGACAGGGAGTACCCGACGAGCGAGACGCTGTGCAGGGCGGGCGCGTGTGCGAACGCGTCAACGCGCGCGAGTGTTGTGCTGAGATCTACCACACGTAGCGTAAGGTTCGTGAGCTGGGGTAGCGCGTGCCGGACCTTGAAGAGTGCATTTTTCCAGTTGCTCGGCACGAAGAGGTCGAGGGTATGCCACTGTGTTGAGAACGACGCGAGGACGTCGATTACGGCTCTGGAGGTGACGTCGCGATCCCACCTGTCGTCGTCGTCCCCACTGCCGTCGTGTTCTTCATCGTCGTCACTCCTATGCGCGTGCGTCTCGTCCTCGACGATCTTTATCGAAAGCGGCCGATTCCCTGCACGCGTAAGCCACTGCCGCAGCAGTAGCGCTTGTTGTTGTGCATGCTTGTCGTTCAGGCGTATCTTGACCGCATTCCAGAGTCTCGATGTCCCGAACGCGATGTCTCTCCACGTCGAACACACTGTGCCGAGAAACAAAGGTGTTACTGCCCCCGTACCGAGGCCCATACCTAGGTTCGTCGCACCATGCGCCCACTGGTGCTGGAACATGAACAGGTCTTTCCACGCGTCGTCCGAGCTGGGGAGGCACGCGTAGTCGAATATCAGAGCCAGGAGCTCTGTGGGCAGGCGGACGGCGGGGGAATAGGTGTTGCGCTTTCTCTGCAAGAACGACCGTCGCCGGACAAGCATGACGATATTATCTTCAATGTGCCCGATTTCCGCGTCTATATGCGCGATTTCTTCAGCTTTCTTTCGTGGATCCGTCGTGTTGGTGTTGTTGTAGAACGTGAAAATGTTGGGTTCGGTGTGCCTCCGCTGGAAGGGGCGGCTGAGTGGGTACGTGTACATCCTGGGACCAGTGCGATGGCTTTAATGGGGTGCAGATGAGGCACAAGGTTGAATGAATATGCATGAGCGCTTCATCATAAATAGCACAAGAAGAATGGAACGCGTGCAACGTGCAAGGGGCGAAGACAATCGAAAGATGGCCGGAAGACTGAAAAACTCACCTCGTTAGCTCCAAGTATCCCTTTCCGATAGTAATGTTCCTCGACTTCTTTAGATTCCCAGATATTCTTCCTTCGACTGCCACCGCCAATAACGAAGATAGAGCGCGATTTGCGACTTTGAGGGTGCACTCCGGCAATCTCGTCTCGAATATATACCAGCTGGCTTGCCGAATGGAAGGCGCCTTTCAGTGGAGCGCCAGAACGTGGATGACGGCTCTTGTGATCCTTCGAGACCTGGAAAATGAGTGGATTTTGATCGTCAGCGCACGGGAAGAACGTGTTGCGGGAGGGAGGCGCTGACATAGAAAAAAGGAGATAGCACAAGCTGACGTACCTGGCTGCACCAGTGCCCGTGCGCAGTTAGAAGCTGTATCCTGTCGTCCTGTCAATCATCTACAGATCTCCAGACAGACAGACATGGGAGATCTCACTCGTTTGATAGGTGACAGCACAGATGTGGGCGTATGGGTGAAAGAGGGGAGAAGAGAAAAAAGAGAGGCCGCGAAGCAGCATGCGCGTCCTATTCAAATATTCGCCACCATCCGTTCATGGTACACTGTCGGGAAGTTCAACCGACCAATTACCGGCATCTGCTTAGCAAACGTACCTTTTGGGCGCAGTGCGGATGAGCAATACCTCCGAATCCGAGCTTGAAGACCGTACTGAGGCCCAGACAGCCCTTCATACACCCTCGGTCGACAAGCATGTACCCCGACGTTTGCTGAGCCTCTTGGTCTTGCTCAGGTCTTGCTAGCACGCGCAGAAAGCATCGCCTGAAGGGTCTGAAGGGCTCCAATTGGAGAGGGCGCCGACCCCCCTGAAGAATGGCGGACGGAGCGACGATCAAGGACACGGACAAACCGTTGAGTTGCGGAACATGTACATTCCCGCTGTCATCTCTCCGCAACAATTCGCTCCGGAGGGATCTCTCACCAGAGGTCCTAAAGAAAAAAAACGGCAGGCGCTTTTTTTCTTCTTCGACCTTTGTTTTTCCTGGCGCGGAGGTAGGCCAAGTCCATAATGAACCAATTTCTCCTGGCAGAACCTGATCGGTGCCCGGAGCTGGGCAAATCCCAAAGCTCTTCCCTCGGGCAGTGAAGGTAAAAAAACCCATTGGTACGGCCTGAACAATGCCTACATAACGTACACGAACCTCGGCGATCATGCCTCTGAAGTCTAAAAAAGCTGTGGTGATTTCATGATGGTGGCGGTAGAATAGATATTTAACAAAAAAAGTTTGCGATTTGATAGGGAGGAGGAGCGCAAGTGGAGACGGAGCTGTAAGCACCGGAGGGATATGTTTTCAACGGATCGCTGCAAGTACGGCAAACTATTGTCATTCTATCCGAGAAGTACAAATCAGCGAAAGGCGATGATGCAGATGTGAATAACTCACTGTCAAGGACGAGTTAGGTGCTAGGCGATCCTCTTGGTGCTTCCAGAACCGGAGCTCAGATCCAGGCATGAAATTTGTTCACAAAGATCGCGATATGACATGTTACGCACTCGAGAAATGCCTCGTCTTTTCCATGATGTTTCGAAAGAGGAACGATGGAGATGGAAGGACACGGAGAATATATCTCCGGAGCGGTGTGGTTCCTTGGGAATTTATCCTGATCTTCTGCCCGCCTGGAAGGCATGGCCTTCATTTGAAATTGAAGAGCGGGGCCTAAAACTTTTAGATCCAAGGACGAACAACGAGCGGAAGGGGACGGGCTTTACCTGTCATGATATGGTATCTTGCGATGTCATATATGCTTCTGCGAATATCAGGGGGAAGTCGAACACGGAGCAGAAATCGCCGGAACATGAGGATGAACAAAGATTAGACTGGTTTCACTTCCAAATCAACTAGAAACAGCAAGCTAGAGGGATAATCAATTCAGAGGGTGGTGAAGACGAAAGCGAAACACACCAGCAACCGACAGCCAACCTGCAATTAAACACAGTTTACCAGCGGGGCAATCATACAACACTCAAAGAGACCCAAGGGATAAGTACTATGATGTACGTACGGGATATGAGATCAAAAAGTGGCTAAATGCGCGTCCTCGAACCTTCGTGCAGGGATATGATGAAGTCGACACGGAGCAGATATCGCCGGAGCGAGAGGCTTAGTATCGCCTCTGCCTTCCGTATGTTTGGAAGGCGCCAATATCGAGCCCGTGGTCGAGGTTCTCACAGAAGCCTTGCAAAGGAGAGAAATGATCAGTGAGAAAGGAAAGAGAGGCATGATGGATCCAGTATCCTTACATGGGGTCCAGAACGAGACTGCATCAGCATCCTCTTCGCCCAAAATGTTCATTCAGTTATGCTTGCGTTCGTACTGGGCGATGAGGTACAGTGAAGTTACGCATGAAAGATAAATGATCAGCGGTCTGGGGGACTAATGTACAGTGTTTGCTTTTTCAGCTATTACAAAAAGCACAATTGTCAACAAGTTCACAGCAAAGCGACAAGAAAAATGCGAATAACTCAATATTATTTTTGACTTCTTCCTCGTGCCCTCCCAGGTCCTAACTGGTTTTTCTCTCTTTTCGTATCCGCATCTCTTCCCTCTCCCACATTTCCTCGTTTTACGTCCCATCTTCCGCCCCAAGAACTTGCTGTCTACTCTTCTCTCCCTTGTCTTCGCACCCAACCCAAGTTACCTCAACGGACTCCCCAATCTAACGATCTCCTGGCCCGTACGCATGGCTGGTTCTGGCTCGCCCTGGAACCACACCCTGCCTCTCGGAAGGATGATAGTCTGCAGCGTCGGACACGCCTTGTGCCAGCGCTTCGCAACGTCGTCTTCATCTAGCGTATTAAGTGTTTCGTCGGCGGAGGCAGCCATGAATGTTATGTACTAGACACAGAGTACCTGTAAGTTCAAGTTCAAGTTGAAATACAGAATGCCCCACCTTCAGGTTCACGAACCGGCCAAGGAGCGTAGCACAGTCCTCCAAAAATTCCTGGAGCGCAAAATGATAATCAGCCTCGAATACCCTTACGAAATTTCCCATAAAAACTCGCAAACCCACCTTCGAATAATCCGCCATAAGCATGACTACATGCAGTGCCTCCAGCGCTCCAAACCTCTGAGTCAAATGCTCGAACAAAAAGTTCGGCGCGCCAGGATCAAAGCTAATCACATTCAGGCGCTTCAGCATCGCGCTACCCATTGCAAGCGCATCGAGCGTCGCTACCCCGCCTTGAGGAAACAATGGCACTGAGACAATCTCAACAGGTCGCCCGCGCATGATGGTGCGGACGATCGGTGGGCCCGCATGGATGGCGCTGAACATGCGCAAACGGGGGAGGGCATGTCGGGGTAGGCGGAACGTTTTCTCGTTTTCTTCTTCGTCTTCGTTCGTTACGAGTGCATTTGAAGGTGGAGCCGAGCCGACGAAAGGCAGGAGAAAGACCGACTCGTTGTGAAACCCACGCAGTGTGAGCTCCTCGACGCCCTCTACGATCTCCCCACTCAGGAACCGAGCGAGGGGTCGATGGCAGTGCATCGAGGTGGCGAACTTTTTCAGCCGGAACGGGCAGCCCTCGAGAAGCCAGACGGGAGAGTGGGATTTGGGCAGCTCGAGCGAGAGCTCTGTAAGCGCAGGCATAAGGTGTAGTGCGCGCTGGAGCAGTCGGTAGAAGTTTGCCGTGAGGTGTGCTACGCCGAACAGGTCACGCCTAAGCTGGGATGAGGTTGCCGCTTGGCCAGGCGGATTTGCTGGACCTGCTGTCGCTGCCAGTGCTAGTCCATTCGTCACTGGTGGTAGCGTGTTGACGTTCCCATTCGGATTCGGTAACGGGCCTCCACCAACCAATGCCGCACCCACACCAGAAACCGCCGCTGCCGCCTCTCCCACTGCCGCTCTCAGGTTCCACCCCCCCTTACTACCACTCCTATTTTTGCCGTTCTTGACAACTCCCTGCTTGCTCACATCCAGTTCCAAGCTTCTCACCAGCGCGGCCAAACGGGGGTTCTTGACGACAGTCTGCAGGAAAGCAACAGTGCGTACAGGAGAGTCGAGCGAGACGCTGGCATAGACGCGACGCTGGGCGATCGAGCCGAGAAAGGAATTCGTAGAGAGAACGGGTCGCATGTCTTGGTTCTCAAGGAAATCGAGGATGGTGTCGAGAATCTCGGGCGGAAGTTGAGGGTGAAGGTGAAGGATAGACACGGATGTTGACGAGATACGTTCCGTGTTCAGATTCGGAGTTCCTTCTTTTGATTTTCCCTTGACGTCGCTGGTACTTGCAGCAGCAAACGACTGCTCCTCCAGACGAGGGATTTTGGTGGGTCTCGATGACAAACATGTAGATGACGAATCTTTGGCACCACTAGTGTCGTGGTCTACGTCGCTGCGAGGTTGGAACTCGAAGTCTACGAACATATCGTCGACGGCATGCGCGATAGAGTTGTGCAGAAGATGGGCAACGGTGATGGACATCGCAGTCGCGCTGATGATGGTGGTAGTGGTCAAGTTGCAAGAGGTCATTTTGCCCACGAAACGATTATCGGCATCGCGGGCCGGGGCCTTCTCCTCGACTCCTCAACCACAAGTCTACCAGAGGTTCTAATGAGCTTAGTAGTTGTTTCCAAGGGGTACACTGTTGACTCGTAAACTCGAAGTCCTCTTCAATAGAGTGGGGATGTTAAATTCATGCTCATGAGTTCAACGTGCAACTATTCGTCGTTATGGCCGATAATGTTCCCAGGTAGGTCTTCCAGCTTGCACTTAACAATACCCCCTCTAAGCCAATCCCCGTGATCCCGACCCATCCAATCCTGCTTGACACCTCGCACAACCCGCGTCACGTCGCTGCCTGGCATTCGCTTCTCAACGACGAATGGGTGCAACATTGAAGAATTTCCGGAATCAGCGTTCATTTGCACCCAGCTGCAGCGCTGGAGTAGTGGGCATTCCAAGGCAATATCCTGCGTTGATTTGAGGCGCCGTTTGTAGCAGCGTGCGTACCAAGCGTAGTCCCTATCAGCCATCACAGTATCGTCGGCATTCTCTTCCCGAGGACAGTGTGAGGTCGGTAAGGTTCTCGTTTTTTGAAAGAGCTTGGATGTGCACATCCTGCAGAAAAAGTATTGATATCGTCAAAAGGAAGGAGAAAAAAATGTACAAACCTTCCACAAAACAGAGTGCTCCGTGAATAGGTTGTCCCATTGGATACTAAGCTTTGTGAGATGTGGGAGAATCTCTGGAATAGTGTCGAGTACGGTCTCATCGGAACTTTGAAGAGTATATTCAAACGTCCGCAAAGTGCGGCCAGCCGGCTTCAATAGTTGCAGGTCAAAGTCACCGCCAAAAATTTCAGGCTCGTTGTCGATCCCAAGTTTCACTAGAGTCGTAAGTGAGGGCCGAACGAGCGCGTACAAGTGAGCTAGTGAACTTCCTGGCTGATTCGGGTTGTCGTTTACATGCCAAGTTATGGAGAGTTTCTCTAGGCCGACGGGACCTGCCGTAGGAACTGCTTCAACGGCTGCATAGAGCCCAGTATAAAGGCCGAATTCAAGAAGAGAGGCGGATCGGATGGAAGAAATGAGCTGAGAGAGATCCCCAAATCGAATAAGGTGTCCGAGCTGGTGGTATTCGAGAGCCTGCAAATTTGGCAGGGTTTCCAGGAATTGGAAGGCGACAGCGCTGTCGTCATCTTCTTGGGTAGCAATGCTCGAGAAATTGAGTTCGAGTTTTCTGCGCCAAGTAACGTCTTAGAATTGTTGTTGTACAAAAATGAGAATAGACGGGCAGACCTTATGACCTCTTTCACCTCCTTGCTCGCCAGATGAATGTTGCGTACTTTAGGTGTTATCTTCCCCGTATATCGTAAATGTCTGAATATGAAGTGTATGGCCTGACTTCGTGTGAAGCGAGATGCCAAAGAGAGCATTTGGCGGTCTATGGGTGGAAGGAGGGTGATGATTTCCCGGAGGAGTTCCACAGGTAGCGGAAATTCTGGAGAGGGTTTTGAAGTGCCAATTGTCATTGTGGTGGATGGTGGTGGTCAAAGGGAGGCTCGAGACGAAGCAAAACCAGTCTGAGAGACCGAACAAGCGAGATCAGACGATCAGCGCTCAGATGTTTTCGTCCCCCACGAGTGGTGAATGGAACAAATTAGCGAAGCCGGGCTCGCCAATCCCTTGAAACTCTACTGGTCGCCGAACTTGCCGAGCGCCGTAGGCGTCTCTGTGTGTACGGAAATAGGGTGTGTGTTTTCGAAACTACGGTGTGCATGGAGCTCTTCAGGAAGGACGTGCCAATGGATGGCTTGTCGTCCAGGATAGATACGGGCAGGGTCAAGTTGAGAAAGAACCTTGAGAAGGCGGAGAAGAGTCTAAGCCATCGTGTCTTATCGTGGATGAGTAGAATGTTACCTCTAAGTATTCCATAAAAGCGTTCTACGCGCTCCAATTCTGCGCATCGCATCAATCACCAGGGCTAGCTAACGAGAGCCCTCTACCCCAGTGGCGTGCTCGAACTGGAGCCAGGGCAACGGCGTAGACGGTCGTATGTGCGCTAATTGAACGAGGGCCAGCCACATATGACAATCTCGCCAAATTCCTGCACTGCCGAGAAACCTTCCAGACATGCATCGAGTAGCCCGCCAGAGGCTGATTGAAGGGCGTTTATTATTTTGTTTTTGTGAAAAGCACGACTAAAAAATGAACGTACCATATGAATGAACGTCCGAGGCTAAGATTACAAGGCCATGTAAGTGACCTTCAACGGTGCTAAACAATGAGGGATTAGTCGGACCCACCATTTTCGATGTTTTCACCCAAACTGCCAATTTCTCAAGGCCACGCGTAGACAGGAATGCGGGGAGAATCCATGATGTGGAACCCTCAGTCAAATATTTGCTAGCTGCATCTATATGCTCCCGGACCTCAGTGATGAGGATGTTGTTGGCGGGATGAGTAGTAGACGACCTGCTGGTATCTTTCTCGATCATACCCAATAGAATCTTCGGTTGAGGGGACAACGAAGTGTAGTGAGGAAATGCTAGGATGTAGTGATACCATTCGAAGGTCCGTAGCCCGCATAAAGCATCCTTCATGGGGGCCCCGAAGCACAGAAGTGGCGATGCCAATAGAGAAGTGCATAACCCCATGCCACTGTATAAAACATTAGCAAAATACTTTTTAAAGCCCTGATAAACCTGACCATAGTTGATCCGCGACGGATGCTTCGAGGACAAGTCTTTCATGATATGCAGACAGGCCAGACCGGTACGTCGATGCGTTGAATCCATATCAATGAAGCAACACCCTGACCTCCTCCAATCGAGCAGAAAATCAGGGAACGATTTATGATGAAAAGCTATCGCATCTGGCCTGTTGATTGTTTCGTGCCAGTACCCAGCATCGAACGACGCCTTCTCGCGCTCCTCACTCGACAGGGGCGAAATTTTGACCAAAGAATGAATCATCCTCAATGATCGATAGGCCTCGTTTGGCCCGAGACCCAGCAGAGACCCTGCGACATCCAGCAATTCAAGGCGCGGAAACCACACGAACGGTGTCTCCAGTGTTGACGTTTGTCGCAATGTCAACATGGTGAGGAGGGTAGCGAGCACGTCAAGCGTCTGCTTCTTGTCCACACACGTCCCCATTATCTGCATGTACAACTTATCGAGCTCGGCGAGGGGGTTGTAAGGCGTCGTCGTCAAAGGGATGTCGAGGACCAGTCGTAGGCGATCGGGTGGGTAATAATTAGGGTCGTCCACGAACCTCAGCACCGTCACAGCATAGATGAACTGCCCGGACGCCCTATGGACGAGCACGTTGATGTCTTCAGGAGAGGGCCATTGTTTCGCAATGCCTGACATGCTATATGCGTGTCTGGGACTCTCGTATATGCTGACGAACTCGTGGGTGAGGAAAGTGCGGATGTCTTGATCAGCATCGTCGGATTGCTCGAGCGACACTTGCTGCAGATTGTGCTTGAAGATGTCGGACTCGAACTCTTCTCGGATCCACGGTTCAGGACGGCTCGCGATGACGAAGCAAAACGGAACTCGATCGTGTTTGAAGACGGAGCTGATGAGTCGAATTATCTGGTACTGCGCCTCCTCGGACACGCATTCGTCCAACCCATCGACGACGAAGACCACGCGACGGTGGCTCCTTGCAAAGTCGACCGCCAGCGCGGGCTCGATGACCAGTTTCTGGAGCTGTTGCTCCATCGTCTTGTCGAGGATAGAGGGATCTTGCCCTAGAACCTCGTTGATCCGTTCGGCCAACTCTGGGAAGGCAACGGCAAGCTGATAAGCAAGCGTCGTGACCAGACCCCGAGGGTTGTTGAGCTGCTGGACGTTGCGCAGAAAGAAGAAGCTGCCGCCGAGGACACCTACTTCACGGCATGACGAGCAGATGGCTTTCGAGATAGAGGTCTTCCCGGCACCTGCTGGGCCGCGCAGCCAGAGGATGTCTGATTGATGTTCAGCGGCGCTGACCCAGTCCATTATGCGCTGTAGGACCATTTTGCGGGTCATGGGGTGGCATGGGGCATGCGATTCGAGCAGGGCAGAGTCATGAGTTGCCCCAGCGGTAGTCTTTTGGAGCAAGAGTTGCAGACCTGCAGTATACGATTGTTAGTAAGGTTAACAAATGACCTCGAAAAGTGTAGCAACGCACCTAGCGTTCCATGCGTCTGCATCGCGAAGTTAATCGCACTGTTTTCAATATGAACATAGCGAGCGTTGTTGAACATCTTGAAGCACGGTGTGTGTCTTCGAGCAGAGGTTAGGGAAGGATGAGGAAGCAGCTGGGAGACTCACAGTTCACCGCCTCAGCTGTCAAACTGTCGGCAGCATCTCCGGTATAGAAATTGGGCGACAGGCAGACGTCGAGACTTCACCAGAACATATCCAGCTTCAACGGCTGTCAGGAAAAGTAGGAGGCCACCTTGTGTATGTTTATAATTTAGAAGATAAACGTTGGCGATGATGGTTGTGGTCAACTTGCAACTTGCAAGAGAACCTGGTTATCTTCTAGCCTTTCACACTGAATGCAACGAGAGGCAAGGGTGGTTGGTAGCTTTTTGTCATTATGTAAATATGCTGTCTATCCGGTATCATAATATGCTTTCAAATATATAAGTAGTGCATTCATAAGTACCCCTTCTTCTCATCCTCTATTGGACCTTGTTCTTCTTGTTACCTCCAAGCAAGCTCATCTTCTCCGCCTCCGCCTCAGCGACGATGCCCTCGGCCTCGACCTGCGCCATGAGCTTGCGCTCGAACTCGAGCTGCTGCTCCTTGGTCATTGCCTTCTTGGCGGCCTTGACACGGGCACGGTACTCGCGGTACTTGGTGTCGGTGCCAAAGATCCTGTCCCACCAGCGGAAGGAGGTCGAGAAATTGTTGGTGAAAGCCATATGGTGGAAGTCGTGGTGCTCGGCCCCGGACCAGAAGGGAACGATGTTGTGCAGTGACCAGGGGAAGTCTGAGGATAGAACGTCAGTGGTCGAACAAAAAAAAAAAGGTAAGGATGGACTGACCATAGCCAGAGTGGGCATCAATAGCTTGGAAGAGACGGAGGACGATCCAAATATAGACGGTCACGATGTGCAAGTTTTGCGTGAAGTAGCAGTACAGGATAGGACCGAGGATGGTACCAGCTCCGAGGATGAAGACCTCAGCCGGGTGGGCGTATTCCGCAGCGAGACCGAAGGGTGCTGAGTACTTGTGGTGGATCTTGTGGATGTGCTTGTAGAGGACACCGGTGTGCAGAGCTTGGTGGGCTGGTGAGGTGCCGGTCGTGTCAGAGGTATTTTATGGAAGAGAAGAAAACGGTCGCACCAACGAAGTGGAAGAAGTCCTCAAAGAAGAAAAACAGGAAGATCTGGGGAGCCATGATCTTGAGGCTGGGGAAAGGGACTTGGTACGTCTTCATGCCGAAGGATTCAGCCATAGGGTGGAAGAGCCAGATCTAACCCGAAAGTCAGCGACTGCATGGCTTCAGTTGCGAGGAGAAAACACGTACTGCCGGGAGCTCGATCGTGAAATGTGAGAAGAGAACCTGCTTAGTGCAGGCCCATTGCTCGGCGGGTGTAGGAATCTTGTTAGGCTGGAGCTTCCACTTGCGGAAGTAGGGCATCGCGTCGATGATGATCCATGGGATGGAACGACCGAAATAGACGATCTATGCGTCAAATGCTAATCAGCAAATGTCCTTGAAGCCAACACCAAACGCCATGTAGCACCAGCACCCACCTCATGCAGCAAAAAGCTCATCAAGCCCGTCGCGACGATGGGGTTGCCGATGTAGATGTACCAAGCGACCCATTGCTGCTCGAACCAGTTGAGAGCGGAGAAGTCGGTCCCCGCGTACAACTCCGTGAGTGCGGACGTTGTCCCATTCAGTGCTGCTGCCATGGCTCGTGGCTGTTGTGGTATGCCTTGGTCTTCGTATGCGAAACGCGCAACGTGTTACTCGTCCGCGGTCGTGAGAAGGGAGTGGAGAAGAGGTCCTGGAGAAGTAGAGAAGGCGAAAGGCCGTGTGTCTTCGAGCCCTTCAACAGGCACCCTTTATAAAAGAGGTGGTAGTGGCGAGAGAAAGACAGAAGACCAAAAAAAAGTTTAGCGTTCTCACTCTTTCAGAACCGCACCACTTTTTCGAAAATCCCACAAATGGCGTGAGCCTGAAGTGGGAGCTTGATTGCCGAGATCGGATCACGTGCACCGGAGGCCTGACCGAGACGTAAGGGGTCTTTACGAGAACGGGAACGAGCTTTGCGCTGGCGAGGCCCGCAAAGACGAGTGTCGAGCCCGTCGGGGCGCGACGCGCTCGTTGTGGACTGGACGGACCCGCTGAAATTGCAGTGGGCTGATTGGGTTAATTGGGTTAAGTGCGAAAGTCGCGCGACAGAACCGGTCAGGGTTGCAAGCGAGAGGACTGGCGAGTAGGAATTGCTCGATTAGAGTCTCGAAATACGTATACTGAACGACATTTTTTGTCTACAACAACGTTCATGCATCATGAATCATGAATCATTTAACTATTATTATTGGAGAGATGAGGAAGAGCTAGAATCGTAAATGTAATCATCAGCAGGAACACCACTGGCATGTAAGCACCGTACAGCATACTCCACAGGTACACCGTAAGAATATATAGCACCTCCCTTGTCTCGCATAGCGGATAGATGTGGGATAGGTGGATGTGTGTAGAAAATATAGGATGTCTGTTATGTAGCAGCAGGTGCGTCAGCTTGAGGCGGCGTTGCTGCCTTCTCATTTACGCTTTCCACTGACGCGGAACGACTCTTCATCTCACGCTCGTCGTCCGACACGGGGTCTGGGATGCCGCGTCGGCGGTTGTTCCACCTGATGAGCTTAGTACTGTAGCAGGCCAATTTATCAGCACTCGATTTCGGACGGAGAAGAAAAGCTTACACCCAAGGCGGCGTAATGCCACCTGGAGGGATGACCCACTCCTCTGCCATGTCATACTCGGGCGGCACGATCCGTCCACCTGAGAGCCTCTTCAGGATGAGAGGAATGCCATTCAGTACCATGTAAGAGATGATGCCCGCAATGACACCATATGCGATGCTGGGATATGTTCATAAGTCCAGAAACAAAGAAAAGAAGAGGATGAGCGCACTTGTACGACAGTGGGATGATGAGCAGCGTCAGGAACGCAGGTACGGCGTCGCCGATGTAGTGCCAATTGATCTCGACGACGCTGTACGTTTGGCATAAGATCTCGTTAGGAAGGAGGAGGGGAGAAAACATACTTGCGAATCATCAACGACCCGACGATAACCAGAGCACCTCCAGTAGCCCAAGATGGTATCGACGCGAAGATGGGCGCGAAGAACACTGAGATGAAGAACATTATGCCCGTGAAGATGGCCGTGAGTCCTGTCTTGCCGCCCTCTATAAATTATTGACCATACGAATCAGCAACTAATTCCTCCGAGAGACGTGAAAAAGGTGGATTTACTGACCAGAGATACCGGTGGCACTCTCGATATACGCCGTGACGGGGCTGACACCCATGAGCGCACCCATCGAGATCGAGAATGCGTCAATGCAGTATGCGATGCTCGACCCCTCGAAGTCGAGCGTAACTGGGTCGCGCAGACCGGCAAACTTGGCCATAGAGTAGAGAGTACTGTTCAACTGTTGTAAGCTTCGCTGAAGGACGGCTGGGAAGAAGTGAATTTACCCAGTGGTATCTGCCAGAAAAGAAACTGTTTAGCAGGAGATGAGGAAAAAGGAATAAGGATGGACGCACCGAGGATGTCGACGTAGAGGAACGTGATGAGGGCGTACCACACATGGCCGTTCCTACAAACCTAATCAGTCTATCTTTACATTTTACACATTTAAGCACCCCAACTGACGCATAGTTATACTGCCCACAACAATTAGCTCTCTCGTAATCGCCCAACAGAATAAAGTCGCCTTACGTCAATAACATTCCCAACCTTGCCTAGCTTATGGAACGTCACCACCTGCTTGAAGTAATCAAACAGAGCGTCTCCAGTGGGCGTATGCGGGAAGAAGGTGACGGGCGTCGGGCGGGGCCAGGAGACGATCGAGGTGAGGATGATGCCGATGAGGATGGCGCCGCGCACGCGGTACATCATCAACAGGACGGTGAAAATGCCGCCCAGGAAGATGCCTAGCCACATCGTTGGACTCCGTAGGACGCCGCGCGCGCAGTAGCCTGGGAGGTCTTCGCTGGCGTAATCTGTAAGGCGCAGTGTTGGTCAGTGAAATGGGCGTTCGAAGGAGTTGGAAGGAAAGACGCACTCTCAGCTATACATCCTCCGAGCCCGACCAGGTTCACCGTGTCGCCACCAATGACGCCCAACCCGTGCTGGGAAAGGCCAACGAACGCAATAAAGACACCAATACCCGCACCGACCGCTAGCACGAGCGACTGGGGCATAATCCGGACTAGCCATTGTCGGAGACCGATGATGGAGAGGAACAGGAATATCCATCTGCACGATGACGATGCGCGGAGCGTCGATCAGTGTTTGCCCTTCCGTATAGTGACGACGATGAAAAAGGCACATGGAAGGAGAAGAGGAAGGACAGAAGAAGTGTGGAAGCAGAAAGATAAGGAAGCATCACGAGGAAAATCAATTGATAGTAGTTCGACAGGCAATTGATATGCGGGGAAGCCAATTGATAGTTGGTGTGACGATATGGAAAAGTGGAATGCGAGGCAACATGGACAAGGATAAGGACAGGGAGACTTACCCCTCGAGGAACACAGCTGCCAACGCCTCACGATAGCTGATAAGCCCGCTCCCGTGGAATCCGACGACCGAGTATGCGAACTACATTCATGACACGGTACAAATGCCTCTCCATTAGCCACAACCCAAGCAAGACACCAAGAACGAAACGCACATATGCATTCAACCCCAGTCCCGGCGCCAGCCCAACTGGGAGATTAGCAAGCGCGCCCATGAGGAAGGTGGAGAGGGCGGAGATGGCGGCCGTCGACGTGATGAGATCCTGCCGGACCTCGTTGACGCAGAGCTCGTATGTCTGGTCGCCGATGCACAGGTCGTTCGTTGGGCAGACGCAGGTACCGCCTGAGTCGGAGAGGATGGAGGCGTTGACGGAGATCTACGATATGACGTTGTTCGAGGTGACATGAGGTTGAGAAGCGGATAGGAGACGAACGATGTATGCCATAGCTGCCTGAAGAGTTTCGGGGACATGGTTCAAAGAGAACAGATAGGAAGGAGATGAGGGGACGAACCCATGTCGTTATACCTGCTCGGATTTCGGTCTTGCAGAAGGTTTAATTCGCAATGATAAAGCATGCTAGGCAGGAAAACGCACCGTAAACCGAGAGCCAACGCGCTCGCCTTTGGCACCAGACCCCTCGAGCTTGAACCACTTCCCCACAGGCGATCTCGCGACCTAAAACCGCGCAGTCATCGCAAAGAAAAAAGCTCAGAATGTTCACGAGTTGATCGAAGAAAAGCGGAACGCACCGCGTCATTCAGTTTGATGACGAACGCCATCCTAAGCTACACCAATACTCGACACACGACGAGTGGTAGCGGGCACGGGGGCTCCGAAAAGAACAGGAGGGAGGTGGTGGTAGGAGGGAAGGAGGATTTAAATTGGTGGTTATCTGACCCTACTTTTTTTGAGTCGGCGATCATCGAGTCTCTTTTGGACGCGCTCCATTATCCGCTTGGCGCTGGGTCAGGGACTATCGTGGCTGCACCCGCATGGCGATAAAGGTCGGCTTCAAATTCGCTCCTTCCGTTTGGCCTACAGAGCGAAAAACGGAACCAGATTATGTCTGGAGGCACAAGGGGTACTTTGGGTTTGGTAGGTGCAGGCCGAGGGTGGCCTAGTTGCTCTAGAGAAGTTCGGTCAAAAATAGGTGAGTATATGCGGGGCAATTATCTTTCCATCGATATCCTTCATAGGGAGAGAAGCAAATGAAAGCAGGCAAGCTCGCGGGTGTCGGCTCATTTGTTTGCGACGTTATCTACCGTCTCTGGGCGCCTATCGCGTCGCTGCTGACTGGTGACCACAATCAACTGCGAGATGTGCAACCAGAGATAACCTGTGCGCTTACCACTATGCGCCTCTCGTAATCTGTTGTCGCCCATTGACGATCATACTTTTTCAAGTTTTTGTGGATCTCTGATAAAAGGGCATGTGAATCAGCGCTGGCCGGGTGCCGGGCGAATCCCCACTCACCCCAGGTAGACCGAAGCCCTCGCAGGACCGGCAGACGCGGCTGGAATGCACAGCGTTGAAAGGTAAGTAGTTTAGAAATGAGCGCTGGAGGCGATATTGCAGAACGCGAAAAGCGCTAGGCGTTTATATTGCGACGCACAGACCATCGAAGCCTGTCAAATTCTGCTTCAATAAGGCGCCCTTACTAGTACCCCACGCGCGCTAAACACTCTTCAAGTTCTCAGTTCTGTATCGAGTGAAAATCAAAATCAAAATCTACGCGGGGCTCGCCGATACAGTCACTAGTCCCATAAGCTACAAGTAGAATTTCTATACTTGGCGTTGTATGAATTCATAGCTCATCATGACGATCGCGTCATCGTCGTGGGTCTAAGGGCGTACCGGTACCTCCCACACAGAGAATTAGATTATCGTCATACCTTTGTCGTGCACGCCCACTGGTACTCACTGTCAGTGTCTGCCACTGTCTATCGAGTCATCACGGATATCGCAAGGAACACGAAGGATGACCACAGAAGTCGTCAGCGCAAATTCGCACCTCAACGGCAAGCTCGCGCTCATCACCGGTTGTTCGTAAGTCCACCAAACCATCTCCGTGCACGCCATGGTCGATGACAACCTCAATTATCCACCAGCGGCGGGATCGGAAGTGCAACGGCGCTCGTCCTTGCGCAACGCGGATGTTCCATCGCCGTGCACTACAACTCGGCCCACGCCAAAGCCGACGTCCTCGTGCGCGACCTCCAGACACTCGGTGGGAAGGCACAAGCGTTCCAAGCCGATCTCTCGTCCTACGACGAGGTGCGAAGGCTGCATAGAGAGGTGGTTGAGAGCATGGGCCATCCGGACATTCTGTTCAATAATGTGGGGAAGACGGGAAATGTGACTGGACCGACGGGTGATATTGAGAGTGTGGATGTAGAGGAATTTGAGGCGATCTGGAGGGTGAATGCGGGATCGAGTTTCTTGGTGCGTGAAGACGGAGGGTCAATTTATAGGCTTGGAACTGATGAAGGCGCACCGTTAGTTGACCCAACTCTGCATCCCGCACATGGTCGAGAAACAGTTTGGGCGTATCGTCTTCTGTTCAAGGTCCGTTCCATTTGGTTAAGCTCTCGCCTTGACGACACAAATCGAGTGGCTGACTTACGTCTGTGAATTCCTGCTGTAGTGTCGCTGCTGGTGCGCCTTCTTCCTCTGCTGTCATGACGCCATGACGCAGTGTCTGCCTGGAGATCTAAATTTAGCGCATTAAGGTACCGGGGGCGTCATTGGCCCTCACTATGCGTCGTCAAAATCGGCCTTGCATGGCCTTCTCCATTGGGTAGCAAATCGTTACGCAAAGGATGGAATTGTACGTGAAGAAATTATGGTTATAAGGAAAGTGGGAAGCTCACTGGCATTCCTCTTCAGACGTGCAACGCAGTTGCTCCAGCACTAATAAAAGGTCAGCCTTTCCAATTATAACCTTGGAAAATATTGGTTTTCACCTGTCTTCCATTCCCACTCGTTCTGGACTCCAGAAACAAGTATGATGGCCAACCCATCGGACCAGCTGAAGGTAAGCAATGCCTTCTTCGCCTCCGAGCAGCCCACTCGGCCGCTCGAAAGCCCAAAGACGACTGAATTCGAAGTGGAGTCGAGTGGAGTGTCAAGGGCGACAGAGGGCTAAGACTGACGATTTTCCCCCGCTCGCACAAAAACAGAGCAGGATCCCAGTGGGACGATTCGGCCTTCCCCATGAGATCGCTTCAGTTGTGGAGATGCTGGTGAGCAATGCCTATATGACGAACAAGGTGAGAAAACCGCTTCTCTTTCTGAGGTTTAAGAGGGAAGAGGCTCACCATTTTCTGGCTTGGGCCTGGATACTAGATCGTCGTTGCCGACGGGGGATGGACACCCAGTGCCTTTTAAGACGTGTTTGAGTCAGGCCAGAGGTCTGGGTTGAAAGGTGATAACTGAGATGGGAGTTACTCGGAGTCGGTAGTGGCGGATGAACTGTGGGATTGATTCCGGCGAACGTCGAAGAAAATGCCAGAGATGAACGAAATCTTGCATATAAAAATCATTTCAATGTCCTATAGTTCGATAATTGGAATGTTGCAAGAACACTTGTTATCGCAGCTTTCTGGGTCGTGTAGAAAAAAAAATGCCTCGAGGAGACAAAGTTTTAACCCCTAGCCGAAATCTAATCAGTTTTCCGGGAGTTGCCGAGGCGGGTCGTCTGAAGCGCACGTGCCGGGTGGCTGAACCTCGCTCTTTACCTTGAGCACAGACAACGCTGCTTTTGCGGTCTTTACCACTTCTCTCTTCTCGGCTTCCTCCTTCTCCGGCGTCCCTCTCCCGATTCTCCCCCATTTTCTGTATACAACCCCAGGGCTGTTTTCTTTATGCCTACGGGTGGATGAGGAGCCAGGACGGCCTGAGGGCCCGGTCCCGACGGCGGTACACGATGGGAGGGCAGAGGGCAGGATCCATAGGCCTGATTGGTGCTCTTCCTACTTCTTCCTCGACTCCCATGAGCACTCCCAGGCTTCCCCGGCGACGCTCAGGCAATCGAGCACGTCCTCGGAGGCGGGGTCCATCGGGCGGCAGGTGGGTGGGTGTAGTCGCTCGGTTGGGTCTCACCACTCCTCCTGACACGTTTTGGGATGGGATCTAGGTATGTTTCTTCCTGCTCTCCTCTGTCCCTGCTCTCCGACTCATGGATGTTGCCCTCGAGCAGGTCGTTGGCGCTGGCCTAGGCTCATGGGTCCAGAAGCCAAAGTGCGTAATCTCACCATCTGCTGCGCTCGCACATGGCGCCGCGTCAGCGTTCACTGACGAGTTTCCTCCTCGTAGATGGATCAGCCGCTGTCCTGCGACATGCTTGCTGATGAACAGCTCTTTGTCGATAACGTCGACGCCGCTGCACTGAGGTTTACTCCAGTGGCCTTTTCTCCCGATAGATTCTTTGTTGGTAAAGTGAGTCCTTAACTTCTAATGGTGTACTCTTGCAAGGTGCTGGCGACCTTGACGGTGGATGAGTTTCTCGACGTGAACATCGTCCATCGACTGTTCGCTTCGAGTTGAACATCTAGCCTCCAAACTCATCAGGAACATCTATTCTTTCTTTACTAATTCGTTCCTTCCTCGCAGATGGCTCACCCAGTATGCTGCAACATGCTCGATGATGATCAGCTCTTTGTCGGCAGTCTTGACGCCGCTGTGCAGAGGTTGACGTCAGTGGTCTTTTTTCTCGCGATGGGTTTTCTGCTCCCTGAGCCATCGATAAGATGAATCATTTGCTTATAATGGTGCACTCTTGCAGGACGCTGGCACCTTTGACGGTGGATGAGTTTTCTGAGGTGAGCACCATCCATTGACTTTCGGCTTCGAATCACACATCTAACTTCCGAACTCATCAGGAACGTCTGTTCTTCCTCTTTATCACCTTCCCAATTGGCACATATCGTCCTACCGTGCCGTTCATGTGAGTAATGGTGCGACTCTTCTGGACGAGACGTGGATTCTTATCTATTCGAGCGTAGTTTCGTGAGTTCCGATAGGTCAAGCCTTCCGGGAATAAGGTTCGCTAACTCCTTTGTGTGACCAGGTACCAGAGATAATAAGAGACCTTTCATGGTAGGTCTCTCTAGTATAGTAGACTGACAGGTGGCTAATGGTGGTCCTACAGACCCAATCCTGAGTGACTGAGAAATACGAGCCAGTAAATGAGAAGTGGAGTGCAGCCTCCAACAGGCGGCTCTGCGCGGCCGAAGGGTTGCCGCAAAAATGCAAAAATGTTTGTTTACGTACCAAACAGCACCTTATTTGATCAGACCGCCTTCAGTTGCCGGCCCGAAACCACTTTTCGGCCAAAATCCGACGCTTTGACCAGTGCCGACGACGACCTCGACGACGAGCTCGCCATCCCCTAACACCTGAATTATCCCCCTCCTCCCCTCCATCGACTCTTCCTGGACCTCCCATGATATGCCCCGAAATCATCATCCGGCCGCGTCTACCCTCAGAAACCGCAACCGGATTACAAACAAAACACGCCTCAAGATCCACCATGGCTCGCTCGATGTCGATGCTGTACTCATCCCAGACGAAGACGAGGAGAAGCATCGTCTCACCAACCTCGTCGCCGGTGTCGACGCGGAGGACGCCAATGTGAGTGCCACCTCGCCCCCGCTGCTTCGTTGCCACGTCAGCGATCGATGGTGGCTGTGCGTTCCGCGGATTGTGTTAGTCAGCTGCTGACAAATCATTCCTTTTGTTTTCCGTAGGAGCACCACTTGCAGGAAGTCCTTTCGGCGGCGCATAGGGCGTCGACTAACCTCCGCCTCTCCCGTGATAAGCCTGGCGTACCTCCACCGTCGGCATACATCCCCACACCTGACTCAACTGGCGTCGTCGACAACTATGAAGAGCTGTACCCGCCTAACAAGTGGAAGGACCCTGCAACCTACGTCGCCACTTCCCAGACCGTTGAAGAGAGCATCTCTAACGGCATCGCCAATGGTTTCACCTATTACATGGACGAGCGCGACAAGGAGTGGCTTGATAGGAACAATGAGGAGGCCCGCGGCGAGGGCACGAGTGCCCAGGGTGCCGTCTCGTCTGTCTCTGGGACTCGCACATCCGCTCGCAGTGCCAAAGCCAGGGGCAAGGAGCCCGACACCTCTCAGCCTGTCGTCATATCTGAGGACGAGTTCGAGCTCGTAATGGGTGTGTTTGAGAAGGTTACGCATGAGCGGACGGAGTATCTGCACCATGTACGTTACTTTGTTTTCGCTTCGGATGGCGCTTGCTCACCTCAATTGATCCGTCAGGGACTGGAGACGGGCATGGAGTTTCCAGCATTCTCGGAGTACCAGGACGTGTTCTCAGCCCCCCTACCGACGTCCATGTTTGCAACATTTGTCGTCCCGTCGTGGATACCTGCGCAGCCCGCTCTGTTGAAGATCGCCAAGGCAGTCTATTCTTATTGGAAGGAACGCAGAGTCGAGCGAGGCGGCCACCGTATTATACCCACATTAAATGTGAGTGCTCTCGTTTTTTTATTTCTTCTCTTTGAACTCATCAAACATGTAGGGCGATGAATCCGACACCCTTAATGAATCCTACATTTGTTTCCGGCGGAGAGAGAGCAAAGCAGTCCGCAAGACGAGGGCACAGCAAGTGACCTCATCGGACAAGCTTGCTCGCCTGCAGATAGAGTTGAACTATCCGCTTGAGCTCGCGAAGTCGATCCTCATTCGAGAGACACTCAAGAAGGAGAATGCCATCCAGGCGCAAGCTCTCTGGGAGAAACGACAAGCATTCGCCGATCTCAAACGCAAATTTCCTTCACTCAACGACAAGATCGATGAGGAGCTCTTGGTAGACAAGGAACGGCCGGTTAAGAAACCGGAAGTAGCGTACGTTTTATTTCTCTTCAATTTCTCGTGGATGGTATCTGATTTCTTTCTATAGTCGGGTGGGAGGACTCAAGATAAGGACAGATAATCAAGCTTCGACTCCTCGTCCAGAAATTATCGTTAGGCCGAAGGAGCGAGTCGCGATGATTCGTGAGCAGATCGAGTCGCAGCTGGCAAGACAAAAGGATATTGATCATCACTGGGATGACCAGATTGATGTATGTTTTCATTTATACGACCTTTTCTCTGAAACAGTGCTTACCTCGTATTTCTAGAACCCCTACCAAACCCAACCTGCTCCTTATGCTTGCAGACTCTTCAAATACGTACCTCCTCCTGGTGCTCCTGCCTGGCCTTCATCCAGCTCTGATAAGACCGACGAAGACGGCATCCCTCCATCCCCTCCCCCTCCACGCCGACCTCGTGCCGTACGTATGCGCTACGGCAGAGGAGGGCGAATCCACCTTGATCGTCGGGATATTACCCGGCCGCCAATAGCCCTCCGTGCTCGCCGTTCGGCTTTGTTCGACCTCGAAGGTGATGACATGGAAGTCGACGACACTCCTGAGGAGCAGGAACGACGGCGGCGTCTGGAGGAGAGATGGAAGTATGACTTGGACGACGTCCCTCCTGTGGGTCCTGAAGGAGCGGACGAGCAAGATCGCATCTTGGTGGATGACTATGATGCAACGTAAGTTCATTTGTTGTTGCAGACTTCGTCGACAGTCGTCTGAACTTCTCTCCAGGTACCTGCGGCATAGTATGACACTCCACTCGGATCCCGACCACCTACATCTTGTTACCGACCCTACTCTCATCCTTACGAATTCCGAAGGCCGACAACATGCCGTGCTGCCATATCGCCTGGGTATGCCAACACCGATGATTAGGCGGGACGCTCAGGGCGTCCTACGACAAGTGTACCCTGTACCCTCGAACATGGCTGGCATGCATCCAGGTGGGCCGCAGGGCCATCCGCATCCACTCATGGCGATGCAGAACGGTGTTCCAGTCGCGATGCAGCAGATTAAGAAGATGCAAGCGCCTACCGCTGCCCCCCAGATGAGGATATCTTCGAATGGGGGTATGCGCCCACCTTCTGTGCCTGCCGTCGCCAACCTCCAAGCCAACGGCGCTGTCACTCAACATCCGACACCACCCCATCCTCTCCCCGTTCCTGTTCCACAGCACTCGCCACCCAACGGTGTAAATGGAATCAGCCGGGCAGCTATCAGCATGCCCCATGTCGATGTCCAGAAGCCCGAAATTCCGATTGCTACCCCCGCCATCACCGCGAATGGCATCGCTGCTGCAGCTGCAGTCTCGCAACAACCCGAGGCCAACGCTGAGGTTGCTGTCAACGGTGTTGGTGTTCCGGCCCGACCGAAGTCGCAGAACCTTACGCCACAGCAACAACAGCAACTCCTTGCCATGCCTGCCAATGGGTTCCATTTACCGCAAATGGCAGCCCTCGTCAATCAGGCGTACCCACACGCTCAGAACGGGCAGCATATGGGCGGGCTTTCGTTGCAGCAGGTGCAGAACCTCAAGAGCGCTTTCGCGAACGTGACGGAGATGACTGCACTCCAGAATGCTACTCGGGCAAGCCTACAAGGATCGTACATGCATGTCGGGCCCAATGCTGCCAACATGAACATGCAGAACATGCAGCTGCAGGCAGGTTCCAATCTCAACCTGAAGCTGCCCGCTACTCGACAGCTGCAGCAGTGGGGCATGGGCTCGCCTATGCAGCGTCCGGCGTCGGTTGTCAACCCGATCGTAAATGGTATTGACGGGCAGCTGAATGGTGCGATGAATGGACAGATCAACGGCGCTGGGATGGTCACTGCGAGCCCAGTGCTTGGGCATTCGGTGCCTGTGCGCTCGCCGTCGGCGAATGGCACCCGCCCGGGGATGAGGAATGGGGTACATGTCTCAATGTCGCCGCACCTTCACAACTCACCGTCGCCGTTGCCTAATATTGCCCAGTCGCAGTCGCCGCCCCGCATGCCGATGACACCGAACATGGGCATCGCATCGCCGTCATTGCAGCAGCAGCCTGTTGGGGGAACCCAGAATGGTTTTTGAACTTGGCATTTGACCACTTCTTTTCGAGGCGATCTTTGGCGGGTACGCTACTTTCGACATTCTTCACTTCTTAGTGTTTATTGCCCTCTGTTTCGTCATTAAATCTCTTTTTTTTTTTGTTTGATGAGACTGTCTTCTACCCTCACCTCTGTCCTGTTTTCTTTTTCTTTCGGCCTTGTGTTTTCTTTTCATTTCAACCATAAGCTCGTTTGTATCATACCTTCGGTCGCCACGAAATCTGATATCTTTTCTGCCTCTTCTATCGTCGTACCGTTTGATAGGTTCGATCTATCTTTTCTGCATATGCGTCCTCGAGCTCAGTAAATATATGCTAGCTCTTAGATCATTATTGTACGAAGAATATGCGTAAGCCATATATGATCCAAATCTTCATGACCTTACCCAGGTTAGACTGGAGTGGCTGAGGTCGATGATAAAGCAGGGAGGTGCCACCAAAATTGGCAACACCTGTTTTGCTTTGCTCCACCACCACCTCGCCAGCATGGTCTCGCCCGATAGACGCTCAAAACACCTACTTTCGATGGGTCCCTTCACATAAACGGGTCTCCAGATCTTTTATCCTGCAGGTACCGGCGCATTCAAGACGGCAGGCGTTAGAATCCTGTCGTAATGTCTGTGTCGCATACGCATCAGGTTCCGAAATCCTGACAATCTGTGTCAGTTCGACTCGGTTTGCACAGGCAGGACAGCTTATACAGCCTCCGACAAAGCTTTTCAATCTGATGGGATATACTTATCTCACTGTCGACCTGCTCGAGTACAGCAGCTAAAGGATCGTTAGGGACCTCGACATCGGCGGGCTTCCTTGGATTTATCTGATAGCAAACTTATACCCAAGGACCGGAGAAATTAGAATTCGATTCAAGTCACATCTCCCACCTCATCATGAAGGACTCATTACCTGACACTCAAGCTCTGGCCACAGGCTGCATTCGCCTTCGTCGACCCTCCGAATGATTTGTAATATGGATCGCGGAGTCGGTGCGGTGGAGTGCTTATTTTCGTTGGCCTTCTAGGTGGGCCCTGGAACCATGCGCTGAACTGCCCTAATCACCGTCCTGAGGGCGATCAGGCCGCTGGAAGACTGTTGGACATTTTCAAATTCACTGCAAGACATACGTTACACGTACAATCTGGATTTCTAATGTCGGACAGGCGTGCGAGAAGCCCTGCTGCCTGGAGGCAGGCCGTCAGCGCCTTGTTACACAGGTGGTCCGACCAATTGGCACCATCTCTATCTCTTTGATCCAAGTTCGGCATGATCCCTATCCTTCCGGTCGGGTGTCCCTTTTCTGTTTCAAGCGACGTCGACGGCTCATCAACTCCTGGGCTCTTTACATGCTTATTCACGATGTTACGTGGATCGTTATACGAGAAATGCCTGGTCAGTTCTTCAAGATATGGGGTCGCGTTCAATTCAGAGACATTTACGCCTCATCGGATGTTCTGTCTAATGATAGGTTCGACAGTACACTACATCTCGGCGATTCCTTTCTCTGAATCCCAGCTTCGCCCTAACAGTCAGTACAACTCCGATAAAGACGACCACAGCATCATTGACATCAGGGACTATGATTGAGCGAGGCTTCGGCATAGATTCAACTGCACTATCTCCGCGCGTACATTCCGCCAATATATCTCGATCTCCTCGACGGTTGCGCTGCTCTCGACTTTATGACTACGACACTCTGTGGACGCTTTATGGCTCTGTGCTACTTCTGTGGATTGACTCTTAGCACTCCAGCTCGTCGCTACGGTGCTTTAACACTGAAGATCGCTCAAATAGGGTTGACAGAAGAGTATGTTCGACCATCTAAGCCAGTTCATGTAACTGTCATAATAGGGAGATCGCCCTCCCCGGTCAGTTCTTCTCATCTATCAATCAACCCTCCGACCATATCCCGGTTATCCCAATTCTCGAGGACATCTCTTCGAACAGATATGAATGGGTTTAATGAGGCCTGACTCCAAGTCCCTATCGAGGCTCGACGTATATAACGCAGCCTAGAGCGGACTTGCTCAGGCGGTTATCCCGTCAGCAGCGATAACAAAAATCCCTAGAAATGCGCTACAGTCTTGCAGTCGGTTTGGCCTTTGCTGCCTCGCAGGCCCATGCGTCACTCTTGGTTGAGCGTGCTGACATCACCAGCGATACCTGCGCCGATGTCGTTGGGCAGCTCAAGGTGGTCAACCCCTGGAATACCGCGACGACGATTGTCTTTGGGAATATCAGTACGCATTTCCCTTCCGCTTTCCTGAAATTCCGCATTGACATCACCATAACCTCAGATGCCTGTGTCTGCCTCTCGACCTTGAGCAGCTTTATTTCCAGCAACTCCGTCACCCAGTCCGCTGTAGCCGTCGCTGGAAAAGCCGCAGTGACGACAGCCATGAATGCTATGGTAATGTGATATATTATTTTTGATAACACGTTGCCTGAGGGTGCTACCAGATCAAGGCGTCGAAGCCAAAGACTTGCACGTACCCAGCTCACTCACCGGCGGTTTGCAAAATCGGAAGCACGTGTGGCTTCACTTGCAAGGACGGGTATGTGGGGTTTCGATGCTCTCCTTACCCTGCTGACTGAATGGCCGCTGTAGCTTCACCCCTTCGCCGGCGAAAAACCCCACCACTTGCGTCTGCGCGAAGCCTTACACGATCTGTAACGGAATCTGCGGCATCTACAAGGCATGCCCTAGCGGTCACGTCAAGCGTGGCATGTCTGGTATGGACCTGCGCTGCCCACGGGGACTCACTGCCTGCGGCATCCCGGGACGCGGTTCTAAATCGTCCTGGGAATGTGTCAACACCCAAAACGACCTCGAAAGCTGTGGGTTCCTTTCCTCTTTATCTTGTCAAACCGGAAGATTCTGTGTTAGCTAATTATAACCACCATCCGTTCTTCACTTAATTCCAGGCGGCGGTTGTGTGCTTTCAGCCCTGACTGGCCATGCTATCGCTGATGGCATCGACTGCACCGCTATCCGAAGGGTCTCGGATGTGTCGTGCATTCGGGGGCAATGTGTCATTCATCGCTGCATGGAAGGGTTCGTGCCCAGCCCGTCAGGCGAGTCGTGCATCTCGGAAGAAAGGGCGAAGAAACTTGATTATCTTCAGTCTCAACACGATGGGAGCTTTGAGTACCCTCTCCTAGATTGATTGACCTGCACTTCAATCGATACTCCAGTGTTTTCTTTTCGTTCCTGTGTTATGTTCTCGTGTACTCATGAACAGACTTTCTACTCCTCTTCCTGAAGGCAGAAAGCCCTCTTTCCATCGTGCAATTCCCTCTTCCTCTTCTCCCTGCTAGTGTAACATATGTGATCCTTCTCTGGGTGAAATGTGGCTGGTTGGTTTGGACTTATTACGAGGTGAATATTGTAATGAAAAATCTACGGTCGTTCACATGTGGTCGGATCAGTTCTAGATGCAAGATGCCAACTTTTGATTCCACGAAACGCTCGTCTTGACACCCCTGGGACCTAGACTGATCAGCTGTTGTCGGAGGTAGTTTCACGCCCATACGTTCTCGTAAGGCATGTTCAGACTAAACCTCATATATGCTGAGGCTGTCCTGGTGGGCAAAAGGTTGTACCACTGATGAGAATCATGGTCCTGGGACAATCCCCTCCAGCGATTTCTCTAGATGGCTCAAAGTCAAGGGAGGTGGTGATCTCTTAGCTCGCAATACGACTGGCGATCCAGGATTGAGAGCTGTCTCTGTCTCGCTTGGCGATGCCACTTTTGGAACAGTGTGGCGTCTTCGCCAAACTTCGATCACGCAAGCCATAATAGGCTCTCATGCATCTGAGTGAGATCGTGAGTGCTGCGTAATCCTTTTCCGTGATCCTGAAGTCCAGGAATTTCAGGCTGGGGAGCACGCTGGAAGCGGCGTATAGTAGGCTATCAGGGGTTCCTGATATCGGTAGATTAGATTCAGGCAAGACACTTGTATTATCTGGCCATTCTGATCTTATACACTTCTGCTACTCGTTTCAACTTACAGAAAGCTATTATATGTCATGTTCTAGATACTCGAATACCTTGCGACAATGCCGTTGATTTTCCCTCACTTTGGATGGTGGTTCTGGCATTGACTCTTGATCTCGCACCTGCATACAGTCCTAATTCCCCTCAAAGCGCACTGACTTCAAATTCAGATGTGAGTACGTCCCCAAGATAAGCGTAATGTGGGCGGTCTGGAACGAGCTCGCAGCTGTCCCGACAGAAATAAACTTGAGCTTCTTCAAGCCTGGCGTGGCAGGCGGCTGGCTCGTGCGAAATACGACCATCCTATTCAGTGCAGCCGTCGATGCAGAAATACGGTGCGGCCGCATAGCATCCTGGGCATAGGTGAGGTGAAGGTACTCGAGCTTCGGAAGGACCTCGAGTGATATTTTGTTATTGGCATTGCGTGTAAGGAGCGACGTGAATTTCTTCGTCTTGGCCCCGCCGACCCGGAGGACTTCAACGTCTTTGGCAAAAGGGAGGAGCTTGAGCAGCTGCTCATCATCTATGTCTAACCCCAAGTATTTGAGGGTGCTTTTGGAGCGTCCGACGAGGCTGCCGACGGCTTTAAAAAGGTTAGCGGAAGATCGTTCTTCGTCGGAAAAGAGGGATAGGTTGAGCGTGTGTAGAGAGGGTAGGGTGAGGTTTTGGAGGACGTAAGCGATGTTGGGCGACGAAGCCTCGTCCAAGGCAAGGGATCGAAGATTTGGCAGATTCAGAGGTGTATTGAGAGCTTTAGGTGTGGTAGTCTTGCAGAAACCGAGGATGAACTTCGCTGATGTCAGCTGAGGACACTTGGAGAGGATGTCCAGCACGTAGCCGACGCTTGATGGCTCCTCCGAGATGTCGTTCACATCTAGCTCGATGCGCTTGAGCTGCTGCCACGGAACGTGGTCCGGGAGGCCCGTCTGGAAGAACGACGCGCACCAGCTCACGAATTCGAGCTCCGGCGCTGCGTGTATGGCTCGGAACACCCTGTCCACCACCTGGGGGTGCGTACTCCAGGTCGCGAGGTTCAAGGTCGCCGATTTCAGCTGATCGAGCTTGCCCTGCGGAAATTCGGCGAAGGCAGGCAGGAATCCGATGCAAAGGAAGAACGTAATTGCCTCCCATCTCTCGATGTGTTTGAGCAGCATCTCGAGGATGGTATTGACCGCTGTCCTCTCTTCTCTGAGAGGTTCGATCGGAGTGTCGTCGTCTGGGATAGTCTGCATTATTTGTAGCGTCAACGGTGCGGTCTTTGAGCGCTCTAGCCAGTTTTCGACTTTTGGTATGTGCGAAGCGATTGGCCGAACCATGATCATTGTAGACCATAGAGTTGGGCGATCGAGGGAGATGTTACGCCAATTCTTGGAAACATGGGACAGAATGACGGGGTTGGCATAAAACCCGCTTTCGCAGGACGAAAATAAGGTCGTTTCAAGACCTATGAGATGCTTCTCCTCGTCGGGTTTGTGGGCATAGGCGTCGAAAACTCTGCCCAGTAGCTCTGGTGACAGAACCTGGATGTAAGATTTTGGTTCTGACATTGATTTCCTTGCTCCTGGACCGAGCGACTCAGTTCAGAAATCTTTTATTGGACTAGAGTAGATAGCTTACCTTTACGCCTTGAAACTTGATGTCTGAGATATCACGTTAATTCGTGGTGATGGTAACGATTTAGAAGCATTGACTGCCTCGCCCGCGTTGCGCGCTCGAGGCGCGTCAGTTGATCAACTGAGGTGGATGATAAGATAAGATAAACTGGGGTAGATCCTGGTAGATCGTTGAGCCCGAGGTCGAACAACTTGAACTTGAACTACGACGTTGCCTACCCGCATTTCTAAATCTACTTAGATTTCCCTTCAAGGTAAGTGGATATTCTGCATCACATTAATATTGCTCATTGATAGTCCTGTAATCAAGTCCTTCAGAAGGCTGCGAGACGATTAACATGCGCAGCGATGACGATTGTCTAGAATCGGCACTATCCCACACCGAGCCAGACGAAAGGGCCCTACCAGTGGAAGTCATTGGTTTTATTCTTGAAAATATAGCGGCGGATTTTCGAAGAAATTACCGAACTCTGACGACCGTTGCACTTGCCAGCCGACATCTCTGCGAACAATCAAGGCGCATCTTGTACCATTCGGTCTCTATCATGTACCGAGGATCCGCTTTCAGCATTTACCGGAACCCCCTCCCTTTCCCAGTACATTCACACCCTCTCCCTTTACTGCGACTCACATAATGACGAGACATGAAACTTCTTGAAGCCTGGTCCAGTTCTCGAGTCGATGTAAAACTTGAAGGAGCTCGAGCTGAAGCGCTGACGGGGTACGATCCTCCCGACGATGTTGAACAGCAAGCCGCGCTTGTCCATCTCGCCGCTCACCAGTTTTACCCAAAGGTGATTTTGCCACACCCCAACGTGCTGCCGCCGCATAGTTGCGGCAAGCTGGAATATTTCCACGGGAGTCTTGCCGTCATCGAGGTGGTTCTTGCCGGGCGTAGAATCCTCACATTAGTTTGGGAGCCGTTGGTTGGTGATCCGAACAGAGTGGCGCAACACGTAGCAGAAGAGCTGAGCTTCGTGACGGCATTCTCGCACTGTTCAATGGATGATTGTGCTCCACCTTTCGTCGACTTGCGTAATTTTTTCTCGAGGTTGCAATTCCTTGAGCTGATAGACGGGGTGAGCATATTATTCCTCGTGCAATGCATTAATACTCATTTCTTGACAGGACTCTGCCGCTGATGTGGATGCGGTTGATAATCTGCCTCATCTGATTGGGCTTATCTTTCGTCTCTCCATTCTCTATCGCGCGGTACTCTGTCGACTAGGGGCGGCAGATGTTCGCGATGCCTTTTTGCGGTGCCACAGTTTAAAGTTTGTCGACATCGAGAAAGAAGATATCTTATACAGGAAGTAGAGGTTATTTAACCGATGGACATGGGATAGTCGAAGCGAAAATTTATATCCTGCCCTCCAGGACTCTGTTTTAGAGTACATGGACTTTGACTGGATGGCTAGAAACAGGTCACACATGCTGGTAGGGCCTGTTTGATGGAAGTCATGAATCAGATTTATGCGTACGTGCTAAAAGTCCAGTCGCGTCGGTCGATACCGTTCCTTGCCTTTCAATTACAGTCACATTGCGTACCAGAAGAATCGCGGTTGATTCATCGTTCTAGTGGCGTACTACCGGGCACATCCGTTTCCCTTCGAAACACAAGTCTGAGGGGCCCCGCGCTTACCGCTTTCGCTGATCTCAAACCTTCTCACCACGATAGCTCTTCTCAAAATCGGGAACTATCCGCCACACTCTACAGAATATGATCACCGTATTTGTAGAGAAAAGATTCCACTGGCGTGGGACAAGACTTCTCATCGATCACCATGCCGTCACTATACCCTCCACATCTCTGAACTCCGTCGATTATCACCTCCCAATCAAGATTGTCATCGTCATTTTCACCTATCTAGAAAAGCGACTCCAGAAACCTAGCAGCAATCGCACTCGATCGTCAGCAGGATATCTTGTGAAGTGTTGCGGTATCTTCTTTATAACTCGCGTACGATGAACGATCAGGAGAGAAAACATCAAGCCTGCACCCACACAATCTTCGACAGCACCATTGAAAGCCAATCCGGGGAAGCCTATGACAAAACTGCGAGGCGTACTCCTCCAGTTACTCATAAACTCATCTTTGAAGAGTTGAAGCCCATACATGAAGCGGTGACTGGCATCGATTTTGTCAAGGCATGGGCTGAAGTCGTCAAATGTGAGTCTCACAGACCTTGTCTCGCCGTGTTCTCTATAGCTAAATAGTGCGCCATAGGCCACCGTGTACTTCACGAGCAGGGCTTCGAGCACAGAAACCCGAATCTTTTGGACATGCTGTACAACACCACTGGGGGGCACGGCATCCTCGTCGACTTCGAGCTTGCGCTTCCTCCTGTTTCGTCTCCGCCTTCTGTCTCTCGAAGATCAGAGGACATCCGCTTCATGTCTATGGAGATTACCGCAGATCTGTATAAGGAGGAGATACCGAGACTATATCGCCATGAGCTCGAGGCTCTCGTCTGGGTTCTTCTCTATGTGTTATCGCAGGTCGAAAAGAAATGTGTAGTGAAAGATCGCTCGATGGGCAAACACTGGCACTATAGATTCTGGGAAACGCCCGGTTTTTGGGCGTGTCACTCGCGAAAGATTAAATTCTGCTGCAGCTTCCTAGACGCTTTTGGTGTCCAGGACAGCTTCAAGCAGCAGGCGCAACTCGCTCCTAGAATGGGTCAATGAGACGCGTAACGCATTGTTGCAGAAAACAAACAACGCGTACTGTGGCATAGAAGAGCCTCAGGAGGACAGAGATGTATGGAGCAAGCTCATTGGGATAGTCCAGTCCCTCGTCGCAGAATTTCCCGATCTTTCCGAGGTGCTCAGTATCTGTAAGTTTTTGCGATCACCATCACCCAGCTAGGCCAATCAGCTAAATTACGTCCTAGTAGTACATTGACTCTGAGCTCCTTGTTGGCGCGGGCAGCAGAAGGTTCGGGACATATGATATATGTTCAGTGTATATGCTTTATCTTTGATTGCAGGGAGGAGAAATGAAAGACGCGTAAGCGTGTCTCACCGAAATACCTTGGCCTGAGCGTGTAGTAGGTATGGACTGAATACTTGGTGGAATAAGGGTGATTCTTTACCGCCCACCCATAATCCAGGCGTAGGACTATTAAAACAGGACGACAGAGTCAAGAAGGTTTCAGTCTCCTCGTCCAAGGGACAGGATTTAAATATGAAATATTCGGGCGTCACACTTCGGATCTCGGAGTTTCTACAATCTCGAAGAACCGTAACCTCCAACATGTTGTTAGCATACGACGTAAAATCAGAAAAAACAGACTTCCTCATCACCTGCTCCCGCCATCTTTGTCATCTCCCTGAATGACTTGAGCTGCCGCTGGATGCTTGTAAGATCCGGGTTGGCCGCGGGGATTAAATTGTTTGGTTCCTTCGCAAATGGGCGTCCACAATAAAATTGGGGGCCAAGGTCGAGGTATTGGCATGGGCACCTAGGGAATGCATGATCCTCTTAGATCTCGAGCTCAGGGAGAAAGACTTCAGGTGAGTGCAGGATACTTCGTCCCCCCATCTGGCTACTGGAATTGTCCCTAAAGTTGATATCTAAAAGGATTGTGTTAAATACTCTGCATTATCGCAAGATTATTCATTCCTCAGCGCGTAATCCTGCTTCGTGCTGTCTTTGTCACAGTAATCTGGGATTTCTTGCAAAACATCGGGGCATAATATTTCAATTCTTATCACACCCATCTTTACATATGACAAAGGCTTGAATCTGCAGACTCGCCCCGCCTTCGACACCGAGCATACAAGGTGTTTGTTAGCACTGTGTCATTTATTAACTTGGACAGCGAGGGTTTTTGGGAGTCCGAGGGGGAACCATACGAGAATTGGGTACACGAATGCATAGGCTGATCTTAACAGGGAAATTGCATTTGCTGCTCGAGGATCATGTCAGTCGAGGCTGCCAGTGGTACGCCATGAACTTGACGTTATTCGGTCGTTTACACTGTATGTTCACTCGACACAATCTTTTATACTCCCGTTTTAGGTGATTCAGTGGTCGATAACTGTATGAAAGAGTCAAGAGGCGGTGGAGTCGGACTGGCTATCAGCACAGGCACGGTGCCGGACGCCACTAGCACTTCCTACGGATTAATTCAGAACACGTTAGGATTAGTGGACTCACCGGACAATGGGACATCATAGCCTCTGTCGCCTTTGCATTCATCGCTGACGCCGCTCCCTGCATCGTGCCTCCACCAGCGCCTCTTGGACACAGCTAACTTGCACGACGCATGCAACTCAATTAAACCGGTAACTGAACTTTTCCTCTTTCACCGATCCTCGTGCATTCATGAGACGATTGGAACTGATTGGAATGGGACTTTCTGGCGGATTGGTGAACATATGGCAAGTGGATTGGAAGAACCCTGGAGACTGCCCGATGATTGCTCCGCGATTGGACGATGACGTGATGAGAGAATTACTTTGTTTGGAAGTTTTGCTAAATTGCCATTTGTGGGAGTATATGCTATTTAGGCGCTTAGGGTCCTTCTCTCCGTCTGAAATTTTGGATAAGGGCGCGATTATATCTAAATAGCAGCATAGACCTCAAATTTACTTCTCTCATATTTGAATAATCTGTTCCAAGACGTTGGGATACAAATGGGCCTTTATTGACGCCTATTTGTTCTTTCGTTCTTACCATCTTCGGCCTTAGCAACGGGATGGTTGGATTGGTTGAAGTAGCAGTGGATTGGTCTTAGACTCTTCTCAACGCCGCCAGTATATAATCTATCCGGACACCGATGATGCTCTCCACTGCCACCCGCCTTCAAGGACTCGCATCTTCACATTCAAAGTCTCGCCCTCTGCTCGTACACCCCCAATCACCATCATGTCGTCTTTCGCCTCGACCTCTACCACCCCATACACCACCGACATCGAGGCCCAGTACCCGGAGACTCCAGTTAGCGCCATGACGCGCACACCGCATGCTACAAACCCGACCCGCATGTTGGACCCCATGGATGCGTCTTTCGGGTACACATTCGCGTCGTCGTCCATCCACGAGAGCCGCCACGACCGCAGGCAGAGTCTGTCGGAAGCCCCGCCAGCATATGCTGAGGAGGCGGGTATCCCCCTCCCGGACTACACAATCCACGCACCCGAGCCTGTGACGCTCGCGATGTACTTGTTCAAATTTGGGTTTTGTACGTCTCTTCTTTCTATTCGATGAGTCTTCAGGCGCTGACCGAGTTCTTTGCGAACAGTGTTCCCACCATTCTGGCTTTTCGGGGCCTTCATCCTCTTGTCGCCACTGCGCGCACCCCCTTCTACATCTGATGACACCCCTGCGTGGATGCCCGAGAAGACGGAGGCAGAGCGCCAGCAAATCATTGCAACGATTCGCAAAGTAGAGCTCAAGTGGGCGAAGCGGTGCCTATACGCCTTCCTCATCCTCGCCGTTCTCGTCATAACCGGCTGCGTTGCTGCCTGGGCTGTCCTTCACCATTGAAAATCGACCACCCGCTCATGGTCTATCCATTTATCATCCCATTCATCATCCTTCGGCACTTCCTTCGATACGACCCCATACTTCTTTCACGGCTTATCCTGCCAGGTTCTCGAACCTCAATACATTCCCTTTTTCATTTTTTCTGGTCGACTAGATTCCCAATTGTATCGCTAGAACGCCTTCGCATCCGCATTCCTCTGCATTATTTTACGGACTCTCATCTTCCACCACACTCCCTAATTACGCTGAATCCCTTCGATAGGGCACGAAATGTAACATTAGTTCACGACTCTTTATTCATAATTATCACCACGGATTTCTCCTCTACCCCGAAACGACGTGTGAATAACTTCAATAAGGCTCAATGTACAGCGAGACAGGTTTGAATCCCAGGTTCGTCGGGTAGCAATTGGGCAGCTATTAGTTCTCGCGCAAGGTGGAGAATAACGGTATGGGCAATTGGATGAAGGTAGTGAGAGGAACGGCTGAGCTGGCAGTCCAAGCTGATTGGCTGAAGGGCTGGGGGCCCGGACAAGCAAGTACAAACTCTTGTTGCGAGACTGGGCCGAGTCGATGTTGGTGAGCCGTATTTTGTGGGATCTAGGTCATATTCTCCTCTGTAAAGCTCCATACAGGCTATCTGTATGTCTTAGAAAAGGTTTCTCCAATTTGGAGAGCTGGTTTTGATGTTCTGGGAACCTTGGTCATCCCCTGCCATCACAGACCCGCGGGTTTTCTCACAGTCCGCAATATACTCTGCGCGCGCGCACAGCCAACGCGCAACATTCCTTAGGGTCAGAATAAATACAAGGTAATTACACTGGATACTTTAGTGAAAAATGTTCTGTTTTGAGATGAACTGGCGAACTAGGATGGCGCAGCGAGCCCCCCGCTTCCAGCGGTTACTTAATAAGATAGGCTACCAAGTCAGCAAGATAAGATAAGCCAAACCCATAATCATCACAACTCTTTCACCAACCACCAACCACGACCATCTCGCCAAGACGTCGATGACCAACTCTTTGCCTTCTTTACCTCTCATCCAGCGCACAGACAGCGACATAGGACACACCGCCGAGAGCCGCAAGCCCCCCATACTGGCACCGAACCCACAGAACTTCGTCGCCTTCGTGGTGTACTCGTTTTTGACAATCTCTCATCCAGCGTCGCAGAAGATAGCCTCAAGTACAGAGGTCGCTGGCCTCATTTAGCGTCAGATCCAGGCCCTTTCTTGGAATCATCACCCTCGAATCATTGTTGACACTCTCCGCGCGCCTCGTTTTAAGCACGGCTAGGTGTTTCTCTGATACTTGCAGTCTTATGGCGTGCCGCAGCAGAGGGTCGTCATTCAATACTCCCACACCTTCAATCCCTCGAACTCGAGCGTCCAGCCTCGTCCTCCATCACGTCGAGCATTACGGCTTGTCACTGAGAGAGATTGTATCGGATGGAGTATTGGCGACACGTTTGGGCGGAGCTAATCAGCCTCTTCTGGCGATTATTGAACCGGACCCACCGCTTGTCGCTGAATGTAAGCGCGTGGATCGGTGAGTCGAGCATAGTGCGACTTCCGCGAGCCTGCGGCTGTTTCTGAGCACCTTCAACGTGATTTACATCGTCGGCGAAAATGTATCCCTCTAGCATATCTCCCATGCTCTTGGTCTCGAATTGTCCTTTCATAAATTGGAGGTACGCCGCACAATACCTGAAATAAAGGGACGTTAGTAGCAATATAGAGTTCCTGTAGTCTCAGATATTATCCTAACGCGCACCTCTCATCGCCCAGATGGTCTCGCCAGTTCTCACGAGAAGCAGCATGCGCGATATGGCTGGAGTTGGTATGAAGCGACGCTCATCGACACGGAAGAGAAAGCGAGCGACATACTTGTGGAAAAGTTTGTCGTTGAAAAAGATATGTCACTTATTGCAATTGTCGTTCAGGATCTTTCGCAGAGTCTCAGTCGAAGATGGTGAGGCACCAGCCAAGCTCGCGATGTCATGATTGCAGCCCGCTGATCGGATTGACGGTGGATGGAAGGGAGCGGGAAGAGCTGTGCGTCGATTTCTTGGGGCATGTCGATACGTATGTGTTAGCTGGAAGTTGGGTGCATCGTTTGCGCAGTCTACGAAGCCGTTTTATACTGCTCTGAAGGCGTGAGACGCTAACGTGCGACGAGAACTATTGTCCGCCGAAGTTGTCATTGAAACATCGCGACTCGGCGAGCGCTAGAGCTCTATGCGGACCTAATGTGGAAGTATCTTGATCGAAAGAACTACCCTGGTCTTTTTCATCTGACTTATTGACAAGAATTAGCCGCCGATTCTGAGTCAGTAGGTCACGCAGCTGGCCAACAGACGCGTCAGTGCGGCAAAGCTGTAGAGCGAGACGTCTGTCTCAATCCCCCACCGATTCCTAAGGTGGTGGGAGAAACTGGGAGTTCAATACCCTTATGGTGCTTCATAACCTGCGAGATCCAACCCGGACGGTGGAGGGGTCAGGTTTTTGTCCAATATGTAGAACGCACAAGATGGCGTGGAAGTCTGTCTTATTCCACGATGTATTTGTATAATACGTCAGGAAGGTAAACTCATCGCTGATAAATCCTCCGCCTCGTACCATATCTGGAAACTCGCCACAATCCCGACAGCGCCCGGATCAAGGCACATGCATGACGATCCTACATTTTTGGTCTCCAATGTTTTCGTAGTTGTATTTTAAACACTTCACACAACTTTAAGCGTCTCGATACTCATGCCTCTGCTCTGTGTACTTAAAAGAAACCGCGACGATCCCAAGCAGAGGCCTCCATCAACTGAGGTTCGCCCTCCCGTACCCATCCCACTCTACCAGCAGTCAGCCCAGCAGTCCTGAGGAACAGCGTTCCGTCGATCATTTCTGCGTCCTTCAACTCCGTACCCCCGAAGCATCCCTTCTTGACATCCCCCAAGAAAGCACCGAAATCGGCCAAGGCCCTCTGCAACTTGCACACATGGTCGTCTGGATGAACTAGGGTCGACTGGATGATCTGAAGCCAGGGATTTGGCGTGATTTCGTGCGGCGAAGTTGGCGAGGGCTGTGCGACCTTGTTTTGAGTCGGGTGAGGGCCAGGTGGGGTGAGAAGGAGGGTACTGGGGTTGGCGAAGAATGACTTAATGTCTAGTTCGGGGCGGCCACGACCGATGTACCAAGCAATCAAGGAGCCGAAGTAGGCCTTCAAAAGCTGGATCTGAGAGTTTCGCTTTAGGGGTGAAAAGATGGTTGGGAGGAACAGTGAAGAAGTGACGAGATGGATGCTGCAGATAGAGTCAATGAGCGACATAATGATCTTCGTGATAGAGAATAGACTTACAGGAAGAAATCAGCGTTGAACCCTCCGTTCGCCTCCAAGCCACCTACGCCATACACCAACGTCGCCGTCCAGAGAAGCTCTTCGACTTTCTTGGATAAGTCGCCGTCCAACGTCCATTGGTCAACATGTTTTGCAATTGCCTTTCCATGGACCCTCATCGTATCCAGGGCAAAACGCACTGCATCGTCGGGTTTTCCGTTGCTCGCGAAACGCGGGTCGGTCAAAACGCGAGCAAGGATGCTGAACGCATGGACGTCTTTCGTTTCGGAGAGGCCGATGTTGGCTGCGAAGCGAGACGCCAAATCGCCGTCGATTCCAGTATCCAAAGAGGACGCCGGAATAGTACTGCCGCAGGTGCTGTCGTGGACTGCGGCTTGGGCAAGACCTGTCGCGGACGATTAGATTATGGAAAGGGTGCGATAACGGCTTGAGGCACGACATGCCTTCGAGAGAGACTCCTGGAACTCCGAATTCCACTCCGTATCCAGTATGGATAAGAGCGTGGAACAATCCATCGATAAAGCGAGGGACCATTTCCGGCTGCTTCGGGGTATTCTCGACCCAGTTTGCATTCTCTGCGAAAACATATTCCTCAAGCATGTCTGTGAAAGTCTTGGTTTCATACTGTTGAGTGAAGAATTCGACGTATGCTGCGTAGTATCTGTGAGAACGTTTAGGATTCGCTATGAGATGTAATGAACCAAGCATACTTCTCATCGCTGAGGTGATCCTTCCAGGTCTCCTGAGTTATGGGACCAGGAGAAGCAAAGGCAGGCCGTTCGTATATGTCAGAATGCGTCTTATATGAAGCCTCCAAGATGCTGGCGTCTGCACCGAGGCACCACAGCGCCAAGGCAGCATGAGGGATATGACTGGCAAGCAATGTTCAATAATTTATCTGACTTGGGTGACACGACGAAAGACCCACTTGTGGAACCCTCTTTGGTTGAAGAAAACGTGCCATCGAATATGGTTGTCCTTCAGGACGCTCCGAAGGGTGTTCGTCGACGCAGCCGATACACCGGGCCAAATTCGCGGTACGAAAGCCGCGTTGTCGCGCTTCGCAAGACTGATGTGGACAGGAGGAGGAAAGAGTTTGTCGTCGATTTCCTGGGGCATCTTCGAATGAAACTCCATTACCTCTCATGGTCTTCAACCCCCGCCTTATACGATGTCTAGTCTGAAAAGGACACCGCGATGACCATTGACCATTAGCATATGATTGGATAGCTAGAGCGAAACGTACGTGCAAGATATCACGGAACATGCCCCGGCAGATATGGAGCACCTGCGTCGTCCATTCCCAACACAGGATTCATCAGCCTGAAAGGAGTTGTGGGGTGAAAGTGCAGATTGCAGCGATGCAATGACAGCTACGTTTCGTCTACAGGTCCTGATGCGTCTCTCCGGCTGCTAAAAGATTGAATGGAGTCAAGATAGATCATTACTCTTGGGAGAAGAACCGCAGATTTGGGAGTCAATATGATCCTGACTCAACGCCTATGCGTTCATCCACCAGCGTGTTCGGACAACTGGGATCCGTTGATAAGGCCAAATCAGGAGCAGGCAGCGACTGTGACGGAAAGCTTGAGTCCCTAGGCCAATCAAGGTGAGCAGATTACGTAGACCATGAATTTCGTCTTGTCAAAGACCTGTTGTATCGTGGGTAGGTTCAGTGTATTGAAAGACATGATGAGCTGGACGCGGGATATCGACACAATCTCTCATCTATCAGACTATTTGTGAAAAATTCTTCAGACCAAATCACAGTATAAACTAAGATAACATTTCATACCAAAAGAGACTAAATCTTCCACTTGACTTAGGGCAGAGTCGTTAATCGATCGAGAGAACGCAAGTAAACA